TTGGCGATTTTGGCTGCAATTAATTCACGAGTATCAATCCTCTTCTCGACATCCTCATGGGCAAACGTAAGGCTCCCGTCGCATAGTCCTCAATTCTCGCCGATATGGAGGCTGATGAATATTTGAAAAATAGACCGATATGGAGTCGTTCTGGACGCGGGTTCGTCCGTAAGTAATACTGCGCTATATGTACCTCTTCGCCATCTCTAATTCCGGAGATAGGGAACTCGAGTCCACGTCTATCGCTGGTTGGACAATGCTGTCGCGCGGGAAAAGGGAAAGCATCTGCAGACATTGCCCGAAGTGAAAACCAAATCCGACTGGACGAAGAAGATACATCCCGGTATGTCTGGTGGATGGCTCGGTTCACGTTGCCATGTCTCACGGTGGATACTAAGATACTAACGCCTGTCTTCTGTATAGGAGTGTCGTCGTTTGCGAACAAACCGGAAGAAGTCGGTCCTGAACATCTCGCAGAACTTCTCGAACACGCGAAACAGATCGTCCCTGATGACGCCGTGAAGGATACACCCATTTTTCTACTCGCCACTGCGGGAATGCGACTGCTTCCTGACGTACAGCGCAACCTCCTGCTTGAACAAATTTGCTCTTATGTCGGCTCGAACTCGGATTTCCTACTTCCCGATTGCGGCGTCCATATTCAAGTCATTCCGGGTGTCACCGAGGGCTTGTACGGATGGATCGCGACAAATTATCTGTTGGGAAGTTTCGATTCCCCAGGAACGCATGATCATGGCAAGGGACACCATACGTACGGCTTTCTGGACATGGGTGGTGCTTCTGCGCAGATTGCTTTCGCCCCAAATGCGACTGAGAGCGAGAAGCATGCGAATGATTTGACTCTCCTACGGCTGCGCAATATCGATGGATCGACCCAGGAACATAGAGTCTTTGTCACCTCGTGGCTCGAATTCGGCGTCCATGAAGCGCGCAGGCGCTATCTGGAGTCGTTGCAGGCGGCCAGCGCTATCGGAGACGTCAACGAGCTTCCTGACCCGTGTCTGCCGTCTGGATTACGTACTACGATCGATGGCAAGCTTCTTGCCACGGATGACATTGATGGGATGCATCTTTTGGGAACCGGCAAGTTCGATGAATGTCTGCGACAAACATACCCGCTACTGGACAAGGACGCGCCGTGTCCCGATCAGCCCTGTCTCCTGCACGGGATGCATGTTCCGGCTATTGACTTTGACGTCAACCATTTTGTTGGCATCAGCGAGTACTGGCATACGACTCACGATGCGTTCGAGATGGGTCACAAGGACAAGGCATACGACTTTGCCACTTACCAGGAGCGTGTGCGATCATTCTGTTCGCAAGATTGGGCGACCGTGGAGAACGGTCTCGAGGCCCACCAGTGGGGAAAGAAATTCGATCGGGAATCGGCCTCGGAGATCTGCTTCAAGGCGTCCTGGATCATGAACGTGTTGCATGATGGAATCGGGATTCCGCGCGTAGGACTAGAGGACATTACCGGCTCGGGTCACAACGGAACCAAGGAGGTGCTGTCCCACAGCCAGAGCAAGGGCTACTTGGACTCCTTCCAGGCCGTGAACAAGATTGATTCTACCGAAGTCAGTTGGACACTGGGCAAGATGGTCCTCTATGCCTCGTCTCAGGTTCCCTTGGAAGCAGAAGAAGCCCTTCCTGTCGGCTTTGGCAGCAATGTTGCCGGCGTACCCAGCGATTTCCAGTACCCCAGTGTGGAGCTGCTGCCCAGTCCCGAAGGCATCCATGGCACAACGTGGCATGATGCGCTCCTGGAAGGGAGCTCGTCACGCCGAGCCCCGGGCTTCATCTTGTTTCTGCTTATCGTGATATTGGTGGCCTTCTTCCTTTGTGGCCGAGGCCGTCGTCTGAAAGTCTACCATAAGATTAAGAACGTCTTTGGTTGGGGTGGTCCGTCTCATCCCAACTACCCGAAGCGGAGGAGGATATTTGGTGGCAAGCTCCCCTTCTTTGGTCCCAGAAGCCCTACCTATGAGCGCGTCCTTGAAGAAGGCGCTCAGGAATTCGATCTCGGCGTGAGCGGATCCAGCCGCAGCTCGTTTGACGGGGGGCGTCCCTCTGAAGCCGATGCCGCTAGATTTACGGCCCCCAAGCGGGCCTCTAGTTGGGGCAGTGGTAATACGACGCCCACCTTCAAATATGCATTGGACAATTCCTCGTCTGGGACCATTGGGCTCGGAATCTCGGCTGGGTCAGGAACAAACGCAATGGACCGACACGGGCTGGTTGTGAGGACCGAGAGCAGGGATCATCTGGCACCTCTGGCATTGGGACCGACAACCAATGGACGCCGCTCCCGAGCGGGCAGTCCTTCGAGATCCCATCCCAAGTCACCACTTATGACCCCGCTAGCAGACGACTAATGCTGCTGTATGATTATGTTTATGTTGCCGATGTTGCATCACTCTGGCGTTTGGTTCTGTATTATTCATGACTTGCAGGGGGGAATCTGCAAGCCCAGGTCGCTGCTTGAAGCCGGCGTATGACCGCATAATAGTCCTTTGCTTCTTGGTGCCATATTGTCAGGGGCGTGCTCCGGAGTACATAGCTACTCTTTAACTTTTATTATACTAGACTATTTATGAGAGTCATAATACAATACAAATTAAAAGAGACATAATTCCTATCCTTGCTCGTTCTCGTAGTAAATGCAGACATCCTGTTATAGTGGAACTGCTCACGTGCGTAGCTGACGGCGGCTCACCGCCCGGGCAAAATCAGCAGCGGCAGTCAAGATAGTCAAGATGCGCGACAGAGCTCCGTCTTCAATCTCATCATCCCCGCTACTTCAATTGGCCTTTCTCCTCGATCTACTATTTGCTCTACATCAGTCGCTCTGCGCAGCTTTCTTTTCTTTCGTGCATGATACCCCAATAGAACCCGTTATCGATCCCGCCCGCCACCATGCGATTGACCGTTGAACTGATCCAAAATTCCCTGTCCTACATCAACCCGCTCAAAGACCGCGAGCTAGATCTTCGAGGTGCGTTCCAGCCACCAGTCCTGAAAAGAACAGATACTACACTTTTGAGATGAGCTTGATTGATATCGGTTTTGTGTTTGAGTCGTATAGGGCACAAGATACCCGCTATTGAGAACTTGGGTATTGCCAAGGTAACCTCTTCCCACCACCTCATTTCTCTCTTGGAATGTCTTCGCGGCAGCATTATATATGGTATAGAGGCTAAGAAAGGAACGGTAGGACCAAGATGCAATCGACCTAACAGACAACGATATCACCTCCCTCGGAAACTTCCCCTTCTTCCCTCGCCTCCGCACCCTCCTCCTCGCGCGTAACCGAGTCAAGCAGATCCAGCCGACGATATCGACCTCGGTGCCGAATCTGAGCGCGCTGGTTTTGACGGCGAATAACATGAACGAGTTGGCGGATTTGGACCCGCTTAGAAATCTGGCCCAGTTGACGCATTTGGTGTTGCTGGAGAACCCTGTTACCAGGAAGGAGGTAAGCTTCCCCTTTTCTTTTATTTCCTCTTTTCTTTTTCTAGCGAGATCAAAGCAAAGCAAAGTCTAATATGAATGGTCATTTGTGTAGCACTACCGCTACTACGTCATCTGGCGCATCCCCAGCGTCCGCTTCCTCGACTACCAGAAAGTGAAAGACGCGGAGCGCGAAAAAGCCACCGAGTTGTTCGGCACAGCGGAGGAGCCGTCTGCGCTGGCGTCTAAGATCATGGGAATCAAGTCTCGCACGTTTGATGTGCCCTCGGGCGCTGGGGGTGCGGATCGTGGTGCGCCCGCGGATAAGGCGGTGCGGGTGAAGTTGACGGAGAAGGAGAGGAAGAGGGTGGAGAAGATGATTCGCGAGGCGAAGAGTTTGCAGGAGATTTCGCGGTTGGAGAAGGAGTTGAATGAGGGGAGGATACCTGGAGGTGCATTGGATTATGCTGATAGTGATGAGGAGATGCAGACATAGTAGTAGATGGGGGAGTGGTTTGTTTTGTTTCTGCTCGGGATTGCTTGATGTATTATCTGTGGTATATTTATTATGTGGTTAGTGCTGAATGGATGGCACGGTGTTTGGTCAATAAAAGACTCTTTCTGATACTATAGTCTAGATGTACTGGTTTGCAAATTTCACAGATATATGAATAGGAAACTGTCACGTATAATCAATTCCTGGCCGTGTAGCTGGAAATCCTCGACAATCATCGAGTCATAGGAGCTTAGCACCGTTCCATAGATAGGTGGTTAATCAACTTAGAAACTACAAGGAAGTAGAACAGTCACCTACTACTCGAGTATAGCAGATGTTATATTGACATAACTACCAACTACTAAAACAACTAAATACTAACCTATATGCTTAAGTCAATAACTCTTATAAACAGTTACATAATTTGCCGCAATGCCTCGAAAATCACTGTTAATTCGATAACTACTGTAGCTCTTCCCCATCTTCACTATATTAGTACACAGTCTTGAAACATATTACGATATCTCTGATTCTGCCATTCACCTTGCATCAGCACTATCTCATCTTTCCAAATCCATGATTACTAACCCGATAGGAAATTGGGGCGTACTCCATGAATCACCTGGCAGTATGGTATGATTGATGAGTGGTATATATAGCAGCTGAGTACCGCCAATCTGTTCCATGAATGCACTTTTCACGAACCCATGATATAGCAAACAAGTAAAAGGTACCAATCAAATATCATAAATTTACAATAATGGATACCCAATAATAACCATGACTACTAATCTCTGCATCCACAACTCAATGATGCCAATCACCAACCCAACCACACAACAGATCAGATAAGATAACAGCACGTGCCGCCATCAACACCACACACACACCCAACGTCATGCAATAGCTATCATCTAGTAGCTCCCCTCATCATCTCATCCCATTCTTTCAACCCTCACACACAACCACCATCAATCCCCCCAATTAATATCCCTCTATTTCACAAAATCAACCCACATATTAATACACAAAAATGCCCCCCAAACCAGCCCCCTACCTCCCCCTACTCTCATCCCACCTAACCTCCTCCCCCACCTCCACCTCTATCTCCCTAACCACCCTCTCAACCCACCCCATCACTCGCACCCCACAGCCTCGTTCCCGCACCGTGGAATTTCGCGGCTTCTTCCCAACCTTAAACCTACACTCCTCCGCCATCCAGTCCCTCAAGGATCAGCACATAGGCCTGAACCCCGATATCTACGAGTCGGAGATGATTGCCCTCACGACGGATAAGCGGATGGAGAAGGTGCAGGAGATGGAGAGCTCGGCGGGTGTAGTTGAGGCGGTGTTTTGGTTGAAGGAGGTGGGGAATCAGTGGAGGGTTAGGGGGAGGGGGGTTATCATTGGAGGGGATCCGGAGGATCAGGGGGAGAGGGAGGGGAGGGGGTTTATTGAGAAGGGATTGAGGAGGAAGGAGGATGGAGGTAACGGGGAGGGTGATGGGGAGTGGAGCTGGGAGAGGCAGATTGATATGTATTTTGCGAATCATTCGCCGGGGATGCGAGGTCAGTTTTTTCTTCATTTATGTTTTGGGGATGAGATGGGGATGGTTGCTAATGGGGATTGTAGGAACGTTTAAGAATCCACCTCCTGGTACGCTGCGGAGTCAGGATCCCGGGAACCCCGAGCTCAAGCTGGGTCAGAAGGTAGAGGACCTTAAGGATAAGGTTGCGAGGGAGAATTTCAGGGTCGTGGTGATTCGGCCTGAGGAGGTCGAGAGGCTGGATGTCAATGATCCTTCGAATCCGATTCGGACGAGGTGGACGGCTGTGAGGGATGGGGAGGAATGGGAGGAGGTGGATTTGTGGCCTTGATTGATATATCTTTTTTCATTATTGATGGGGATAGGTGCTATTTTTGTTAGGGTGATAAAGGTGATGTTATGTGTTTCATTATTTTATGTAGATTATATGATTGTTTTTTTGTATGCTGTGTCGGACAATGCAACTAAATGAGGATATGTGATGAAACCTGGCTCGTCTTTGAATGTAGCGGTGAGATAAACCCGAGGTTCATTGTCTTGTTTGTCACGGCTTTGTTGCTTGTCCGGATAAAGCGTTTTGTGTGGACATTGCCGATGAGTTGTATTCTGAAACACATAATTAGCATAAAGAACACCTCCATCGGGACAACATCGTTGTGTTTCATGCCGGGATCAATCTATAAATCGGCTATAGCCATCAGCAATTATTATCCACTCTGTCCTACCGTTATAAATCATAGCTGAATCGACTCCCTCCCTGTATTAACATCCTCCGCGGTGTAACCCACGAACAAACAAATCCTCAAACCCTCAAACCAACTACATGTCTTCGTCCACCGAAGGTGATAGACTCATCTGCCCCGAGTGTCGAGGCTACTGCGACGTTTCAGACAACTGTCCCACGTGTACTGCCGCTGAACCGGCTATGCTCAAGGCGGAAATCTCCGATTCGCAGGACGACACTGCTTTGAAGATGGCTCCGTCTGCTGAAGATTCCCCCCAGCAGGTGGGTTGCCCCCTCGTTGAATTGATGTGGAGCAGCGCTAACGATTGTTTGTCAGGATAATTCCGACGCTTCATCTGCCACAGCCAAGGCACCCTCGGCTCCTCAGTCCCCTTCTGCTCCCCAAACGCCCCAAGCTCCGCCTCCCCCTCCTGCCGCTCCAAAGAAAACCTCCAAGACTGTCAAGAAGTCCAAGAAGATGGAATCTTCCAGCTCTTCCAGTAACAGCCCACAGAAGGAGAAGTTGACGCCGGCCTGTGCGTCATGCAAAAAAGCAAAGAGACGGTGCGTGCATCGCAGCGTTATTCCAGGTGGGTTACTATAAATTTTTAGTACAACTTATTTATTGCTAACGTGGCATAGACGCGGAAGGACAAGGGACTTCCCAGCCCCCCAAGAAGCGCAAGCAGACTGCTGAATCAGGGGCCAATCCTAAGAGGGCCCGCAAGGATTGCGGCGATGCCAGCGGCGATAACGATACTGGGTCTGAAGGGGGGCAGCCCATCAAGCTCAAGTTTAAGAATGTCGAATTCGAGACCGCTAAAACAGGCGAATCAAGCACACCGAAGAAGAGGGGTAGGCCATCCAAGACATTGCCTGGCAATGCTGAAGTTGGGACTCTGCCTAGTATGGAGGAAGAGGAGGAAGAAGAAGAAGAAGTCCCACGCAAGCGAGCAAAGGATAAAAATTATGGGTTTCCAAAGGATAGCCTCCTTGCGGCGTCAAGAGTGACGGCCTTTAAACACTTGGACAAGCAGTTACAAGACAAGATACTAGACTGCGAGGACAAATGGAAGGCGGCCAAGGATACTATCGAGGAAATCCGGTATATACTGAATAAATGGATGGAGCTTTGGGAACATGGCAAGGTATAATGGTCGGTACGGATTATACTTCTTTCTTGCGTCCGTTTCAACAAGACCGTCATGAGTTATCTGGTTTCTTTGGAGTTAACAAAGGGGTATTTTTTCTTTGTTTATTGCTGTCCTCCCATTTGATCTCGGCGTTAGGAAGGCAGCTAGTGTCCGGCGTCACGGATTGATTTGGACTGCCAGAGCCTAGCCCGACGAACTGTTCGGGTCGAACAAGCTAGAAATGGACAAAAACACCTCATATTATTAGGCACGGGGGTATCTCCGTTGAAAATGATAATGAAATGCATCAACATATTGCCTGACTTACCACTGGCGGCCGGCCGGGTGGTGTGCAGCGGGACAAACTTGCTGCACAGCTCTAAAGTACCGTAGGGGTGGGGGAAACCTCGCAATGCAGTGGAATCAGCAGACAGGAATGACATGGTAGCTGAGTATTTAGTACACCGAAATCCAGGAATCATGGACGAACAAGTCATCATGCCCAGGACCGTTCTCCAGGATTATCTGGGATCACAGCATAACATGCCGCGAGAACAAAGCCAACCATGTTTGATGGCTCTGTCATCCCACGGCTCCGTGCGGGACGATCGGCGGTCCCGCAGCCCAATCCAACAAGAAGAGCAAGACATGATGGGAGGAATCCTGGGCGGGTCACGGCCTTGCAGTGGTCGAGGCATCTGTCAGTCAATGGCAGAATATCCTGGTCATTTCCGAGAGCTCTGACTCGTCTTGAGATCCCTGCCTGGCCGTGGGCACCGGCCGTTACGTGTCATGACTTTCTTGGGTAAAGTCGCCGTTAGCGAGTCTTGGATGGCTTTCGGCTTTGACCGGAGATTTCAAGTTCATTCCTTGCAGCTGCGACATTGGACAATGGCTTGATGCAGACCCATGTCGATGGGAAGTGGTTAGGGTGTTGTGATTGATTGACTGATGAGGGATGGCTGGTCCGTGGTGTCAAAGGCAGAGTTCTTCTTTATGACGGGTGGTTCTGTGGCAGCACGTGTTCCGGCTCGAAATTCTTTGACTCTAGACTATTTATTACTTACAGTAGTTGTGGATGAAACTGCCACTGGACGTGTTTGGAATATATGGGGAGGAAAGCTTCCAGAATGCCACACACGGGGACCTCATTTCTGGAAGGCCTTGTTGCTGGTGCCGGTCGGGTTTCATCTGTGACGGGAGCTCGTCTAGAGGTTTCCTCCGAACCCAGCCTGACACTACTGCTGCTGCTGCTGCTGCTGCTGCTGCTCGTTCTCCTGCTCCTCATTGATCATCACCTTATGATGCTTATTATGATCTGGGTTCCCCCTCACGATGGTAAGATACAGAGGCATGAAAACACTCACCGCTGGTCCGGTGGTGTCTTAGCAAGGACTTAGTAACAAGTTGGGGAGCACCGAATATGTATGTACTTTGGGTGTAAGTACTTAGTCGCACAACACAGTCTTCGTCTCGTAAGACAACCAGCCTGCAACCAATCCGGGGCCCCCGAACAATGACAAAGAAGTGGAAAGAGGGAGTGGAACCAGCCATGGGATTGCCCGAGTGGCCCGGCACTGGCAGGGGCACCCCTGTCAATGGAAGCATATCGAGGAACCCTAATAATAATACCGAACATTGCTTACTACTTTCGCTCTAGTCCATAGTTACATACTGGTATCCCCCTGGTCGTCGTCATGTGAAAGAGCGGGCTGAAATATTACGGTATTGCATCCTGCTGCATGGCTCAGACCCACGCTTCGGGCTTCACTTTCGGGGACGTCACTCACCCTCGCAGTAAATAGTAATAGTATTCTTCTTCTTCTTCTTCCTTCTTTGGTCCTGTCAGCTCCTTCACAACCAACTCACTTCTTCTTCCATTGCTTCTCTTTTCTGCCCTCCTTTCTTCCCCTCCCCCCCTTCTTTTCATCTCCTGATGGTGGTTTGATCCTCTAGTGTCAATCACCTCTACTCTTCCATCATTCATTCTACCTTCTTCTTCCCCGGTACCTTATTTTCCTCCTCCCGCCCACTAGCTCGACACCGCTCTCGTGCGCAGTCCCCGATCCATGGAACAGTCGTAGGTTCCTGAATCCCTGCACCTTTGTTCTCATCACCACCGCCCATCGGCTGTTCACGACTCCACGACGAAACGAATTCGCTACTTCGACCATCATCCACTCTGCCGTCAAATCAGTGTTAGTTATTTTCTCCTTGCTAGCGACCGAGACGGCTGGGAACTTCTCTAGAGTGGGCCTGGTGGACCACCAACCACACACTTGACTTTCCGCCCGGAAGTACAGATCCGGTCTACGAAGCACATGTTCTCCTTCTCCTCACACTGAATTCACATCATGCCTGCTCAAATGGACGCCCTGGGGGCTTTCACCCACCTTACCGAAAACATTCCCTCCTGGATCGATCGACTTGCAGAATTATCTGCCCACACTGCTGCGAAACACGCAGAATACGCCGAGGCCTACAGAAGGCATGTTTCGGTGAGACCGCGCCGTCGCAAGAACAGCTCTGTCTGCTCCATCCGAACCGAGGACCTGCGCTCGTCGGCCCCCGAGACAGAAACTCGCCCTCAATCTTCCGCAGCGGCAACAAACACCACCGTCACGACGCCTAATACCTCCCAACACGAAGCGAATGTGAACCCTCGTAAACGGGGTGCTGAAGATGCACCCTGCATGGAAGCCAGGGACAGGGACCTGCTTGTCAGTACGCGCAACAACCTCATCATTCATTATGACGGCCATACGCAGCACGTTTTGGAGGAAATGGTGCGCCATATCGGAACAGCTCGCAACAACATTCGGAAAGGCAGAATGACTCAGCTGCCGTTGCCAGGATATCGCAGCAAGATGCTGGACAGAAGCGCGAGGATGAATAGCTTGGCCCCTTCACTTTCCCCCTCCGAGTCCGGCGAAGACGATGTGTTATCTAGCATCCGCAAAGCCCGAAACCGGGGCCCTCCGGTGCCTCGCGCCCCGGAAATGCCCAGAGAGTCGCCATTTGATATGGCGGAGAAGCAACTGGAACTGGTGCATGGAGTGTGTGAGACGGCGGCATACCAGTTTCTTCGGTCCGGAGACTGTTCGACGGAGTTGAGCAGCGTAGAAGGCAAATTCAAGAGCCTTTTAGACCTGGCTACCAATGAAGTCCGTCGCTTGAAGGCCGAACAGCCCCAGGAACCGACTATTGAGGAGGACGAGACGGAAGCACCGGCCATGGAACCCGCGACCACGACCATTGAGGTTGACAGGCAATCTTTGTCGAAGATGGACACCATTGAGGTGGATGATAGTGCGCAGTCAGTGGAATCAATCGACTTGACAGCTTTTCGCGCTAATCGCCTTCGCCGAGGATGAGCCATGGCGACTCACTTACAGCATTGCGGGCGCACTCCTTTAGCGTGGTTGGGTTGCATACCCTTCAATATTCATTCTACATAAGCGACGATACCACCGGGATACATTTTTTTATTTTGCTTTGTGTTCCATCCCTGTCTCTTTCTGAAGCTGCATTTTTCTAGCCATTTACTATTGATCATATCTCACTTACAAGCGTGACTGTCATTAAAGCGCGTGGAGTTGGCTGGGGCATTTGTTTTGTCTGGACTTTTATCATTCATCCCTTCCTTGCTATTCATCAAAACACATCTTTCTATCTGCATACTAGTTGTTGTCAATGGGTACATATATTGTTCGACCACAAATCATCCACTCGATACGGACTCAATGGGTTAGTTATCAATGTGGTGCCCATGGCATCCAGCCTGTGTAACCAGGTTGCCTTGTCCCCCACGGGCATCTAGCTACATTTAGTGGTTGCCCAGTCCAGTCTATAGTAAGTATTACCTAGTGGGAATCGTCACAGGGGTGACAATACCATACCGGGCTCCATCCCTCGGGCTCCACTCTCATACAGACGGAGAAGGCGGAAATCTGACATTCCTTCCTCGTCGCTACTGTCCATAATTGGTCCATCGCCTCTTTAGCGATGTTGTTGAACCCCGTCTAGCCATTGAACCTGGAGCTGATCCAGTCCCGGCCCCGCCGCGATGGACCAGATTCCAGTGCGAATCCGGGAGGGATTGACAGCCGCGACCGGGTCGGAGCAATTTAGTCTGCTGGCACACAAAACTCCTCTTTCTCTTCCTTTCCAACCTCCAATGGTTGTCGTCTCGCTGCCTTGTTGATGGTGGATGTGGATCTTTTTGTTCGCGGGGTCGTTGTATTGAAGGTGTGGTATGGATCCCGTCCCGTCCCAGACTTTCTTTTCCACACACACACACAACCCCCCCCCGCCTCTCCTTAATCTATTGTTTCTGCAGTGTTTTATGGGGTATTTTCGCTGAAGACTGCTTAATTATTTGACAGTCCGTAGTAGGAGATGGATTATGGGTTCAATACTGATAAGCCGGTCTGCATGTAAATCAGCAAAACTACCAAGTAAGCTGAGTGGTTTTTATCTTCACCGAAACGCATCCGCGGCATAGCCGGCGGCGCCGAGGCACCGATCTCGCTCGCTCTCTCTCTCGGCTGCAACTTGGCTTCTTAACAGTAGACGAGTCCGTTACTGTCTGTTGATTAGTTACCGAGCGGGCAGCAACCGTAAGCCCGGTCACTCACTCTAAACTCTCCAAGCATTAGGCTTCCCCCCACCCGAACCACAACTGTTCTTACAGGGGGGGTTGTGGACATGGATGTTTAACGTTAATCCAGGTCATTTGGCCACTACTCAACTAGCTTTAACTGACTCAGGATTATATTACTCTGTGGCTGGCATCTAAATGGCTGGCTATGCGCGAACTAAAATTAATGTCAGCATCGTATTTTGCGAACTATACTCTGGTGGCTTTACTCGCTTATGAAGTCATCTCTACCCGAGGGTTTAGTCTCGCGTGTGTCTGAAGAATAACATCGGGGTATCGACTTTAGAGTCGAGAATCAAGGATTAGTGAATATGCGAAACTTATTCGGATCCATAACACCCTGAAGAGATTCGGCTATCTCCAATCTCTGCGAGTAAAACGATCAAGCATAGAGATTATATAAAAAGGCCAGAGTCTACGGCCCTGCTAGTATGTATATGCTTGAGTCCTTTTTGATGAAGTCACACTGACCATGGCATGTGCAGAATGTCTGGACTTATCTGGTCCGCCTAGATGCCTTTGTTCTTCATGCTCCTATCCGAGTAGTAGTACAAGCGGTCAGATGTGGCCACGACCTGACCGTTTGCCGGTCGTACCTGCCCTTCCGTGGCCTGTGACTAGACAAAATGTCCCAGTCGATAATGTCCCAACGGAGCTCATTATATGGAGCATTCTGGCTCCTGATCCCAAACCCAAGGGTATTACTATGTCCACCTGATTACGCATATCACTATTATGCCCGACTATCATTATAATCTGTTCCTCTTCACTATGGCCCTCTAGGGACCTGACAAAAACCCTAGACCATGCGCTCCTCTCAGTGTTGCGGCAATGTCCAAACCCAACTGTCAAAGGCCACTCCACGTTATCATTGTGGGTGCCTCGATCGCTGGCCTCACTCTCGCCCACTGTTTGTCCAACACTGGAATCAAATTTACCCTTCTCGAAGCAAGATCTGATACATATCCCAATGGTGCTGGGCTTGCCATCCTTCCAAATGGCGCCCGTATTCTCCACCAGTTGGGACTGTATCAAGAGATGTTGGTCCAAGGTCAATGCATGGTATCGCATAGCACTTGGCTTGAAACCGGACACCTCCTGCGACGAGTTGATGCGGGACGAATTCGATCTTTCAGACGGTATGCGCCCGGTGTGTCCTTGGAAGGGATGCGGACTGACTGCGTGTAGAACTGATTATCCTGTCCTCGTTATCTCCCGACGGGCACTCCTAGGCATTCTATATACTCGCCTCCAGAGCAGTCGGCTGTTCTTCAATCGACGAGTCGTCCGCATAGTGTCATCTGCGGATAATGTTACGGTTCATAGCGCAGATGGCATGAGTGTTTCCGGTGATCTGGTGGTTGGTGCGGACGGCGTTCATAGCACCGTGCGTAAGCAGATGTGGCATCATATCAGTGAAGCCAATGGTGCTATTGCCAGCTCTGGCTGGTTATCTGAAGTCCCCTTGACCAATTCCTTCGCTGGTGTTTTCGGTGTCGCTCAGTCGATTCCCAGGCTGAATAGAGGAGACGTCCATCGGACTTATGGACATGGCTGGTTAACAGTTATTATGGTGGGAGCGGACTCCAGAGTCTGCTGGTTTATGTCGATTGCGCGCACAATGATGCCAGTGTTGAACTCGCGCCATACTTCCGACCGCGCCTGTGTATCCAGGATCGTTGAACCTTTTCTGGAGAAGCATGTTACCAGCGACGTCACATTTGGCGAAGTCTTCAATCGCTCTGAATCATGCATATTGGCGTCACTGGAAGAGGGATTTCAAAACAGATGGTCCTGGGGCCGATTTGTAGGGATAGGGGATGCGGTACACAAGGTAACTCTCGCACACCCTGAATGCGTCATGGTAGGGTAGTTGACAATGATCTATAGATGGCACCGAACATAGCAGAAGGTGCCAATTGCGCCATTGAATCCGCCGCATCGCTTGCGAACCATCTAGTTTCCTTCACCGGCGAATCCCCTTCTTTGTACACGGAAGAACGACTCACTCCAATGTTGAAGGCTTGGGAAGATTCACGTAAGCGCAGAGCGAGGGGTCTTTTTCTCGTCTCATGGTGTGCGGTCCGCATAGAAACGACAACTAGCTGGGTGCTCAAGGTACAACAAGTGTTTCTTGCACAATTTCATGCAATGGGAATTGGCTTGCTCACTTCGATCACCTCGCGTACGGCACGAGTAGACCATCTTCCTTTACCACTGCCGCAAAAGAGCAGTACACAGCAAGTTCCGAAGAACAAAGAGCACGAAAGTGTATGGAACTTTCATGTGTTACTACTACCCCTAGCAGCGGCAACCAGCTTCATGTTCTATGCTTTGCATGCCCTGGTGATGTAGACAATGAATCATCTCTCTGGGCCAAGGGTGGTTGGTTTCTAAGAATGACAGGATAATATTATTAACTGCGTTGTTTTCACACAGAAACAAATTAAACGATCCAACAGGCAGCTAGTATGTGTAGGCTAGAGTTACCAGAAGCGATCAGAGTGAGGGACTTTATGGCTTTGTTGAGGGGCGAGGTTAGTGTCAAAGGTAGTCAGTCCTCCGCCGTCTTTCACACGCTTGAGGGATTTACCCAAGCCACTGATCTCAACCGCACTCCATCCCCCGGTCCAAATTTCCTCAACCACTGGTTCTGGTAAAACCCGCAGGTGTCATCGGCCGGGGGTTTCTATCAATCTATCACCAGGCAATGCTCGCATGGCATCCGCACTGACCTTGCGCGTGGTTGACAGTCTGAGCCTCCACTTCCAACTATAAAATCTGTCGCGCACGGTGAGATTTCAAGTTACTGCATACAAAAACTTTTTGCGTTCTATTCTGTATTGTCCTGCTCTTCTCGCGTGGTGTCTTTTTTCTCTCAACCGGCTGAACTGAGCTCCTCTACTTCTTCAAGATGGACGCGAAGTCAGGCGTGTCACTCAATGCCGAAGCGACTCGTCTCCGCTGGCAAGAAGGCGACGAAGAGTCGGGCGTAGCAGCCAGGAGAGACCCTCCGCAGCTTTCTCGAACGACATCAGTGGCATCCAACAGCTCTGCTCGCAGTCGCGCACGAAGAGCGACCGTTGACCCCTCCCTTTCTCTGCCAATTCATTATCGTACAGTGTCAGTGCTGCACTCGGTATTGATAAACGCTCATTGAGCGCTGACATCATTTGAATAGTTCATTTGATATCGATGAGGCAAGAGACCGTGAACGAGCGGAGGCTGCAAAGACAAAAAGCAATGTCGCGACCGGTATGCTTCCACTCAGTTGCCGATCCTTTGTCAGGAACCCTCCGTGTTGACGATAGCTTTCTAGATCTCTCCAATCTCGACTGGCACATGATTTCTCCGGAGGAAATACAGAAACGATGGCGAGTGGACATCTCTCAAGGCCTATCGCACGATCAGGTCCAGCAACGGGTCCGTGAGTTTGGGAAGAACGCTCTGTCTCCGCTGCCACACCAATGGTTCTGGCAGATCTTTGGCTATTTCTTCAAAGGCTTCGGGGGCATCCTACTGATTGGCTGCATACTCGTGTTTATCTCTTGGAAGCCCTTGGGACAGCCTCCCGCTCCGGCAAATCTTGCCTTGGCTATAGTCCTGCTGGCAGTGTTCTTCATTCAGGCGGGTTTTAACGCGTGGCAAGACTGGTCGTCCTCTAGGGTCATGGCTTCAATCACAGCAATGCTACCTGAGAGCTGTCTTGTTCTCCGGGACAGCTCTCTGGTGGTAGTCTCTGCTCCGGATATTGTCCCTGGAGACGTAGTACATCTCAAAGCGGGAAACAAGCTACCTGCAGACGTGCGCTTGGTTGAGGTCTCCAATGACGTTTGCTTTGACCGTTCTATTTTGACTGGTACGCTACCATCTGAAGAGCTGGCAGCATGGGCTAATGAATCGTTTAGGCGAGTCGCTGCCGGTCAACGGGACTATCGATTCCACGGATGACAACTACCTTGAAACTCACTGCATTGGACTTCAGGGAACACATTGCGTCGCTGGAAGTGCAGTCGGTGTGGTTGTCTCTACTGGAGACTCGACTGTCTTTGGTCGAATTGCTAAATTGACAAGCGAACCTAAGAAAGGACTGTCTACTCTTGAAAAGGAAGTCTTGCGATTTGTATTGTTGATCGTTATCATCATGCTCACGATGATTATCATTGTCATTGTGGTTTGGTATGTAGTTTCCCGTAACCATCACGCTTGCTTACTGACATCCACAGGGCTACATGGCTCCGAGTCGACCATCCAGGGTGGATTAACGTGCCAACACTCATCGTCGACTGTGTCAGTGTTGCAATTGCCTTTATTCCAGAAGGCTTGCCAATTGCCCTGACTGCGAACCTGACCATTACCGCCAATCTCATGAGCAAGAACAAAATTCTGTGCAAGTCTCTGAAGACGGTTGAGACATTAGGTGCAGTTTCGGTGATCTGTTCCGACAAGACTGGAACTTTGACAAAGGTCTGTCCTATACCATCCAGGCTCCAACTCTGCTAACTCATATGCCTGGCTTCAGAACAAAATGTTTGTTACCGATTGCGCCCTCTCAATGTCTCGTTTTAGCACAGAGCTAGCGAGAGACGAAATGGTAATCAAGGGAAGGAAAACCGGAATGCATCAGCTTCGTGGTGTTGCTGGCCTCTGCAATGCAGCAGAGTTCGATGCCTCATCCCTGAACAAGCCCCTTCATGAGAGAGAAATCCACGGCGATGCAACTGACCAGGCTGTCTTGAGGTTCTCTGAAGGCCTTGGGTCAGTTGCAGAGCTGCGGCGTACCTGGCGGAAGACATACGAACTGGCATTCAACAGCAAGAATAAGTTTATGATCAGGACTTTCAGTCTGGTCGAATCCGCGGGATTGAGTCTTGGAATGTCCGCAGCGGAATCAGCCCAGTTCAAGCGGAACGATACGTTAGTCAAACCCCTTCTCTGGTCACTACCCGTGCTAATAATACCAGTCTTCTTACTATAAAGGGCGCACCCGACATTCTGATTGAGCGATGCACACAGGTTGTAGATACAGATGGAAGCGTACAACCTCTGGATGGACGGATACTTGCTCATATCAAATCTGTCAAGGATCAGTGGTCCAGTGAAGGCAAACGTGTGATCCTGCTTGCCCGGAAAGTTCTTCCAGTTTCAGATATTACGCCCCTTCCTTCGTCCAGGGAATTCGAATCGCACGTCATGTCTCACGCGAAAACGGGCTTGATTCTTGTTGGCCTGGTGGGCATAGTCGATCCCCCGAGAGAAGAGATTCCTGATGTGGTCAGAACACTGAGGCGCGCGGGAGTCCGCATCTTCATGGTTAGCTTCTCTACCTGGAATCCGGATATGTCTGCTAACAGCCCATAGGTGACTGGTGATTATGGGCTCACTGCTCTGGCCATCGCCCGACAATGCGGTATAGTCAGCACTCACGGACCAGTCGACACTGCCTCGTCCCTGAAGCGGCTCCTTGAGTACGATGAAAAGCCACCTAGTACTCCATCTACCATGGCAATTACACTGAGCGGGTCTGAACTCATGAGCTTGAACGACCACCAATGGGAACAGCTATGTCAGTACCAAGAGATTGTCTTCTGGCGTACCACTCCGGAACAGAAGTTGCGTATTGTCCGTGAATTCCGCGCTCGCGATGAGATTGTCGGCATGACCGGCGATGGAGTCAATGATGCACCATCCCTCAAGGCTGCAGACATTGGAATTGCTCTGGGAAGCGGCTCCGACATTGCCATCGAGGCGTCAGACATGGTATTGATGGAATCATTCTCAGCTATCGTCGAAGCGGTGCAATATGGCCGTGTATTTTTCGACAACCTGAAGAAAACCATTGTCTATCTTCTACCAGCCGGTTCCTTCTCAGAGTTCTGGCCCGTGTTCACCAACGTTGTGTTCGGTCTTCCTCAGGTCCTGTCTTCTTTCCTGATGATTATCATCTGGTAAGCACCGCACGAACACATACCACCCTCACAAGAACCCGGCCCTCCTTACTCACATAACCTACCTAGTTGCTTCACCGACTGCGCCGCAGCAACCGTCCTCGCCTACGAGGCCCCAGAAGCCGACGTGCTCCTCCGTCCACCCCGAAAGCCCAAACAAAACCGCCTCGTGAACTGGAAACTGATCTTTCACGCCTACGGCATCCTCGGCATGATCGAAACAATCGCCTCATTCGCAATGGCCTACTGGTACCTCGAGCGCAACGGGATCCCCTTCTCAGCCCTATGGTTCAAGTTCGGCGCAACCCCAAGCAACATTGACAGCGACTGGCTCAATGCCCGACTCAACGAAGCAAGCTCCGTTTACTTTATCAACCTCGTAGTCATGTATGCATCTCATCTCATCCCCAACTCCCTCTATCAAGCCCCACGCTAATAACTTTTTCAGGCAATGGTTCAACCTCATGGCCGTCCGGACCAGACGTCTCTCCATTTTCTCGCACCCACCGGCCTTCAATAAACAGACTCAGAACCTGCTTCTCTTCCCCGCGATCCTGTTCGCATTGGCGATGGCTGTTTTCTGGCTATATATCCCGCCGTTGCAGAGGGTGCTAGATACGAGTAGCGTTCCGGTGGAGCATTATTTCTTGCCGGCTGCCTTTGGGCTGGGGATTCTTATACTGGATGAGTTGCGCAAGGCGGGAGTGAGGAGGTGGCCTGGTGGGGTGTTGGATAGGCTTGCTTGGTAGATTTACTTGCTTTGTGGTTTGTTTACTGGGTGGGTTCTCTTATCTGGTGAGTTAGTTGATTTAGTTCGTTGCACATATAGTAACGGATCTGTGGACGATAGTTTAAGTAGTAATCTGATACCTCTTTCTTTTCCTTTCCCTACATGATCTACTTCTGCATGATGCATCCAGAATCTACAGTACGATCCAGACACACAAAAAAAATATGAAAGAGAATAATGATTCCACATAATGTATATTGCTCAACGTGACGACTTTTTCAACCAAAATTCCCAATCATGTACAGGCTAACACCTCGAGATCCAAAAAAAAGCATAGCATAGCAGAAGCAACCAAAGTTACGCACGTGAGTCGTCAGATCCGGAGCCAAATCGAAATCGAAATAAAAAGATTACAATGTAGAAAATAAAATAAAAGCCGCAAGAGGGGTATTCTTTACAGACGGAATCACCAGAAATAAGGATTGCCGTAGACATCCTGGTAGCACTGATAGGCGTCGGGGCAGCTATATTCTCGTTAGTATAGTTATTTCTCCAGTATTCTTGCTAAACTCAACCCGAGGAACAGGGGAGGGGGGGAACGTACTAGACCGGATCCTTTCCAAAAATAATATGCCATGTATACTCCATCACATGGGCACTCAAATCATCCGACAACCCTGTATTCAACACCCAGTCATAGAACCACGTGTAGTGCTCCAATGGCCGCTTGAGGACCTGCTCCCTCGACACAGCGAATTGCGAGCAGCACGCCACTCCAACCACATCCGGTACGTTGGTGTTGTTGAACAGCTCCACCCACGCCTGCGCGTACACGCGCTCCGCCGTCTTTCCGAATTGCGGGGGGTCTCGGAAGGGGCGAATCTCATCGGGACAGCCGGGCGTCTGCTGGCACCGGAGGTTGACGTAGCCGTTTCGTTGCACGAAGTCAGTTTGTAAGGCTCGGATGGAATCCACGTTGCTGTAGGCCATGGTGTCGGTGTGCCAGGCGCCGGGCCAGCCGTCTTTGTGGCTGTGGAGGAAGACGATCGTGCTGGGGAGGTCGTCGTAATGATCCACGATGTATTGGAGGTAGGCGAGCGATTCACGACCCTTGTTCTTGGGGGTGTGCCGGGGTGCGGTCACGTCGTCAACGGTGTAGATGACGTTGCGCCATCTGGTGATTCAGTTTTGTTAGGAATTTGGTTCAATTGTGAGAGGGTGTGCAATTAGGATACGTACTCTGCCAAATCATTGCTCACCCAGCTGGTGTCCTCGGTAGATAACTTTGCCATGACGATAACGCGATCATTCGGGACGATAATGGGAGTGGTTTCGTAGAGTGGACGCGAGACGGCCGAATCGGAGGAGCCTTTGGTTTTGCCATTGCTGTTGCTGTTGTCGCTGCCGGTAAGAATAGGTTTCGAGTTCTTCGGAGTTGACACCCCGTCGTTGCCACTGTTCACATTGTTGCTGCTGCCATCCGCTGCAGATTCGGCGGAGAAGGAGCTGAAACTCCAGCCGGACTGAACGCGCGCATCATCCTGGACGAGGTCGAGGTGGCGTTTAATGAGGATGATGGCGAGGATGATAAGTGCAGCCGCACCAATCCGGTAGGATAGTCTCATTTCATAACGCGCCTGCGAAAAGCCCAGGCTGAGACCACCGAATGGGATTGGAAGGGAGGGAAGGGAGGGCGGAAAAGAGAGAGAGGGAGAAGGAGGAGAAAAGCGAAAGCGAGAGAGCGAGAAGGAGAAAGAGGCAACGTGGGAAGAAAGATCCGACGAAGGGGTTTAGTGTTCAGTTGATTTTGGTGAAATTAACCACGACGGGATTGTTACCAGGTACGGGGGTCTGGGAAGTACAGGAAAGAACAGCCGAACGATGGAAAATTGAAATGCAAATAATTTCTTAAAGTGAATTAACGGCAGCGACTTGCTGACTCTGACGCCCGCCCGCCCGCTGGAGGCTTATCTCCCTGGGGGGCGCTTGGCGCCGATTGGTGGGTTTCCGGGCGGGATCATCAGGGATTCTTACCATTACTCGAATTACCACCGATTCTTTTCTTACATACGGTATGTGAACAGGTCTGTTAGTTACATGGTAGCCTAAATAGCAGGCAGTCACTTCTACTCGGGGATACGAAATGCGAGACTACTATGGAGTCGGGTAAAACAATAATCCCAAAATGTTTCAGACCTGTCGGTATAAATAGTCTCAGTCATCATTCTAGACTCGGGCGCGAAGGATCAAGCTTTGTCGAGGATGGAGTAGTCTCTAAATAGTGATTATTCTCGCCTCGTCCTATTTTAAACCATTAAGGAAGTAAAGCAGATAAAAGCATTAGCCTCGCTCTAGTTTCAAAAATTTAGAGTACAATAAAGTCCCTGACTCAGACGAACCCCTCGCATGAATTTTCAATTAGCAGCTGTAATCTTCGCTTGTTTCTTTCCTTTCCTTTTTCTCTCGTCTCCTCATCCACTGCCGATCCCCCCCAGCAAAAAATACAATCCGTCGGGCTCCGTGCGACAATCACATTTATCGCCAGGGTCCAAAGGATACTAACCACTATCCGTGCATTAGACCGGTTGCAAAGACAGCAAAGTTTCTCCGTGAAGAATACTACCATAACCCCCGCCTCCAATAAGGATCATCTCTCTCACAACCAGTCAAATCCATCCTGGTGCCACGACCTGCGCTGTCAGAAACGCTGACACTGACAGTGGCAGGCAAGTCCGATCCCATCCCGTCTCTAATCGGGCTACGATCCACAGCCACCGAGTCTATCTCAAACGTCCCACAACTCGGGCCAGTCCTACTGGCCAGCTGGCTTCTCCCGGCTGAACCCTGAATATCCACCCGTCAGCAGGGCTGTGTTGCTGCCGGTTTTCGCTGTTTTTACACGGTAACTTACAGTGTGATTACCAGAGAATGCTATGAAAAGCAGCGTTGAAACTGACCATCCCATTATTTAAGTAGGACTATGACTGACATCATGGTAGATGTGACTATTACCTCCCAACCGAAGAAATCCGAGTCAAGGGTTTATGTCTGAACCTATAACAGGGAAACGAGTTGTCTTTGTTGTCTTTGTCGTTGCCGACAACATTGCCATAGAGGGCAAGGATCTGAATATGCCAAGCAACCAAGCATCGACCAGCTGCAGGGTCAATTCATTGACGAGCATTCAATTACCCCACTGTCTTTTGTTTTTATTTTCCTTTACCATATGCAATTGCTCATCGTTGAGGGGATATCAAGTGTCGCCTTGATCTATTCGGATTGCGCCCCAGGCAGTTACAACTTAAAGGACAACCCCAGATCCGAGAATCACCCTTTGCGCCCGAAGGATTGCACGCAAATGAGCTATCACATACGGAGTAGTAGCGAAGAGCTTAACCTAGAATCCTGCTTAGGTATGTAAGTAGTTAGTACTGCAGTGACCAGCTGTCCCAACACAAAAGCGTATCAATCAATCAATCAGATTCCTGTTCACCCCCACATGATCCCTGCCGATCCGTCTATTCGTCCATCCATCAATGGACGGAATTATGTCTGCAGATATTATCCATTATATCTACCATGGCCTATAACATGATAAATACGAACTTATGCAAGTGTCGGGAATACTACGTACACACTAGCAGGATATGGCGCCAGTCTGAGATTATATCTCCGGGGTAACTGTGTAGAACCGAGACGAGTAATTGATGAAAGTCGACACAGTGGTAGTCTACGAAATCCTATGAGATCACTTCTCATAATTGGCAATTATCCCCTGGAGTTATGCACAATCGGACTGGATACTGCCGTAGTACTTCTGGACGGTGGCACATAATATTGTCGCGTGGTGGCACTGCTTAATATGCGATGATATACCCCGGCCATGAGCATGTGATGTTATCTTGAGTATGACAGCGTTAATGCTTACTCTTTATTCACTGTTATGTGTTTGACTTTCGAGCTTACCGGCTTTTATTTAGTAGTATTTGTATACTATCAAAAGAACTACTAACATACTGCACAAGTAGTACTAGGAGCCAAACTGATCGAAAGTTGCATGGAGTTCAATGAAGCTCATTGTGGTTCTGGCTCGGGCAACATCCTTTGATGAAGGATATATTTTCCGAACTGGAGCGGCATTGGCTCCTCAACACGAAGAAACTTAATCGGACTTTGTTAACTAGAACTCACTATGGTTCCGATTTCAACATGAATGAACTAAGGAAATTCTTCGACTTGTATTATGGAAAATTTTTACTTATCTTCCTGGGCCTTGATAACAATACGTGGGAGGCCCGGTCCTATATTAGGCTCGGTCGTTTCCATTGTCCATGGCTATGAAGGGAATTACTCTGGTATATACGAAAAACCGATATTAATCAATTGGTGATCGGCTTAATATATAATATCTCCAGAAACTAGATACGCGACCATATTAATGGGGTCGATTGAGTAGAATTGCCATTCGGCTTTTCCTTGGGCCTCCGGCGAAAGTGGCTTGAATGCTAGCGAGGTATAGATGCTGCCTAATATGGGAATTTGACAAGCCAAAACGCGATTCAGAGCACAGCACCTTCTAGTTATGCTCGGAGTTAAGAATGAAATTGATTTACATGACATAGATACAGTGAGTGCCCCATACAGTGCTATGGACTATATGAGGTTTCCCGATCAGGCAATATTAGTATGAAAGCACACCTTATGGCATCACTATAGTTTCGTCACAACACTTCAACATACAAAGCTAAGTAGCTAAGTAAGTAAAGCACATTAGCTCTATAATAACAGATATTAAGGTTGTCTTGTAAATACGCTTTCAAATAATATGGTTACAAGCCCAGAACCTAAGGTCGTCTCATGACATTTTACTGCTGGCGACTAGGAATTATAAGCCTGCAGGCTATACTACTATACCTTCAAATAAGTTCTACTAATCCGCCCAGCCATCAAACAAGTGATTTTCAAGCGAATAGCGCTTTCACAGTATCATAATACCATCCGCTATCTCAAAGTCACCATCGATGTTCGCTATCCAGTTTGACGTGAGCAATGTCAGTGAGAGTATTTAATATATGACAGATAAATCGAGCATGTTCATCTCCCAGTATTCAATGTATACGATTGCATAACCTAGAAAGTGGAGAGTTATCGCATGGGGATAGTATCTCGATATTGCAATGTGCCGCCCGTCAGCGGTGGTCCAAGTGCACGGTCGCTGATTGCTTAGGCCGAACTAGTTGGATACTGAAGCCACCATCATTGTGCACTATCAATGCTCTAGGTACGGTGGTACCATCCAGTGGCCTGTGCCCTGGAATGACCCAGACTTTTGGGACTTGCGGCTGAATGGAAATTAAATTGCGTCGATGGGAAAAAGACCTGCTTCAACCCATCCTGTCATAACCCAGGCAATGCATGGATGACATTTTGACAGCCGGTTGACGTGAGAGAGCACGAACACGAGATACGAAGTCGTGCTATAAGATTTCCAGATTCTTGATAGAGTCTGTGGCTGAAACATTGGGGGGTAAGCCAGGAAGCACGTAAGGGGCCAAGAAGGATTGCTGGTTGATTCAGCTGGGGCTGAATCATTCTTCATCGGTGACTGAAATGATTCCTCCTTCATCCTCTTCCATCCCATCCACTTGTCCTTGTCCTCATTATCCTCATCCTCTCAGGACTAGGACATTCACTCGATAGACAATAAGACGAACACCTGACCAGGGAAAGGTTCGTAAGTGATCGGCTGATCCGCGCACTGCCCTGTCATGCCGGGTTGAATCCATCGCTTTGGCTGGATGGCTGTGGTTAACTTGTTTCTTCCTTGAGCCTCGTTCCCGCGCCCTCCCTTTTCTTGTTTTCTCTCTTTCACCCTGTCCTTCTCTCTCCCTCTTCCTCCCTCCCTATTGTCTCTCTTCCCCCCGTCCCCAACCCTCTCCTCGCCTTTGTTTTGAACTTTTTCTTTTTCTTTTGTTCACGAATCCCGTTCCCAACGCCTCCTGAATTCCTCATCCATCCGATCAACAAATTATCCGCTGGATCATGCAAATCCAGCTCTCCGGGTACCCCACCTTAGCCTCTACCCCGCCATGAGCTCTTCTCTCGAGGCTAAAATTGTTGTCCTCGGCGCCCAAGGTCAGTCTCTCCTTCCTCTTCTCTCTCAGACTCCACCCGACTAGAACCGCCCAGGCGTCGGCAAAACCTCCCTTGTCGATCGCTATGTCAAGAACGACTTCAACCCCTCCGCTACAGCCTCGACTGTGGGAGCCTCCTTTGTGACGAAGCGCGTCCTCGACAGCTCTTCCGATACCATCGTTCGACTTCAGATCTGGGATACAGCCGGTCAGGAACGTTTCCGTAGCATCTCTCGTCTCTACTACCGCGGCGCCAATGCCTGCCTTCTCTGCTACGACATTACCGACGAGCAAAGCTTCCAAGAAATGACCGGCTGGCTAGCGGAATTGAAGAAGAACCTTGCTGAAGACGACCCCATTGTGATTCACGTCGTCGGAACCAAAACCGATATTGTTACCCTTGATCCCTCTCGGCGAAGAGTCCCCTTCGAACGCACCATCGCCTACGTCGCGGAGCAGCTTTACCCAACACAAGCATCCACACCGCCCGCGACGGCCGGCCTGGGCGGGCATTCATCCAGTACACTCGCAGGCGTTGATAGCAAGCGCAGTAGTGCGTTCTGGGGCCAGGATATCGGGTGGGATTGTTGCCATGAGATTAGCGCCAAGGATGGTGAGGGTATCGAGGAGGTATTCCGGGTCATAACGCGGAAGCTGGTCGAGCAGCGCAACAAGCGGGAAGCGGGAACAAGTTCATCGCAGCGATCATCGACGGTTTTTGACGGGACGACGTCTTCTCTTACCCCCGGAAATATCGATGGGAATGGGAGCTTCCGCTTGGGGTACGGGGACAAACGCCGCAGCTGGTTAGGATTTCCGCCCAGTAGTGTGGGGGATGAATTGGAAGATATTGTGGAGGGTCCTAAGCGGAAAGGAGGACAGTGTTGCTGAGCTACTATCCTCCTGCTGGTTATGATGATGTGACGACGATGGATGTTCAGTCTCTTATTTGTTCTCCTGCATTTTGACTTCCATGATGATGACTGACTGCATTATGAAGCTCGGCTGGCGTTATTGTTGCATTGTGCCTTTTCTGACGTTATGCAGATGTTGTTCGTGGTTTATGATGCGCATTTGCATGGTTTGTGTGCGTGTGTTTTGGATGATTGCAGCGTGTTGAGCATCGCTTGGTTGTTCGTTTCGTTGATTCTGGATGATAAAAGGTGCGGGCACCCTCCGTTTGGATTTGAAATTTAACTGGCGAGGCATAGTAGATGGCATGATGGTTGATACTTAACATGGATGAATTTATGCAATTATGTGATTTAGCTTGTTTGTGACCTTTGAGTGACTAGTGTACAATGAAGAGCTCCTAACAGGTGATAAATCCTATCGGGATGAACATGATGCTGTATGCCTGCAGCAAACGTAGTACCTGATTGTTCACCATGCAATTCTAAGCTAATGGCTCACGTTGCCTGGGATCTAAGAGTTCCAGCGATCAAATCATGATCCTACTTTCGAAGGATTCTTCAGTCTGACCCTCTGTGTGCGCGACCGTTGTACAATCTTGTCTTGTCTGAAGGCCTTCTTTGGATTTTAGAAGAAATATCGAATTCAGATAAGCGCAATTTAGACTGATATTCTGACTGCCATCAAGGCCATCGTATTATTAATATTGCAAGTGCTACTAGTCGAGGCCGCCATTGCCTCTTTCCTGCGCTAAGCTCGATTCCGTAAGTTGTGCATATCTCAGGGCTCGAATTCAGCGTCATGTCAGATCGGGTCTTCCTGACCACTTGATATATCATCTTAATTGAACAAATTGGCTATAGGCAAACCCAATGTAAAGCCGGTTCGTCAAAACTTCCGGACTGCCGACCTGACCGCCAGCGTAGACCATTTGGTTGACTGAAGTGTTGCAGAACAGCCGAGGTGGTCCCTGACTGAATGCAGTCGGCCGAGAAAAAGCGCGCAGTCACCCGAAGAGGAGGGATTGAACGGTTCTGGTTCCCCCCGCCTTCTTGAGCTTAACGGGATCGACCAACGACCGCCTGCCGATTTTCTGTGCCCGCCGCTCCATAGGCTTTCGCTCCCCATTAACCCGAGGTCTGGTTTGGTTGCATTGCCAACAATTCGTCTTTCCTCTTTCTCTCTCTCTTTTCTCTCGGGCGATACGTCTCTTCCTTCATATACTACTCCAATATCCCCTCTTACTTTTCTGCAGTTCTTGTTTTTATCCCTTCTCTTCTCCTCTCTTTAGTATCCTGTCTCTCCCGATCACCTCTATCCCACCCTACCACGCCACTATGAGTAAAGGCAAGCTCACAGGCGCTGCTGTCGCCGAACACAACTCCAAGGACTCGTGCTGGGTCATTGTCCATGGAAAGGCCTACGATGTGACCGAATTTCTCCCTGGTATGTTCCTTGTCACCAGTACCATATGCTTCTGTTACTGATAAGATCCTAGAGCACCCGGGTGGCCAGAAGATTATCCTCAAGTATGCCGGCAAGGATGCGACCGAGGAGTTCGACCCCATCCACCCACCGGACACCCTCGACAAATACCTCGATTCTTCCAAGCATCTCGGAGAAGTCGACATGACTACCGTCGAACAGGAGGAGAAGACTGCCGATCCCGAGGAGGAGGCGCGCCAGGAGCGCATTAAGTGCATGCCTTCGTTGGCGGCCTGCTACAACCTGATGGACTTCGAGACTGTTGCCCGAAGCGTAATGAAAAAGACCGCATGGGCCTACTACTCTAGCGGTGCAGACGATGAAATTGTAGGTCATGTCTTCCTCGTTCCTCCACCAGCATGTACTAACAACGAGCCTGTCTAGACCATGCGGGAAAACCACTCTGCCTTCCACAAGATTTGGTTCCGCCCCCGAGTCCTCGTCGACGTCGAGCATGTCGACTTCTCCACAACCATGCTGGGTACCAAGGTATCAGTGCCTTTCTACGTGACCGCGACCGCCCTCGGAAAGCTGGGCAACCCTGAGGGTGAAGTCGTCCTCACCCGTGCAGCACACACCCACGATGTCATCCAAATGATTCCCACATTGGCCTCCTGCTCCTTCGACGAGATTGTCGATGCCCGCCAGGGCGACCAGGTGCAATGGCTTCAGCTCTACGTGAACAAGGACCGCAACATCACCAAGCGCATTGTCCAACACGCCGAAGCCCGCGGCTGCAAGGGTCTCTTCATCACCGTTGATGCCCCTCAACTCGGCCGTCGTGAGAAGGACATGCGCTCCAAGTTCTCCGACGTCGGCTCCAATGTGCAAGCCAGCGGCGGTAGCTCCGTCGACCGCTCCCAGGGCGCCGCCCGCGCTATCTCCTCCTTCATCGACCCCGCTCTGTCCTGGAAGGACATCCCCTGGTTCCAGTCCATCACCAAGATGCCCATCCTGCTCAAGGGCGTCCAGTGCGTCGAGGACGTCCTCCGCGCCGTCGAAATGGGCGTGCAGGGTGTCGTGCTGTCCAACCACGGTGGTCGTCAGCTCGAGTTCGCCCGCTCCGCCATCGAAGTTCTCGCCGAGGTCATGCCCATCCTCCGCGAGCGCGGCTGGGAGAACAAGATCGAGATCTACATCGACGGCGGGATCCGTCGTGCCACTGACATGCTGAAGGCCCTCTGCCTCGGCGCCAAGGGCGTGGGTATCGGCCGTCCCTTCCTGTACGCCATGTCGGCGTACGGCCAGCCCGGCGTGGAACGCGCCATGCAGCTTCTCAAGGATGAGATGGAGATGAACATGCGTCTGATCGGCGCCACCAAGATTGAGGAATTGAACCCCAGTCTGATTGACGTGCGGGGCTTGGTGGGCGGTCATAGTGCCCCTGTGCCTTCGGATACTCTCACCACGGGTGCTTATGATCCTCTCCAGGCGCCTCGGTTCAGCGAGAAGGCGAAGCTGTGATTGTTGAATAGAGGATAGATGCTGTTTATTTCGTTTATTTCTTTTCATTGCAGGTCTGATACATATACATCACTGCATTTGTGTATATACTATATACCCCCGTTTTAGCCTATAAACAAGACTGTACATTTTTTATTCATATATGGAAGTTATGTAGGACATTAGTATAAATGAAACGAGTAGCTTGGAATGATTATCTTAAGTCTCCCGAGCTTGATCCCGGAAATTATGTACAATACACCCTGCAACCTTTCTCATCACTCATTGCAACCACATACCTTTTCCCCTTCTAGGCTCTCCCTTATATACAAGGAAAATGACATGGAAAAATACCATCCATTACCACCCCCCACAAACCAAATCACTCGATTAGTGATCAACCTACAAAACCACAACCCTGGGCTTATTCCTCAGCTCACCCGAATCCCTATACATACAAGCGGCATTAACCACCCACCCGGCATCCCTATTCTCCCCACCCCAGACCCTGGCCCAAACGACCCCCAAAACACCATACAGCACGACCCTCGCCGAATCCACCAAGCCGGAGAGATCAAACAGATCTCGCAAGAACCCAAACAGGGAGCCGAACCTCGACAGACGGGCACGGGATTTCCTCGACGCGCAGAGTCGTTCCCACGCGCGCTGGGCCTCATCGTAGAAGACGCGCTCGATGCCGTACGCTGCGTGGACGTGGCCGAAGACGTGCAGGGCCGGGCGCACGCGCCATAGTTCGGAGAGGAGGAATGGGCAGCCTGCTGAGTAGACAGGGGAGAGGTCGAGGCGGGATTGCGGGGGTGTATGGGTGACGAGGATGTCGGTGGAGGCGGGGATGGTATTGGACCAGGCGTCGTGGTGTGGGGGGTAGGTGAAGGCGTGTTCAGGGCCGAAGGGCACGATGGCGGGAATTTGGGGCGCGCCGTAGATGGTTAGGGTGCGGGGGCGGAGGGGGGTGGTGCTGGTGATGCTCGATGAGGAGGAGGATGCGGTGGTGGGTGGGAAGGTCAGGGTGATGGAGGAGTGTTGGAGGTAGTGGATGTCGTCGCCCCAGTCGATGCGGGGGTGAGGGTCGTCGGTTAGGTAGTCGTCTAGGGAGCGGAGGGAGGCGGTTGAAGAAGAGATGGTTGCGTATGTGGATGAAGTGTTGTTGTGGGACGAGGAGGCATCGATGCGGTCTTCGGGGAGACGCGATCGCGTGTCGAAGTAGCTGTCGTGGTTGCCGCAGATGACGACTTTATGCGGGTGAGGGAGACTGCGCAACCAGTTCACGGCGGCTTGGATTTCGCGGGCGCTGCCATCGTTGCAGAGATCGCCGGCGTGGATGAGGAGGTCGCCATCGGGAACGTCGGGGTATTCGAGGGTGTGGGTGTCGGAAATGCAGACGACGCGGATGGGACGGGCGTTCGGGGGTGGGAGGTGAGGAGGGCCGCGGAGGTGGTTGAGGAGTTGATGGAGAGGATAGATGAGAGTTGCTAGAGGTGATGAGAGGAAGTAGTCGGGGAAAGGACGGCGATGGAAGGGGGAGGACATGGTGGAATGGATTTTCTTGTTTTTGAAGAGGGAGAGAGGAAGAATAGGAGGAGAGGAGAAGAGGAGGAGAAGAATAGTATGAGGTTATTCCATGGTAGTGGTGGTCGTTGTTGGCATTCAGGTTCAGGTGATTGAAGCAGCTTAACGTGGATTCATGCGCTGCTGGGCGGAGGTGGGGAGTCCCGGTCACCAATCAGAGCATTTGCACCTGAACAGTCAATTTACGTGGGATCGATTGGGCAGTGGATATTTCCAGGTACAGTTTACAATGTAATAGGATACTACAATGGTAATATCTTGCCTTAATTGCTACAAAGAGTATGGAGCAAGAATATGGATGGTTCCAAAGGTGACGCGTTATCATTGTCTCAGACGACAGGATACAAAACTTTGCCTTGTATTGTAGTATCCAAGGGGATGTTAATCCAGGAGATCTCCTAAATCAGTTTCAGTCCATCGAGTCGGATGTTTTGAACGTCAGGCGTAAGGGGACATCACGTGCACGACGAGGGGAAAGAAAAGACAGCAAGAAAGAACGAAAGAGAGAGAAAGGAGAATGAATCATCGACTCCGCAAAAGAAGCTGGACAAGACGGACACTAACCAAGTAGCACTTCCTGTCTTCGTCGTCCGGAAGTCGGCTGGAGCAGGCGATCGGACGCTTATCCACTGGGCCGTGAGTGACATCAAGTCTAGATCCCATGTCCCACTCCAGCCAGAGAGTACCTCTGGCTCGTCTCCCATGCGGTCGCTATCCCTCAAGCATCTGTAAATTCCCCTAGAGTACGGCTCCACGTTTCTTCCTCGATCGCTTCCATGCAACGTCCATACTATTTAAATATCTAAAAGGGTCATAAGGTGCCTGGATCCATGTAGGACGAAGTGCGGGTTGTAGTGTCCCTCTTTCCGTACCCGTTGTTACGCCGTAGCCTGGCTGGGGATGTAGATAGACAATGAAACCTCCGCCTCATCCTCCATCCATCTATCCCTCGGATGACACTTTTTTTTTTTTGTCCCTTTCAACAGTTCAAGCCCATTGTCTGGTCCAAAGAGCATCTCTCCCAAAAGCATGAGGTCCCCCAACGTTGACCGGTGTATATGCTCGAGCCTGAAGACTTACTCAGGCCCAACCGGGTGAATCGATCCAGAGCCCATTCATGATTTGCCACATGCGTGGGTGGTCAACAACTCTTCTCTTCTCTTCATCTACGCTTGCGGACATTCCTTGTCGATCTCCAACATCGATCTTTCACGTCCCTTCTATCCTGTGGCCCTTTCTTCTTCCCCCTTTGGACCACCGTGAAATCAAAGGGTTGTGAGATTTGCCGGATCTACGAGTAGTAGTGATCAGCCCCTCGTTGCATTGCTCTCTCCTGCTCCATCCATCGTGTTCAATCGCCCCGTCTATATCGTTTGCGTCATCCGCCCAGCCCCAGTCATCTGCACTGGTTTCATAGTATTAGGCTTTGATTTCCATGTTCTGGAGTCCATGTTGGCCATTCTTTGAAATTACTTGATTGTGAACACCCACCATCCTCCAAGTGTGCACTCCTATACTAGACTCTTGACCCGGATTCCCCTCCCCCAAGTGAGTCTGCTGCATCTGGCATTGGCGTTTTGTGGGCGCTGCTGAACCCAAACCAACCCCTCAGATTCGCACAACCAAAAGCCGGCCAAACCAAACCAGACCAGCGCCAACCCGCCTTCTCCTCCGCTGTCGCCGCCGCCGGCCACCACCACCACCACTGATCTGCCATTTACTACTCCAGCTGAATCCTGTCGCTACGAGACGCCCGCCATCCACTCTTTTGGCTCTGCATCTCCCTCTCTTGACCCCCAGCTTACTTTTCAATCCGATCGGTCGCAATTCTCTGGCATCATGGATGGGGTTGATATCACCAAGGCCGTTCTCAATAAAGGGAAGCAAATGGCTAGTAGTGTCGCTGCCTCCGCTACCAATGGCAATGGCGGTAAGAAGAGAAGAAAAGGGACCGACTTAAAGCCGATCGTCACCAACGAAGCCGCCACGCTTGGAGTCGACCCAGCGACCACCACCACCACCACTACTGAGGGGTATGGCTTTTACCCTTTCTTTCTTTTTCTAGATTTCCTTTTCCCTGCCCGCCCGTGTTTTCTTTGCTTTCTCCCTCCCGCCTTCTTCTTTCTTTTGGTTTTCCCCGCCTCATCCTGATTCTTTCTAACCGCCATGAGTGGCAGGGTTCCCGCATACGGCGTCCCACCATCGCGCTCGTCCTCTTCATCCTCTGGCGAAGAACTCGAGACAACCGCGGAGGAAGAGGACTCGGAAGACTACTGCAAGGGTGGTTATCACCCTGTCTCAGTCGGTGAAACCTACAACAATGGTCGTTATGTGGTCGTGCGCAAGCTAGGGTGGGGTCACTTTTCGACCGTCTGGCTGTCCCGCGATACGACAACTGGGAAGCATGTCGCTCTTAAAGTCGTCCGTTCCGCTGCCCACTATACCGAAACCGCCATCGATGAGATCAAATTGCTGAACCGCATCGTCCAAGCCAAGCCCTCCCACCCCGGTCGCAAACATGTCGTCAGTCTGCTGGACTCGTTCGAGCACAAGGGGCCCAACGGTGTCCACGTGTGTATGGTGTTTGAAGTGCTGGGAGAAAATTTGCTCGGGTTGATCAAGCGATGGAACCACCGCGGTATCCCTATGGCTTTGGTGAAACAGATCACAAAACAAGTGCTGCTTGGATTGGACTACCTCCACCGGGAGTGTGGTATCATTCACACGGATTTGAAGCCAGAGAACGTGCTGATTGAGATCGGTGATGTGGAGCAAATCGTGAAGACGTACGTCAAGGAGGAGGCGAAGAAGGAGCAGAAGGAAGACAATCGCAATGGTCGGCGACGGCGCCGGACCCTGATCACTGGGAGTCAACCGCTGCCGAGTCCGCTCAATACCAGCTTTGAATTCAAGCACAGTTCGCAAAACTCTCACAGCAGCCTTAGTCAGATGGTCAGCGAGTCATCTGGTATGTACCGCCGCCTAATCATTGCTAGGAAATTGCTGACTGGGTCTAGTGACGCCCAATGCAGAAAGCACATCGATGAAGGAGATGCTCGGAATCAAGGACGATGATGAGAAGCAGAAGCAGAGGGAAAAGACTGCGTATGTTGATCTTATGATGATGCGAAGGGAATAAGGCTGATGAATACAGTGATTTGTTGGAACGGGAGGTATCGGGCATTTCGCTCGACAAGTCTCAGTCGAGCGAGGAGCAAGAGCCGGAATGCGACATAATTTCTGTGAAGATTGCCGATTTGGGCAACGCCTGCTGGGTCGGCCATCATTTTACCAATGATATCCAAACGCGACAGTACCGTTCGCCTGAAGTTATTCTGGGCTCCAAATGGGGCGCGAGCACAGATATCTGGAGTATGGCTTGCATGGTATGTCCTGATGCTTCTGCGCTGTTAAAAACTCCTCTAATCAATTGTCGCAGGTATTCGAACTCATCACTGGCGACTATCTTTTCGATCCGCAATCAGGTACCAAGTATGGTAAAGACGACGATCACATCGCGCAGATCATTGAGCTTCTGGGTCCTTTCCCGAAGTCCCTCTGTCTTTCGGGCAAGTGGTCGCAGGAGATTTTCAACCGCAAAGGTGAACTGCGCAACATTCACCGGTTACGTCACTGGGCGCTGCCTGATGTGCTGCGGGAGAAGTATCATTTCTCCGTTGAGGAAAGCATGCGCATCAGCGAGTTCCTGCTGCCGATGCTCGAAGTGACCCCGGAGCGTCGAGCCAACGCAGGCGGCATGGCATCCCACGAATGGATGCGGGATACACCCGGTATGGACGGGATTGATCTGGGCATAACGCCTGGCAGCCGCGGCGAGGGCATCGACGGATGGGCGATGGAAGTGAAACGGAGATAAACAAAAGTACATTTAGGCATGAGGACTCCTGACCAGAAGCGTCAGCAGAGTCGGGTGACGAGTTTCCTTGTTTCTGTTACCGTGCGGCGGACCTCTTTATACTCTACTACCATTTCTTTTTGGCTGCGTTGGCCGTTCACTGGATGTTTATGATTGCCTTGAACATGATGCTTGCATGCGCACTGCCCTCCCCGACCCCCTCCCTTTCTTTCTCTGTCCGATTTTCTCTCAACTTATAGAGTCGCGAGCTTACCATCCTACTTATTTCCTTGTCCGAGTCTAGTTCATGTCTGATGCATGCTCCCACAGCTGATGGGAAATATGGCCCGAAAATGGGGATCTACCCTACGGGGAACTGTAGATATTGTGTGCATGAATGGGAGAGGCCATTGTTCTACTTATGATACTGCGTGCATTGAATAATCTTAACTTCGTAGCCCAACCAACTATCATCGATCTATACCCTCATCACCTTCAAGATGATCACCCTCACTATCCTCACTCGGCAAAACATCAGGAAACCACCCATACCGCCTAAAATCCACATACCACTCGCCCATGCTATCCTCCTCCACCTCCACCCCTTCAGCCCGCAACGCTTCCGCCTGTCGTTCCGCACTTCCTGGCTCCCTACACAGTATCCTCATTAGCACCTCCATTGCCTTTCCCCCCTTCCTTCCTATTACATCCACCCACACCAACAACCCCAAGGAAAGGAAAAGGTCAAGAGAGGGATAGACAAACCGATGCGAAATCATCCCTCGTGAATTAATCACCCTCTGCCACGGCACATTCCCCGAATGGAAGAAGTTGTCTGTCTCCGGGGCGGGGAGATGCTTCAGGCTGATTCCTACTTGGCGGGGGCGTTTTGCTGACGTTGATCATAGTATTTAGTATGTAGTATGATGCGGTAGGTGGTGAGGAGAAGGTAGGGGAGTATGAAGATGATGGAGGTAATTGTGGGGATCTAAATGGGGATGAGAGAGAAGGTAGCTTACGATATCCTAATAATGTTGCGATGTGCCCGTAGGTCGTTACTCTTCCCGGAGGGATTTCTTGGACCGCGGAGTAGACGGCGTTGATGAAGTGTTCGGCTTCGTCGGTGCGGGGCATTTTTCTTCTTTATTTTTTCCTTCTGTTTATACGGAGTATTATGGTGTGGTGGTTAGTATAAAGGTGTGGTTTTAAGGAGGAGTGTTGCTCTTTTGTAGATGTAGATGTAGATCGTATATATTTCCTGCCTAAGGCATACAAGCCATGACTGGGGGTAGTTCAAGCTTACCCGGAAAATCCCTCCCCCCGATTATCAGATACAGATATGCTCTCAGGTATCCGACCTTTCAACTTACTACACACTACTCTGTCATCTATACACACTACAACAATCAACCATGTCCTCCCTAGCAGACTACCTCGCGAAAAACTATCTAAACGCGGACCCCGCCCCCGACCGCCCTAAAAAGAAACGCAAGAAGAACACCAAAGCCAGCGACTCGACACCCACTGGTCTCATCATCGCCGACGACGACCCGCCCGATCTCCGCTCCGGGGGCAACAATCTCCTCAACGATGACGAAGACGCGCCGTCAATAGTTACGAATGCTCGAACGGGCGAATTCCGACGCAAGAAGACCTCGGGCTGGAAGACCCTCACGCCTGGAGACGGGGGCGCTGAACAAGACGCGGCGGATAAGATATTGGCGGATGCGATCGCGGAGAGGGAGGAAAGGCGACGCGAACAAGGGGGTGGTGATGAGGAGGATGATGATGCGCCGGTTGTTGAGGGGGTAGAGGAAGATGAAGAAGGGGTAAGGATGGAGTCTGGGGCGCGGGCAGGGTTACAGACTGCGGCGCAGACGGCGGCGATGGTAGCAGCGCAGGAGAGGAAGAAGAAGGCGGATGCGGCGAAGTATAAGGAGTCAGCGTTGGGGGAGAAGGCGCAGGAGACGATTTATCGTGATGCAAGTGGACGGATTATCAATGTTGCGTTGAAGAGAGCGGAGGCGAGACGGGCGGAGGAGGAGAAGAAGGCGAAGGAGGAGGAAGCGAAGGAGGCGCTGATGGGTGATGTGCAAAGGAAGGAGAGGGAGGAGAGGAAGCAGCAGTTGAGGGATGTGAGGGCTATGCCGTTGGCGAGGACGGCGGAAGATGAGGAGCTGAATGATGAGTTGAAGGGGAAATTGAGGTGGAATGATCCTGCTGCGCAGTTCTTGACCAGTGTCAAGGAGGGAGGGACGAGTCGGACGGGCAAACCGCTGTATAAGGGGGGGTTTGCGCCGAATCGCTATGGCATTCGTCCTGGGCATCGGTGGGATGGAGTGGATCGGGGGAATGGGTTCGAGAAGGAGTGGTTTTTGGCGAGGAATAGAAAGGGTCGCTTGGAGGCGCTGGATTATCAGTGGCAGATGGATGAGTGAGTGGGTGTATTATATTGGTGGTGTTGTTGTTGCTTTGGGATTTGGGCTTATCTGGTGCTGGACGCTGGATGGATGGTAATATGGGTTTGTGTGTATATGGATCGCATGCATGGCGGTGTTTTGCCGGAAATTTCATTGTTCTGTTTACTGTCTTTGCTATCTACATATTTCCGTGTAGAGGCTCGGTTGAGAGTTTGAAGTAAATGTGTTTAGAATGGGGTATTTTTGACACCAGATGGGATGAGAGAAGACGCAAAGACTGGCGGTTTGATGCTATACCTTGGTTATATTGGTGCTTTGCGTTGCAGAGCTAACTGAAAACAATGCGTCCTGAGATGATCAGAAGAGAAACTCGATCAATAAAGCCTTGGCTAGACTGAGAGAGTGAATCATAACTGATATTGCCCCAACTTTGGAGTTTGTCCAACAAATCTGCAAACGCCGAGTACTAGGGACTATGACACATGCCAAGTAACCTTCATATGGTTACCAATTCAAACAGACTACTCAGTTAGACATAGTACTTATCGGTAGATTCCTTTGACGTATCCGTCTATGGTAGGTGATTATCATGTAAATCGGGAACCGTATTGGGAGATTGTCTCAGCGTCTAGAGGCAGTGTTATGACTCAATCTATTACTTCTAGAGGCTGAGAGTGGGGGGTACTGGCAGCCTAGATCTCGAGGCTGTGTCGCATTCATAGACGTATTACGACATCTTCCAGGTACTAAGTGCAGGGGTCACTTATATTGTGCATAATGACTAGTAGATAGTTGCTAGCCTTCTACTAGAAGAAAGTTGCATACATTCCGGTGACCAGTACAGAGCATGACGGACACAAAGAAAGAGAGTTACCAAACACCGTGCACATTCATCATTAGATACTAAACAATACGAGCCAACCTAACTATTTCCTTTGTACAATGATCCAATCCACTCAGTCTAATCAGCAGCAAACAGCATTCCAGCTGATGTCACAATCTTATTAACCAAGCTGCATACGCCATTTGCAGCATCCCAGCCATCACATTGCATTCATTGCAAGTGACTGGCGCAGCAATCAAGTCAGCTGCCGGCGCTACTACGGTCAGATCGCAGATGGCTCGGAGCATGGGATCACCCGCTCAGCAGGACAAGCCCGCCGATAACAGGCGTCACGGGTAACCACGAGCAGAGGCGATTGGCAGCTGCAGGGTTGATTTACGGCGGCATTTTCCTGAACTGCGCCCACTGAATTCCCAGACAGAGACTCCGATCCAGAGGAACCGGGCGGAACGAGATCCATTCAGCATGCAATAACGTGCCACCCTTGACAAGTGACGTTCCAGATCGACCACAACGTGCCTGAGGCAGTGGATCACAACCCATACGGTTGGCCCTATTGTTGGGGATCCTTCCTTTCAGCCTTGGAAAAGACCAACGGCAGGTTCCAACTTCTCAGCGGCTGGAATTCTGGCCTTGCGCGTTTAACCTCGGGAGTTGACTTACTAGTAAGAGCAGAGTGAGGGGCGCCAAACCGTGGGTCGAGGAGTGGCGCTCGGGGGATCGGCAGCAGCAGCAGCAGCAACGATAACAATCCAGGGGGGATAGTCTACTACCGCGCCGTATTGATAGCTGATTCCCACCCCCTCCGATAGTAGAGATAGTCGTTTCCTTGGATTAGTTAGCTAGTAGGCTACGATGACGATAGATGATTTCCAACAGATGACCTGCCACAATCAGCATCGCCTCGCGCGGACCCCGTGCTGCCTATTTAGTCTTCCCCCCCTCGGAGCGCGTGCGGTTGGCGATAGTTATATCTTCCCCTGGATGACTAGCCCACCCCCAAGGTGTCACTTTGCTGCCTCTTTCTCTCCTCTTCTCGACTTGGCACAGAGAGGGGTCTCCTTGTCGGATCTCTTTATTACTCATTTCCCATCGCTGTAAGAGTCTACCGTGCGCATTTGCCGCTCGATATCCTCGGGTCGTCGATGACTGGAAGCCCAGCCGGGGCCTCTTTATGACTCAGACCAAAGACGCCCTGTAACCTCTCTTGTTTATTGTTTATCGGAGATTTTTGGTTCGCGGGCCTGCCTTAGTATTCAGTCTTTTGTCCACCGCTCTCGCCTCAATTTCCTGGCTTTATATTCTCCTGTTCCAGACATCCCTCAATAACGGAGGCAAGCGCCACCCATCACCCCGAGCGTGGTCTACCCATTTCCTGTATATATCTGAGACTATCTTTGCCCGCATCCATCGGCACCAAACCCGTCATCTTCAGTCATGTCTGACTCCTTGCTCGATATTCGTCGTGCTGGCGTTGAGGCCAAAAGGGCGCACGATCACAAGGCCAAGTGGGCGTACGGCAGCCGTTCTACCCTGCCTCGTTATAATCAAGATGTCCACTCTCATGTCTTGCATAAGGCTAGGCCGAGGATGCCAGCTACTCATTATACAACGTATGTTTCTGTGCCTGTCGCTTAAGTAATGTCGCTGACAGCCACTAGCTTGACACGCCATATGCGGTTCCAGCGGAAGGCTGAAACCAACCATCAACTCAGCGATGCGAAAATCGCCCTGCGTGCTGACGTCCGGGAGGCTCTCGATAGTGGAACGTCGGATTCTTCCAGCGATGATATCGATGACCCTGCCGCGGCGAAGATTATCGATGATGCTGAGGGGAAGGATACGCTGCCTGACTATGATGTGGCGGGCCACACTATACTCTCTGATGCTGTGAGCAAGGCTGTCGAGAAGTTCGAGACGAAGGAGACAGAGAGGATCGTAAAGGAGTACGAGATGATCTCCTATGAGGGTGAGAATGCCCTGGGCTACATGGCTGACGACGATGACTTTGAGCTGGTCGATCGGATCAAGCTATGACACGTCTGTTGCTTCCTCGTCTTATTTTGTGCTTTTGGCGTCGATATCCTTAACCACGGTCCTTGATTCTTGGAGTTGGGTTGGGCACAGACTGATCACTGATACATTCTGACATTTCTGCATGTTGTATATCACTTGCGCGCCTGCTTCCAGTCACTCGTTTTGTTGTGATCGACACGCGGAGGAAGTCCGGGGTTGCTTGTTCTCTTTCTGTTTCTCAGCGTTCATTAATGATCCCCACTGTAGTATTGCTTAGACCGAATATACTATCCCAGCAATGGAATCATGTTTTATCATGACAGAGGTGACTCCTAAGAGGATGATGGGTAGTCCTAGTGGGGAAATTGAAGGTTAAGCGGGCGCGACCGACGAGTCAACGGGAGTCCGGGGTGATGGCCCCCCGCAAATGCCATGCCATTGTGCTAATTGGATTAGTCCCTTAATTGTGCTGCTTGAATGGAAGTAGCCATTCACTGGTTTGGCGATCATAATTACGGACTGCCAGCCTATTAATAGGACAACTGCGACCGTGAGGTGCATCAGGGCGACTGCTGCACGTCACAGTCCAGCACTATCTGCAGCCGCATGCAATTTGATAACACTTGGATATTTACTTCATCTCATTAAGGTCACTGTAAAATAATCTATTATAAAGCAAAAGGGATCGCTTATATCACTGCGACTGCCACGGGTGGCCTCTGTGACTCCAGTCGTTGCTCGGCGGCGAGTCTGGATTGTTTACCAAAACAAAAAAAGACAGGAATCGGAAAAGTCCGCATCTCCGATCTTCCTTCTCATCACCCTTCATTGTCGTCACAGCCACTTCATATCCACCAACCATCTTCATTTCTTCATTCACCTCGTCGTCTCCATCCTCAAGATGGATAAACGAACGGCGGAGAGTCCGATGGACTTTGAATGGCAGACAAGGGCCCCAGGAGATGTGACCTCGCCCTTTTACCAGCTTAGCATGCAGCATGACAATCAGAAGAAACGTGGGTCTTGGATGCAGCTCTCTTGGAGGCAAACCTTTGTTTTTTGGCGCCTAACAAGCTCTTCGACAGGCCCTCATAGCATTTTCGATTCCCCCGAGAAGAAATCGATGCCTGCTCTGCGAGAGCCCAACTCCCAGCCCTTCCTCTTCTCCCAGCCCAAGCCGCAGCAACCCCCCTCGACCCCGAAGCCGTTCTTCAACCAGTCAGCATTCATGACGCCTCGCAAATTCGATGTCGACTTCTCATCCGGCGCCGAGAATATGTCATCGCCAGAACACGCGGACAACGAAGATACCCCCGAGCAACCGAAAGCCCACCGGAACTCGCTGTTCAGCATGTACGGACGGTTTGCGCCGAGCCCAGGTCGCGGCGAGATACCCCGGGTGAGCCACTACTCCAACGCGTTGGCACGCCGGGTGCAGAAGAGACGGCGGAGGGACAAGGCGCTGGATCTACAACTACGGAGAGACAGTGACGACGAGAGTGACCGACCAAGCAGCAGTGAGCTCAAGCCAACCAAGCAAAGACAGAAGCCGGGACAAGGCCAGCAGGAGACGACTCAAACGGGATCACGTCTGACTTCATTCTCAGATTTCTTTGCCCTGCTGGAAGCACACCCGAATGTCCCTAGCATTCTTTCTTGGTGGGCGCAGTTGGTGGTGAACCTTTCGTTGTTCTCGCTTGCGGTATATGTGGTCTTTGGATTTGTGTCAGCGATCCGGGCAGAATTCGAGCAGGCAGCCGAGGAGGTATCGGATACGATCCTGGCTGAAATGGCGGCATGCGCTAAGAGCTACGTCGACAATCGATGTGCGGGAGGAGATAGACTACCGGCCTTGGAAAGTGTGTGTGAAAACTGGGAGCGATGCATGAACCGGGATCCAGCCAAGGTCGGGCGGGCTAAGGTGTCGGCGCATACGATGGCTGTAATCATCAACAGCTTTATCGACCCTATCAGCTGGAAGGCGATTGTAGGTTCACTATCCTCCAAAGCAAGTTATCGGCTAATATTTCCAGATGTTTTTCCTTGCTACGATTTCGACCGTCACCGTTGTCAGCAACTGGTCCTTCCGTTCCTTCAGAAACCGTCTCAATCAACACGACTACTCTGCACCCTCTAGCTATTCCCGACAATCGTCTGGGCAGCACCCGTCGCTTGCGCCCTCACAATTCCCCTACCAGCAGAATTCGATGGGATACATGGGAGCGGCGAACCACGGGGCTACTGGGTTCGATAAAGCAGAGGCACCGCTCATGCTGGAGCAGGCCTCGACCAAAGAATTTGTGTCTGAGCGGACCCGCGAGCGGGGGTCTCGTCTGCGTACGCCGAGTCCATCCAAGCGGATGAGGTAGGCATAATCTACTCTTTGTGGCATCAGCGGGAGGTCGGAGTTGCACAGGCACTGCATTGGGCGAAACTAAACGACTGGACTGGAGTTGATTGGATTTTTACTGTTCGTGTATATACGTAATAACCTGATTGACAATGCATTGTTATTGTCACCTACTGGCGTGTAGTTCCCCATGCTTCTACTCTGTATTCTATAACGGTCAGATGACCACCAGATGACGTCGGCCACGCCTGGATGATCACCAGCCACCGCGTCGGCCCAGCTTGACACATCCAACATAACCAGGCAAGATCGCGAACACCGTTGCATTAGCAGCAAAGATCAGCCCACGGTCCAGACATGAAATACAGGCTGCCCCTCCAGGGGGTGAAGTAAGGCATCCATTGAGTCTTTGGGTGCCCCTCTGCTACCCGTGCGGGCCTGAGTCGTGCCCTCATGCTGACGTATTGCCATTCCGTCGGAGATATTATAGAGATTGAGCTTGCCCCTCGCTCAGACCGAAAAATGCAGCTCGAAGCATTGCAATTGATTTTCTTCATTGGTCGCGTTGATTTACTACGTATCAGCTCTCTCCATCCAGAATGACGAAGCGTAACCTTATCGTTGTTTCGAACCGTCTCCCTCTGTCGCTGAAAAAGGTCGACGGGGGATACGAATCTTCCCTCTCCAGTGGAGGTCTAGTCACATCTCTATCAGGATTGACTAAGACCACTACCTTTAGCTGGTTCGGATGGCCAGGCATCGACATCACCGACGAAACCGAGCAGGGACAAATTCGCAAGAGCCTGGATGAGCATAACGCTGTGCCGATTTTCTTGGATAATGAATTGGCGAATAATCACTATAATAACTTTTCTAGTGCGATTCTTCTGTTCCTTTGATCTGCTGAAAATAGGGACATTGCTAATGATGTTTTGGTATCTAGATGCCATCCTCTGGCCCATCCTCCACTACCAATCCGGCATAAACTTCGAAGAAGGCCCCTGGGAAGCTTACCAACGAGTCAACGAGATCTTTGCCGATACGATCGCCGAGGCAGCCCAGCCGGGATCATTGATCTGGGTGCACGATTACCATCTTATGCTGTTGCCGCGGCTTTTGAGAGATCGATTGGCGGGGAAGAATTGCGCGATTGGGTTCTCGCTGCATACCCCGTTCCCGGCAGGTGACTTTTGGCGGAATCTGCCGGTGCAGAAGGACTTGTTGAGGGGACTGCTGGCGAGTGATGTTATTGGGTTCCATACGGATGAGTATAAAAGGAACTTTGTGCTTTGTGCGGAGTCTCTGTAGGTTACTATCTGGTGATCTATGGTGGGATACGTGCTGATATGAATGTATTATAGGGCCGATGCGAAGGTGAAGGAATCAGGGACGCTGGAGTACGAGGGTCATGAGGTGGTTGCGGAGAAGTTCATTGTCGGCATCGATCCGCAGAAATTTACGGATGCACTGCAGAATGAGGAGGTGCAGAATCGCATAAGGGACTTGCAGCGCAGGTATATGGGGATGAAGGTTATTGTTGGGGTGGATCGGCTGGATTACATCAAGGGGCTTGTGCAGAAGTTGAAGGGCTATGATGCTTTCTTGGATCAGTATCCGGAGCTGAGCAATAAGGTGGTGCTAATCCAGGTGGCGGTGCCCAGCCGGGAGGATGTGAAGGAGTACCAGGATCTGGAGACGGAGTTGAGCACGCTGGCAGGGAGAATCAATGGAAAACACTGTGGGTGGCCCCTTGCGTCGACATTTGTTGTCTACTCTGTGCTGACGAGTCTAGCTACCGCCGATGGCTGTCCGCTGATCTACATGCACCGATCAGTTAACTTCAGCGAACTGACAGCGCTGTACTCTGTTGCCGATGCCTGCTTGCTGACCTCAACGCGGGATGGAATGAACCTTATTTCGTTCGAGTACGTTGCGTGCCAAGCGCAGCGGCATGGAGTGCTAGTGCTGTCCGAGTTTGCCGGAGCAGCGTCTTTTATGAAGGAGGGGTGTCTTACTTTCCATCCAGCGAATATGTCAGAGATGGTTGATGCGGTTCATCAAGCAGTCACGATGAGTGGTGATGATCGCAAGTCTCGATATGAAACGTTGCGGCACTTTATCGAGACAAACACTAGGTGAGTCTACTGGCACGGCACGATACTTGGGCTTTGCTGATAATGTAGTGCAAAATGGGGCGAGACGTTCATCGAGACATTGACCAAGCATGTGGAAGGCGGGCGTTGAGCCCTGACATGAACGGTGTCAGATAGAGACCGTTGGAAGGCTGAACCACAGGGCACACGGCACGTTGAGGACCCTGCCTGCCGGTGTATCCGGATAATGGCAGATAATCCCGGCTAATTGGGGGCGACGGCAGCTACGGCTCACAAATTGTGATGGAATAGACACAGCATAATGTTTCAATGTAGCTCCGAACTTTACAGTGCTAGGCTGTCAACGTGATTATAATCACGATTTAATTGATTATCATCTACAACTCAACCCCCGCACCAAGAATGAATCCTCTCGTCGGAAGAAAAAGACGGCATTCCAGAAGAACTTTTTCCTAGATAACAAACAGTAATCAGTCCATCCGTCCCTGACGATCCCCCCAGCGAACCTCGGTAAGACGCTCGACCCAAAAACCAGACCGACAAGCTTTTCAACCTCCCTAAACGAAACAACGGCTGTGTTGATCGTGAACGTGGTTGCCTATACCAATACGAGAACCATATAGGATAGAAATTGAGTTTACCGTGGAAAAGCCACCCGCTACAGTTTAATTAACCAACCCACCCACATGCCCAAGGCACCTGTAACAGGGACTACTGTCCAGAGAGTGGATAGTGGCTAGTGGACAGACGTCGGATGAACTCCGGAAGACCCTAACTGATACGTAGAACCATCGTGAACCCTGGTTTGTCCCTAGTTCGGGGCGCTATTCCCAGCGTAGAAAAGCGGCCGATCCTCTGAAACAGTTTTCCCCCGGGGTATACTTGCTAGTTAGTCACTATCATACTAAAAGTAGTGTAGTGGACAAGACCAGGGTCTACTACTACTAGTTAGTTCTGTTTCATCTCGACTCAATTTTGCGTCCCAAGACCCTGGGCTGTCCGGGCCTGTCTTGCCCAACACGAGATGTATGGAGTAAGTATGGAGGGAGACTAACCTCGGAATATTCTTGTCTCTTTAGTACTATCCAGCCAGCCCTTAGTGAGACTATAGCAGTAGTGAACCAGAGAGAGAGAGATGTCTATATAAGTACAGTCGTAGATCCCCAAACATAACCAGCTTCAGACTCAGATTCGAGCAGCCAGTGCAGTCCAGTGCAGTCCACTCTTTCATTCTCACCCCTTCTTTACTATCTTACAATAATTTCTATTCAATAAGTCTGCAGCGCAGCACCCACACACATTCATTCTCTGAGAGATAAAAAATAAAAAAATGGCACCCCTCAAATCCCTCCTCCTCGGCGCTTCCCTGGCCACCCTCGCCCTTTCCACCCCACTGGCAACCGACGCCGAAAACCTCTACGCACGTCAATTCGGCACGGGCTCTACAGCCAACGAACTCGAGCAGGGAAGCTGCAAGGATGTGACTCTCATCTTTGCGAGGGGGTCAACTGAGCTTGGGAATATGGTATGCTTGTTTCCTTCCTTTACCCGCGTACTATACTATCCCAGAACATACCAAGCACAACATCACGAAATATGGGGAGCCAGGAGCTAATCAGTGGTGGTGATGTGATGTAGGGCACCGTAATCGGGCCCCCTCTCTGCGACAACCTGAAATCCAAACTCGGATCCGACAAAGTCGCCTGCCAGGGTGTCGGCGGCCAATACAGCGCCGGACTCGTGCAGAATGCACTGCCCCAGAACACCGATCCGGGGAGTATCTCTGCCGCGAAGCAGATGTTCGAGGAGGCGAATTCGAAGTGTCCCAATACCAAGATTGTTGCGGGTGGTTATAGGTATATATCCCTTTCCCCTTTACCTTCCCCATATCAATGCTAGAGGCAAAGGAATATCATGCTAATGTAGATGTTTGGGGGAAACAGTCAAGGAAGCGCTGTGATCGATAACGCCGTGCAAGAGCTCAGCACCACCGTGAAAGACCAAGTGAAGGGTGTCGTGCTCTTCGGGTTCACGAGAAACGTGCAGGATCACGGCCAGATCCCTAACTACCCTAAGGATGACGTGAAGGTTTATTGTGCCGTGGGCGATCTGGTCTGTGATGATACGTTGGTTGTTACGGCGATGCATTTGACGTATGGAATGGATGCGGGCGATGCGGCGAGCTTTTTGGCGGAGAAGGTGCAGTCTTCTAGTAGTTCGACTACTAGCTCCAGCTCGGATGCCGCGAGTAGTTCGTCTGCTGCCGGGACGTCGTCGTCGGGGTTGTCGGGACTGTCTTCTTTTTTCGGAGGTCTTTAAATAGGAATAGAAGAGATGAGTGGTTGGGGGTGAGGTGGGGTGGAGGTATAGGGGATTGTTGTTCGTTTCTCTTGGATGATTTAGTTCATGTTATTTACTTAGCTGGGATAAGATATATGGTACATAGTATAGATGTGTTGTGATGTTATTCTGGCTATTTTGTACACTTTGACATAATCTGCGATATGGGAGCGTCTACTATATCCTCGCCACCGATGCCTCCGGAATCCGCAATACTGCCCTCCCACTAACCGCATACCGTCTCATCCTCTCCACGACATCATTAATCTCCTCTAGATCAAACACCTCATAATGCGTCGACACCTTTCCTGCCCTCGCCATCTCCAACAATGCCTGCATTTCCGTCTCCGTACCCACCGCACTGCCGATTATCCGCAATCCGGAGTCGACGCAGTGCTGCGGTGCCACAGGCACATGGAAGTCCGGACGGGGGAATCCCACGCATACGAGCGTGCCCAGCGGACGGAGAAGAGCAACGCCCTGTTCGTAGGCTTTTTCGGATCCGACGACGATGAGGGAGGCGTGAGCACCGACGCCGTCGGTTAGGGATTGAATGTTGGCGATCAACTGAGTAGTTAGCATATATGTAAACTAGAAGGGAGAAGGGGGTGTACGTTATCATCTTTGAAGTCGAAGAAGGCGGATGCACCGGATGCGAGACAGATGTCTTTCTTTGATGGGCTGCGGGGGATATTAGTGCTGTATGATAAAAGTGGAACAGGACTTACCTGTCTACTGCGATCATCTTGTATCCCATTTCCTTGCCGATTTGAAGGCCCCTGTTCATCATTAACGGCTGTCCGCGATATGTCGAGCACGGAAGGCATACAAATGACCCAATCCACCACCTGCACCCATTATAACCACCCAATCTCCTTTCTCATATAACTTCTCTACCTTGCTGAGTGCACCGTACATGGTGAGGCCGGCTGAACCCATCAGTCATATTCTTGCTGGAAGAAGAACGGAAGAACGTACCACAGAGCAACGGCGCCACAGCCTCCGGATTCAGATCCTCTGGAACCAGAGAAACGAAGTTCGCGGGAGAGACGACATATTCTATACCATTGTTAGCCGAATATTCCTCTCTAGATTGAAATAACAAATATCTCACGTTGAAACGTCCCAGGAACATTCTATCGCCATCATAATTAGTCTCATCCTGCGACATTGAAGGTGTTGTTCAATACTCACCCTCCCCGAATTATCCTGATTCTGACAATTCGTATACTGCACCTTGCATGTCGGACACTTCATGCAGCTTTTGTACAGCCATCTAGACAGCTTGTTAGTTTCACTACCCCCCACAGTAAACAGGAATAGATAGATGTACTTCACACCCACTCTCCTCCCCATCATCTCAGCCGGAGTATTGGGTCCAACTGCACCATCTTAGCATCCATTCCACACCATAATCGCAAATGATATTGTCCAATTCACGTGGCTCACCTTTCACAACCCTCCCCACACCCTCATGACCCGGAACATTCGTCGTCATGACCAATTCGCCATTAATATTGTGCAGATCGGAGTGACTATCCATTGTAATATAGCCCATTAGTATAGTCCACAATAAAAACAATTTTGTGCGGTTGTGTAGGAAGTCTTACCAAAACCCCGTATACTCCAACTTCACCAATACCTCCCCCGCTCCCGGCGTCGGAACGGGAATATCATGCCGGATGGTGAGGGTCGCGCCGGGACTGGGATTGTCGATGCAGGCTGCAGTTTGGTGAGTTGGGATGGATGTTGGTGACATTGTGGATATTTACTATACAAAAAGCAAAAATGGTATGAGAGGGAGGAAAGTAGATGGAGAAGGGATTGAGGGGAATCTTAGATTTTTACTGTGAAGATGCGGGGTGGACCCAGCGCGGTTTCAGAGTTTGAAGGGATTCCCGATCCGACCTCGGATTAGGCTGCCGATCATGAACGTATGGGGGTGATAATATGCTCTACTGGGGGTCTTGATTGGTTTATAATCAAGTGTTCATACCTAGTTAATTGTTTGTCCGGATTTACGGGTCTACAATGAGGGGATCAAGGTAGTATGCAGTGTTGATTGGATTATGATTGCGATAGCTTTGGCGGAGGACCAATCTCAGAGCTAGCTTCCCCAAATCTCATTGCCGAAAAGTCAACCGATCTGACAGCTCAACCATTCTGCTCTGTTATCTGCACATGCTCAATAATTGTCTGCAATTATTCATATTGTTTTTTTTTTTCTTTTCTTCATTCTCTTTGCTGTCTCCGGTCAACCCACCGACAGATTCGCAACCCTCCCCAGCAAAAACTCCAGCTGGCGATATGCCGCCCCCGGTGCATATTCCGGGATTTCTATTCCTGTTAGCAACCCGCTGCATCGCATACTGAGATACGGACTTACCATGTCCTGAACTGAATACTGTCGAAAATGTCAATCCACGCTCTGTATGTGCCGTTCCCAGCACGCCTCCTCCCGATGATCCACCATACGGCACGAACAACGGCTCCACCGGCTCCCGCTCGAACCCCTGCTTCCCATTCCAGGTCATATTCTGGATACTGATCAGGGTTCCCTGCGCCAGCAGCTCGAAATCCATCAGGCCGTGCGCAATGATGGTATTGTTGGTCTGTTCGATGACGCGCGGCAGCGGTCCCAGGGAGCTTGGAGGGGATGTGTCCAGTCCGTTGGCCGTCGGGAAGATTCCATCTTTGCAGACAAAATAGTCCGTTGGGTACGCGTTGATGGCTTTCTGGACGTCACTGCGGTTGAAGTAGTTGGTCGGACCAAGTCCAACGATGGGGCCGCCGACTGGGTTCCAGGGGGTGGGACAGGAGTCGGGGATATGGTAGCGGTTGAAGCATGGGTTGAGAGTTAGAGAAGCGTTGTTTATGATATCCCAGATGTTGCAGCTAGCATTATAGGGCACTGATGGGAATTGAGAACGGGGTGGAAAGGTAAGGGCATCGTCAAGAAACGAAGTGTATCCACAATCGTCGGAAAGCTTGGTGATTTGACTCATGAAGGTGTCATTAAAGGGAAAGAGGGAGCGGTGCTGATTGACAGTCGCAAGTGCAGGCACTGGAAGCCATCAATGTTAGAGGAGTAAGCAATAACCTGTGTCAGAGGCATACCATCTTGCAAAACTGGCAGCTCATTGATGTAGGGATCATTGATCTGGATGCCGGCAACCCGGAAATACTCATCATCATCCTGGTCGAGCATCTGCGACGCAATGTATGGGATGTACTGGCCCGCATAGCTCTCGCCAGTGAGATAAATCTTCCGATTCTGCAGATCGAAAGTTTTCATGAACCGCCTCCAGAAGTCCATAAACTGTCTGGCTACATCAAATTCTGAGACCACCGTAGACGGGCCAAGCGAGAATCCCGTTCCAGCAGGCTGATCAATGTACACCATATTTGTGAGGTTGTTCCAGGCATAAGGGTTGCGCACGGGTCGGTAGGTACCAGGTTGCCATAGAAAGGGGCCGTTCTCGAGCATGATGCCTGCCAGAGAGCTGCATCCTGGGCCGCCATTCAGCCAGACGGTGATCTGTTTATTAGCCGTGCGAAGCATATGAGAGGGCGATAAGCATACCTCATCAGACGCATTAGGATCAGAAGATGGAAAGAACCAGAAGTACAGACTCGAGATTCCAGAAGGCGTGTTGGGTAGGTATCCCGCATAGGACTCGCCAATGTCGAAATCGACAAAAGGAATAGCAGAGCCATTGACGACGAATTCTAGCGCTGTTAGTGGGATTCAAACTGACGCGATGTGGTATACCTTTGGTTTTGTTGTTGAAGTATTGAGACTGTGCGTTGACTACTCCAAGTGGCAGCAGAATACTGCACACGAGAAAGAGCCACATGATTCTCTAGTGTTGCGAAGCTAGAAGTGAGCAGTGAGAGAGTGGATAGGTGAAGTGAAGATGAAGAGGTGTAGAAGCTCTGCAGGAACTACTGCCGATGTCTTGGCTATCACAAACACACTGCTGAAGTGGAGACTACTGGTCATATTGAGTACGATTCAAGCTAAATGCCGCCAATGGTCTCATACCACATGCAAGGGCGACCTTCCTACTATATGAAAAATAACCAAGAGGTACCTGTTTCAGCAAAATGTTAGGGATTGAGACATTGACATCATATGAACGCTGTGGAATGCTGTGTTTTGAGAGTTGACATCAGGAAGAATTATGACTAATATACGAAGGGGGGAATCGATAGCAATGTTTACTAAGTCTACGGTCTATAACACACTACGTGAAGGCTCATGCCCGCAAATAGTCATAAATCATTTATTTCGTGTTCTATCGCGGCCTATATACAGACCTGGCCGATCCTCCCAATCTAAGCGATGAACTTGGCATTACGGAACGCGAGCTCCTTGTCGTTGTTGAGCATCAATTCCATGTATTCTGTCTCCTGTCAGTAGCACATCTCATAATATGCCTAAGACACTTACCAGCAAAGTTAATGCTGCCGTCATGGTTGGTGTCAAAGGCCTCCAACTGTTCCCTGGTGAAGTCTGTGCGGCCGGTGGAGTTGACATGGGCAAGGGCGTCTTCAAAGGTCATACCGCCTACTGCTGTTAGTATTCCGTCGACCCATATCTCTGTAGATACTCACGGCAGAAGTCCTGAGCCTAGGGGAATAGTTAGAAGTGATCAGACCTGGGGGTTGAGTAACACTTACCGACTTCTCGTATTTCTCCCTGAGCCCGTGGAGGTAGTCATAGGAGTAGTGGGCGTTCTATAAGCATCAGTATCTGAAGCAGGATCGATGCTTATTTTCGTACCTTGAGATCCTGAGGCATGATGGCGGGAAATCGGAGTCTTGTGGTTATGTCGAAGTAGAGAATAGGAATGGACTTGTGGATGGTAAGAGAACTGCTAGACCTTGACGCCTTTTATGTTCTCCGAACTGCCCTTCCTCGGCGTTCTTCCAGTCCGATTTTGCACAACTTGCGCGATAGCCAGGCTATCGCAGACGCATCTGTTGGGTGACCTCAGTTTGGGCATTGCAACGTACAGCATGCATTTGATGCCATACATTGTCATTCGACCGAACCTGGTACAATGCACGTTGTTCTTGATTGACACGATTTATGGCCTGGAACATTGGTTGGTGGTGACTGCGGGGTACTCCAAGGTAGCTGCATGTAGCAATGCCTGAACATATTGGCCCGCAGCTGTCGACGTCCCCATCTGCGAGTATCGATAACCTGCCAGTGTAGTGTATTGCAAGAAGGAATAATTGAAGATCTTCAGCGGAACACATCGATCAACGGGTAGTATTGGTTGCCAGACACCGTCAAGCTCAAATTTCGTGAAACCGTAGTAGGAACCCCCCCCCGGTGGGGTTCGAAGATACAACCGTTGTCTGCTTCACACTGTACTACAGCGATGCCAGTCATATCATTTGTCGCACAGTGAACGCCGCTGCTACTCCTGTCCATAGAATAGAAACAAGCAGGTAGACGCCTTCATGGAAGCTGGGAGCATGAAAGGAAGCTGCAGTGTCGCATTAGACTTCAGAATGACGCGTTTGGCGTATCAGGATCATACCTGAGTTCCGAGAGCTTGCAGCTTGCTCCTGTCAGTCGACGTGGATGCCGATCGAGGGGTCGAGGATGGAGGGGCAGTGGGGAGGGGAAGTGGAAGAAGATGCCGCCGACGCGAGGCGAGACACGTTGCACTCCATCCCAGCCAGAATGGATACCCGCCCGATAAGGCTGGCCAGCACATTGTAGCCACTCCTTGATATGATCCCGGTTTTTTAGAGTCTAGATACACTATGGCCACCGCAAGCTCCTTCAAGGGTAAATGCTGCTCACTGAGGTGGGTGTTGCGTGACGTGGATGCACTGTCAAAATTCCCGCATTGGATCAGGTTGTATCTCGGACTGGGAAGATAGCGGGCAGAGATTTGTGATGCATGCTTCTTGAAAACCATTACTCCTAACAACTACACTAGTTACACCCAGAGATGTGGAGCGTTATGGGATGTTGTGCTACGATAGCATATGTGTTAATGGTGTTGCTTTACCTCCTTGATCACGAAGCCCGTAATCATTCTGCTAGCTCGCTTCTAGTGCAAACCATTTCAGAAACACATCTCGTATATGCATACTTTTGAACGGCTCCGTTATCAATACTCATGTGATAGGCAGCTTTATAAGTCTGTGTGCGCCTCAAGAGAAAGAGAACCGCCAAACTCCACATCCATGTCATCTGCTCTGCGGATCCCTTGAGCAAACTCATGATTGAGCCCGCCCACTGGCGCCTCACACTGCGGACAGCGACTTTCCTCCATCGGCATCCCACATTCCCCCACCGCAAACTGGCATATCCGTATTAGTACTCGACGAGAATCTAGGGTAGGGTAGGATCACATACCGGATGGTTGTTCTCACAATAATACCAGTGGCCTGTACCATTGAATTGTGCCGCCATGGCCTGGTAGACCTGCCGTCTTTCTTCGCTGGTGACGCAGCTGTAGAATGTTCCACCATTGACCAGTCTTCTTGCTTTGTCGATATCTTCACGCAGAGACCACAGTATCTTTGAATGGCGCAAACATATCGCATCGCAGGCTTCGAGTTCTTTCAGTGCCTTTTCCCGGATCTTGGCTTCGGTGGTTCCACTGACAGGGTTACCGCGTGTTTCCCGATTGCTGAGGGACAGCACCGAGAACAGGACATGATATGTTCGGGTTTCCACCTCCTGCTGCAGAAATTTAGCCTCCTGGCAATACTTTGTTAGAGCTTCGCATTGGCTCAGTAGACCATCAATCTGTTTTGCTACCACTTGGGCCAGAGTCACCTTTATGCGTGGGTCAATTCTCTTGTTGCTGTAGATGCTGTCATAGTTCCAGAAAAGAACCCAGGTGAGTCGAAGAGCAAGAACATGGCCGCGTGATTGAAACCCTGTTTGTATGTCCGACTCATTGTATTGGAAGGGTGTCGCAGGCGTGCCAGCCTTTCTCGCTGCTACCGACGCGAGCATCTCACTGACCCTCCCAAATGGCTGCTCGGATTTTGCCACAGATTTAGTAAATTCTTTGATTTTGTTCAGAAGTCTGTTTCCCCGTCCGCGATAGACATCAACCGAGCGCCTGACGTCATCGGCACTCCTTGTCTCTACAGTCTCCTGGTACCAGTCAGAGACAAATTTCGATTTTTCGCCTATGATATCTTTCTCGTAGCCCTCAACCTCTTCCACCAGGTGACCAAACTTAATGCTTGCATGAGTGGCAAACTTCTTCGTTGCTTCATCGAGGAATGCTTGTTTGATAATTCTGTTATAGCGGTCAATATCGCGGAGTGGTGCACGGCATTGAGGACACCCTTTCGGACGCCCAGAATCAAATAATCGGTGGTTAAGTTTCGGACCAAGTATCCTGCCTGTAGATGGTTCTACTTCATAATGCTCAGACATCCCCATTATGCCGTCCAGTGATGAGGCTGTGTAGAAGTGACCACAGGAGAGGAATACCAATGGATCTTCGTCGACATTGATGTCCTTGTATGGCTTGAGCTCTATAAGATCAACATTCTGCTCCAGAATATCTGGTCTGCCGCATATGCGACATAAGCGAGAGTCTGGACATCGTTCCCCACAGAGACCAGGGCATTGATGTCCACAACTCGTGAGTTTATTCTTGCATCGCAAGTTGCAAGGGATGTTGCTACATGGGACAGCACATGGCATACCGCACTGTTTGCGGTGCTCACAGCCCCATCCGCATGTCTCTGCGCATGGAGGGCACGATTCACTGCAAGTCTTTGCACAACGGCTGTGCCGACAGCGCACTTCGCATGTCAAATTACAAGGTGGACACAATGTACCCTGATGACATGTTTGGCCACAGCTGTGCGAGCAAGCTGAGAATCCCCGGCCACATGGGCTTCGGCAATGGCCATGATCGATGTGGTAGGAATCGCCCTTTGTGTATCTACACTGCCAGCATAGCCGCCGACAGGTATGTCCGCAAGGCATTGGGCTATCACACGGATGAAAGCAATTCACTGCACCATCATTCTCAAAGCAGCGTATCTGGACGCTGTGGCCGCAGCGATCCATGGTGCGGGAAACGCGTTTAGTGCACCGCACCTTTGCGAGATTGCCCATTTGCCTGCACTCCACGGCCTCCGCTATATGCCCACAGGGAAGAAGGACATTATGGACTACCTGCAAGCATTCCCCACATTGTTCATGGCATTTCTTTGGGCATGCATGGCCGCAGTTTTTCATCCGAGTGCACAGCTCCATGCATTTGACCGCTTTGTGTTGTCTTTCCGAGTGACACTTCACAGGACAGGTATGCCCGCAGTCTAGCCTTAGTCCGCATTTCTCCGCACACCCGCCTTCAGGGGCGTGTATGGTGAAGTCATTTGGGCAATCAACGTAAAACCCGTTTGAGGGGTGACGATCGCAACGTAACTCAAGTTTCGGGCCAATATTGGCGCCTTTTTCCAGCAGGTGAATAACGGATGACCACATGGGTGCGGTTGATGCCGTACTTGCATCGCCAATTATATACATGCCATGTTTGGCGCGACTGGAAATACAGTCAGCATCATCCATCATCCATCGAGTACTACTAACAACTGCGTAATACTTACCTTAGAAGTACGTTGATCCTGTTCGGTATTTTCAGAAACCCACAATTTCTGGATCTGTTGCTGCGAACGAGGGAGATAATAACGACACTGGCTTCTTCGCCCTGGTAGAGAGTGTATTAGAGCTATCTATTCGCTGATTCGGGGTATATCCTACCTGAAAATTGTCGACCGTAGCCAATCGAATGGCATCTAGAAGGCTTCCCTTCTGTGGAGCCCTCTGTTTGCCGCACCATTTCCCATGCTCGTTCATACAGGGTCCACTCACTTGTAACCCCTCAGATTCGTCAAGCGCATCCGAGTCCGTTTCACTGATGATTATGGTCATTTCCTTTTCCAGGACGTTCCTGAACATCCTCAATTGTCCAACATATGGCGTCAATACAGCAATTTCGCCGGGCCCATACTTGCCTTGTTGACAGAGATGCCGCACCAATGCGGTTACCATCCCAATCTCCCACGTATTCGTCTTGCTTTGCATTGGCTCTGTAGGGTCAGTTGGATCTTCCACGTGAGAATGGTCGAGCCAATATAGCCTGCGAGCAATACCAGGTACAAGGGGATATGAGGTCATCGTAGGATGATCTTGGAGCTTTGGATATAAAGTCTTGCGTACCAGTTCGGAAATGGATGGGTGCATCCGCCGTTGGTGGCTCAACTGCATCACAGGGAAGCTATATTCTTGCTGATCCTGTCCACCCGTACCACTAGATGTTGATTCTCCGAAGCGGAAGTTTGCTAGTCGCTCAAACAGTGACTCATCGAGGTTGTACTTGGGGTTCTCCCGTTCATAGTCCATGGACAACCTAAGGTTAGAGATGCGTGGACGTAGCTGCAAGTGATCTCCTATCAGAATCGCGTGCTGGATCGAGGGTATTAGTGCAGTGAGAACATGCGACTCCAGAACCTCTGCTGCCTCTTCACATATGAGCACCTTTGCATTAAGGTTTCGAAGTAACTCAGCATTGTTTGCTAGTTGGGTAGTAGTTACCCCTACAACCTGGCAGTTGTTCAGGCGTTGCACATCCGACAAGTTGAACGCTGAAGTATATCGCTCTTTTTCTGCTGAATGAGCTTCGAGAAGTGTCAATACCTGTTGACTGATCTCTGCAAGAGCCGCCTCCTGCCAGTAACTAAGGAGACGAGTCCGCTCAGAGGCCTTGAGCGTCCAGACGTCCTCCTGAAGTAGTCGGTCAATGGAGCGCTCAATATTGGCTTCGCTCCAGTCTCCGGGAGCGTCACCAGAAACCCACGCTTGCAATGCATTCGTGTCCGTTTCACCAGGAGACTCCGAAGTTATGCGGCTGGCTTGGGCGGGGAATCTTTTCTTCAAAATCCCAAGAACAAGACTGTGACAACCACTCTGGGCCTGCTTCAGGAGCTCGTCAATCCTTGAACTTATGCTGAGTAACTTCACTCGTGATTCATCCTTTAGCCTAGGAAGGCCTTTAATTCGGGGCCCTGGCTCTTGCTTTCTCATGTCGAGTGAGAGCCTTTCAATGTGTGGAGAGGCACTACGAGGGCCAATCCTGATAATATTGGTAACACTCGATCTAAGAAGACCATCAAGAAATTGATCAAGTGCGTGGGCTGTGTAGCATCTGCGACATACAAGTCAATACTTGGTAGCGCCTGGGCTACAAGACGGGAGTTTTCACATACACACATAGTATCGGGCCCAGGTCCAGCAGATCCTTGTTGTGCAGCAAACATCGAGCCAGCTGTAGCCCTACGTATGATTTTCCAGTCCCCGGGGGGCCTTGAATCAATGCTATCTTTCGTCGTAGTGCCCAAATAAACGCATTTGCCTGGCCTTCGTCTAAATCAGTTGCCCTGGAGAGGTCTGCAGAGAGCATCCTAGGATCGTGGGAAAGAGACATAGACAGTATCTGACTTGCGTCCTCGATTTCACCTTGACCTGGGAGGCAAGAAAGGTCGAGTAACAGATCCCTGTGGAAGTATACAGGGGGTTGTATACTGATACTGCCAGCGTCGGTGCTACCTCCCTTCAGTGCTTCGCACAGTTCATGGTTATCGGAACTCGGGGCTAGCCATGCAGTAAAGGGCATGCGTGCTGGGTTCTGATGTAGCACCTGAAGGCACCTCAGAATACCCTCGAAGGAATTGTACGGAATGGCTGGAAATTCCACAAGTATGAGCGGTCGGGGAAAGGGATTGCTTCTCGAGAACAAAACAAGTCTCTCCAAGTCTGGCGGATTGGGTGGTCCCACTAGCCCCAAAGTAACCATAGCTCTGTTGCCATCGCTAACTACGTCACTGACACGATCGCCCGTGACAGAGCCCTGTTTGTCTTTGTCGACATAGCTGGTCTCCCTCTTTGAGACAAGAAAGTAGATTGCAGATGTGTCATCCACATCTTCTGCGTCTAACAAGGCCAACAGGGTTGAACCCTTTTTCAAGGCCTTTGAGTCAAACCACCACTGTTTCCTTTTTGCCGGACTTACATTCTTCAGTCTAGGAAGCTGATCAAATTCCAAGTTTACTTCTATCCCTTTGAATTGCTCTGACTTTATTTGTCGGATTTTGACTCCTGAATAAATCCGGACCGGAGTTGGCATATTGTCACGAAGAAACTTGCGCTTTAGCCGCCAGTCTGTCCCGTGGACAATTAGTTCCCATGCATGTATTATTAATCTTATGCCTTCGCGAAGCACACCAGAAGTGTCTTCTCGTAGAAGGCGGAATTGACTATCGAGAAGTCGACGGATGCCCCACTCGTGATGCATATTGGCGGAGCCGGTAGCGCATCGTGCGGGGAGGAATTCAGGTCGATCAGCATTCAGTATCTCTGATTTTGTAGGCAAGATCTGAATATCCGAGATTGCCGTTTTGTCATTATCATGGCGAGGGCCGTGGTCAGACAATTCGCCGGGTAGGTCAACTATATACCTCGTGCTGTTTTGCTGATTGGATTTGATTTTTTGCACTTGATCGGGCTTCTGTGACATAGGGATCGAGTCCCCCATAGAAAAGATTTCTTGAATCTTGAGTATATTCTCGTATGCCAGCTGCAGGTTGTCATCGCCAGCCCTAGCGTCGGCGTTGTCGGCATGACAGCAGTCGTAAAGCCTGTCGGCAATCTTCTTGAGGTCTACCTGTATTGCAGCCTCATGATTCAAAGTTAAAGTACCAAGAAGCACTCTCGAAACCAGAGACAACACCTCAGTTGGCGTGGCGACATGTTGGACAACAGCTTGACTTCTGCCATCACTTTTGAACTGGGTGAGGTAGTCTGTCACTTTTGTGAAGAACCCAATTGCCCTTCGACCACCGGGGCCGTATATGACGTTGTAGATTGTCCCCACGGCCTTCTCAAGTATAAGTGAAGATAGCACCTCATTGTGAGAGACCAGTTGAAAGAACAATATACAGTGTGGATCAAACATAGGCTTTAAAACGCTATAGGATATTGCGAAGTCAGTCTCCACTATCTGTCGGACTTTGCGAAGACCAGACTCGGTAGCCAGGCTTTCGATGAATGTTCTTCTCGTGTCCGGTGACTCGTCGATCATAGCCAGGCCAGCTTCAAGAAATACTTGCATCTGGGCTGCTGACAGCTCATCGCTCGCTGGAGCTTCCGATGAGCTTACCCTGGAAGTACCAGGTAAAGGCCTGTATCAAAAGTATCAACGCTGTGCCCCTCGCTAGCCATAGTGCGGAGACATACCTATAGCCACTCCGCGATGTCTTCCCGGCACGACTATCGCAGTCTGCAGGCTCTGGACGAACCATATTGTCACGTCCCCGTCCCCTGCTCTTGCCTTTCTGGGATCGTTTGCCCGTTTTATTATGAGGCGAGGTATTCTCCTTTCCAGCAAGACCGTTATTGCCGCCGGCGGCAACAGGGCCTCTAGTACGACGACCTTTGGAAGCTCTTCTCCCTCGCTGAGGTGTATTAGAGGTTTCCTTCGCACCAGCCATTGTGTAGCCTTTCGAGAAAGAGTATTGGTTGGATGGAAAGAGTCCAGCAAGGAGGTGGATGATGATGTATGGGGGAAGATGTCTGTGAGCGATACAAGGGAGCAGAAGTATGTAGTGGGGTCGATAGACAGCACAGACGGCGCTAAGCCTATCTGGTAAGTTGTTTCGTAGGAGAAGTGCCCGCTAATTATGGAGTGAAGCCGATTCCATGCGGTTTAAAGGAAGTTCCCCAGCACCTTACTCCAGGTCTATTATAGTTTGTGACACCTTTTTTCCTCCATTGTGGATCTGAGGACTGTGTTTGTCTATAATGTCATTGTAAATCAGTTTAATTCAGTCACTACTCACTCGGGTGTTACTACTGTTGGTTTTCTTATTCAACTTGGAGTCAGAAGTCAAGTACACATTGACAAATATTTCATCTTTGCAGTACATACTAGTGCATGGCTTATATTTCAAACTCTTACTATTCAAAATCAACAATGGCTAGTAACAAAGCACAATTAGGCCATGATTGGTGGCTTCACTGATACGAAGAGCGAAGTGATGCACAGGTAAAAGATACTGAAACCATAAGTGAATCTTAGTGCCTGATAGCGCAAAGGCTCACCAGTCCATTCACGAAACGCCATCTGCGAGCGTCGAGCATAGAGCCACTATAAGTGGTAATTGTGTAGTACCCGAGTTTTACAATAATTGTATTCCATTCCCAATACGCTTGCAGCTGGACTATAAATTAAATGCACAAATAATTGCAGCAATGAAATCGTAAACACTAGCCCGCTGACTCACAACTTACTGTAAATCTCTTAGTGAATCTCTAGCAGCCTCTGGCCACATACGAATATACCGCATACTAATACATTGTTGTAGCTTTTGTCGCCTGGGTCTCATTGAGCGATGACAATAATAAATGATATTCTGGAGTGTTAATCGACTTGTGTTGGCCATGGCCGCCACAAATAACTAAATAAGTTCGGGCCGGAATCGTGTTTTGCACAAGGAACTAATCCTTGGGCAGTTTGGATATGAACCATGTACTCATCAGCATAGTAATAGCATCCATACCATCCTTTGGGCTAAAATGGTGAGGTCGGTCGAGATTTTTCCATTTTCAACATTTGATACTTTGGCAAATTCGCTTCGCGTTATTAGTTATACTAGGTAATGCTTTCAATACGCGCTCATTGCCATTCCGATGCTCCAGTGTCGTACATGTTGCAACCCGGAGAATCTGAACACCGTTCAAGCATTGAGACCCACAGTTCTAATAAGGAAACAATAACAGATGATGAAAACATCTATATATGCCACACTGTTAGATTGAAAATGCGTTCTAAAGATAGAGTGATGCACAATGCATAATCTTCACGTCGCGCAAGCCACAACCGAGCATATTCTAGACACTGACCCCCACACCCGCATTTTGATGTCTTTCCATCCATACAACATATCAAGAATTGAGGAGCTTTTTTGATAAGACGCCTATCACTATTTTTTCTGTCTTTGGGCTAGGGAAAGGCTTGCGCCTTATATAGGTGTCGTCTAGCCGAAGTCCATACTATGGCCCCTCATTGCTTATTTCGAATTGCATTGCAAAAAGTGATCTGACTAGGCCCAGGGTCTCGCAACCTTGGCGGTAGGACTCCCAGTATTGCACTCATGGAGAATAAGTCATCCAGCCCCTTTCACTTGTCTCCTTCCGACCATCTACTCCCCCCATCACTTGGAATGATGAGGGTGCTAAGTTATATTTCCGGCCGCAAAGTACGAAGGGGGTGATCGAAGATCTTTATCTCGGTCTGTCGCGGTTGATCAGCTTATCCCATTCATAAGTGGGCCAGTAGACCGATGTCATGATTCGTTAAACCCCGAATGCTATAGAGGTGCAGCTGGCCTCGGCGAACGAAGAGACTGCACGGCTTTTCGAGGTCCAGCACTACCCTCGATACGCCTTTTAGTCAGTGTGAACAACATAGCAAATGAAGATAACCAGGCTGTAGTGGCAGCACTGGTGATGAATCATGGCGCCGACTGATATGAATTGGTCTTCCGAGCCCGAGTCTTTCGGGCACAGACCAGTCTTTCCGCCGATGGAGTAGTTCTCTGCCTCTTGTTCGACCATATGGCCATTGATGGGATATGAAGTGGTATTCTCTTCAACCTGCTTGCACGATGCTGCCGCAACCGAAGTAGAGGCGCAGCAGTCGTTGTACCAGGCTGGAACTACTAGAATGCCCCGACTTTCAATAAGTCTACATTGACTGCTGGGAGGGACACAAAGCAGCCCGGGTAAACCGCTCTCGATGAGGGTATCGTCTCGAATAATAAAAGGATCAAGGGTAGAGCAGAAAGCAAAGAAAACTCATAGAGAAGAGCGAGGCCTCTTTCTGATGTATTCCCTTTCAGGAGCCGGGCTTTCTCAAGCGTGCCCGGCTTGGGGGAGGAATTCGGATAGTATGTAGCCTGCTAGGAGCCTATAGCACTAATAGATCGTAATATTGGGTAAAGGTGTAGTATCATCCTTTGTGAATGGATAATGAACGTCTGAAATTAGCTATATACAGTGTCGCTAAAATGACAATGCGAAAAGTGGAATTAGGAAATGAGAACAAACAACTCTGAAGCGTGATGGAAACGCCATAGGAAGCAGACAAAAGCCGTTGAAGGAGTGCGATTGGTGGGAGACTCAGTTATGGTTTCCAAAAATGACGATCATCAGCTTCAGAATCAAGATTCTCTCAACCGCATACTGCGCCGACCAAAATAAGCAGGCAGGATCACCAGTGACTGGAAAATCTACCCAGAGGAGGCTCTGCCACCAGGAATAGAACACATCCTGATACTTGGATGAATGTAGCCTTTTCGCTTCTAACTTTCCGAACTGAGCGATCATTTTTAAGTTTTTCAATCAACTAAAGTCAAACGTTAACTCAATCCTACTTTTGGTGCGGGAACCCACATTTTGAGAACAATCTACCAACAAGTGGAAACTATTCTTTTGTGGGTATGATCATCTCTTGTGAGACGCTGGATGCCACAACTAATATGAAAGAACCTTATTAGTAGAAGAGCCAACAAAACTGCTGGGCGATGAGGGCTTTTGAGAGCCAATAGCAGATCATGGTACGACGGTACTTTACTTGTCTCTTACCTTAACTATACTACGACTACAGCCATTGATGCAGTGTGATTATGCGAATCATGTAGCATTGACCAGCATTGCGTGACAGCCAGCACGTCTGATGAATCGCTCCCTTGCGGGAGATTGAATGCTGCTGTATCCTGCAATCGGGCCGTCTGGGGCCACTGTGCAGGGGCGCAGGCCTTTTTTCCCTGATGCTTGTCCACCACAAACGTATAAGTTGAGTAATAAACCTGTTCCAAGTAGACTGAAATATTGTTAATATACGTATTCAAAGATAATCTAGTTAAGGTGACCGTAACCTAGACTTGGAATGCTACCTTGTGCAACCTTCAGCGATAGGAGCGCCGATCGTACCTGATATCAGCCATCCAAGTTGTCCAGGGTGAGACATTGCCATCATCATGGGGCAAACGCCTTACGCCGGACTGTCCCAGATCTCTCAACATCACTTTTGGGAAACGAAATGCACCAAAACTACCGTGGCTATCTACTGGCGTCTCGGATCTCGTGCTACATACCAGTGAGCCGGAGCCTCGGACCCGGTTCTCTTCAGCTGGCGCGGGATAAAAGTGTTTGTCAACGAGGTTTGTCATAGGTCAATGCTAGGGTGGTAAACGAGATTTGAGGTAGCAGTAGCTAAGCCAAGTACTTTGCCACTCTGTTCCCGGAAGGGGGATCGGGCAGATGCGATGTCGTTTTATTGGACAGGGATGCCGCACAGGGATGGATATGAGTCCAAGCTCTTCTTGTTCACATCTTGATTCCGAGGCTAGAAGATCAGATTCCATTTGGAACAGATTGAGCGAAAGGATAGGACAGATGAGCTTCCATTGTGCGGGCATATTCTCCGGCACAAATCTTGTTATAGTTATGACAGCCATTGAGAGGCGCAATTCAAGCAATGGAATGGACACTGTCTGTGGGACTTGACCCATCTATCAGCACGAACTGGGGAGCTCAGCACATGCCAGGCATTAGAGCCGACTAGCTAGCTCAGCTCATTAGAAAGTGCGCCACTAGTCTCGAGGTTTTTATGGTGTGTAACCAACAATGCGTCTGTAGTTGGCGAAGACTAGCTGCAGTCTACTCATAGTCTGCTACTTGAATTGCCACGGAGTTAGTGCCGAGCGTCAGAAGGGAGACAAGGGATATCACCACACGTCTTTTAACTCCTGCCTGAAATTTGGCACTACTGGTGCAAGATGTCCGTGCAAATTTAGAAGCAGTCATTGACTTAAGAAAGTAATATCACGGCGTCGCATTAAACGGTCTAGATGAGCCATGGCCGATAGAATTGAGGCGTGGTGAATGCGGGCGTACTGGGGCATTGTGGTGAGGTGAAGAGGACTCGAAAATGAGACTAAGTGGTGCGGGGTAGAGGAGGGTGGGCCTCCGCTTAGCGTCCGGAGGGTAGCACTCGGTTGGCCGTTTAGTTAGTGGCCTCTCCAACAGTTCATCTTCGCTCCCTTCCACTAGGCCTCCAATGTCTCACTTTCTCCCCGCGGACCCTGACCTTCCGATGCGCTACTCTGCTCTTCTCCCTGTGCAGTTGGCGACCTGCATTAGCTAACTTCCACACACGAACAAATGAGAATCCGGGGGCGGGCCGGGTGTAGAGCCCATCGTGGCGCCACCACGCTCTGGTCCTCCTACCAGCGAAGTCAAATTGATTGCTTCTCGCGATGATTACTTTGTTGCGCTGGTCAGGTGCTACCTACTACTACCTTCTCTCCGATTCTATCTAAAACTATCGCTGTATTGCAACAGAGTGCCAGCAATGGCAATAATCGGGTCAAGATGTGCCAGGAAACCAGGGACTGGGAACCCTCAAGGTTCCGGCCACGCTAAAAGGGGAAAATGAGCATCGGCCCTGCAATCAAACGCGTTGGCCCAGAACAATCAATCCCGTGACGATCACCATAGCACTTCTCAGGAACGAGCCAATTCTTGTATCATGGACCAGGCTCGACGTCTCGGTTCGAGGACGCTAATTAGGTCGACCCCAGAATTGCAGGGAAACTTTCCCCTGGCCCACATTCTCGCCTCGGCCGTAGTTCCCTTCCATGTGAGCTCTAACCTGTCCATGGTGTATATAAAGACGCTCACCCACGGTCACTAAGTAGGAATACAGCAGAGCCAATCTCAGCCTCAAGCACTCGTTCAGTTCTCCAGCTTTGTTTTTAATAACATACCTACTACTCTTAATATCTATTCAACTACCGTCGTTATCACCGTCAAGATGAAGTTCACCGCTGCCTTGTTCACTCTGTTGGCCACCAGTGTCATGGCCAACCCCACCAAGGTTGCTCGCGAGCCTACCCTCGTCGAGCGTGACGCTGCCTCCATCACGAGCGTCCTCTCCGACATTAACACCCAGGTTCAGGCTCTTGATTCGGCCATCAACTCTTACTCTGGAGGCGACCCCTCCAAGGTTGAGTCCGCCTCTTCCTCTTTGGTCTCGGAGATCAACTCTGGTGTCTCCACTGTCAACGGAGGCTCTGAGCTCAGCGCCACTGATGCTCTCACTATCACTGGCCCCGTTCAGGACCTCACCAAGGAGGTGCAGACCACCATTGATGATCTGATTTCGAAGAAATCCGACTTCGTGTCTGCCGGCGCCGGTGCCACTGTCTACTCCCAGCTGCAGAAGCAGTATACTGCTTCCAAGAACCTGGCCGATGCCATCACCTCCAAGGTCCCGTCCTCTCTGTCTAGCATTGCCAGCTCCTTGTCTTCCGGTATCACCGACGCCATTCAGAAGGGTGTCGATGCCTACAAGGACGTGGCTACCTCTTCCGCTAGCTCCTCCTCTGAGGCCTCCAGTGCTACCTCCGCTGCCTCTACTACCGATGCCACTACCGATGCCACTACTGCCGCCACCACTGCTGCCTCCACCACTGAGAGCTCTGCTGCTTCCACCAGCTCCAGCCCCGTCATCCCCAGCTCTCCCAACAGCTCTGCTTCTGCTTCCGCCACTCCCAGCAGCTCTGCCTCCGCTTCTGCCTCTGCCTCTCCCTCCCTTTACACCGGTGCTGCCAGCGTGGAGCGCTTCAGCTACACCCTGGGTGGTGCTGCTGTTGCTGCTGCCATTGCCATCGCTGTCTAAGTGGGAGACTTTTTGATGGACTGAGTGAGTCCTGCGACGAATGAATGAGGTGAACGGTTAAGGTCCACAACACTCCCTTTACTGCTTCAACAAGGCAATGGACTTGCCGAATGTATATCTTACTACTGCCTTTGAGGCTTAGAACCTGTACCAGATCTGAGGCCTGAATATTGTTGTTGTTTTGTTTCTTGTTATTTGTTGCTATAGCTATAATACAGTGTATTCTGGCGACGCTTGTGTCTAAAAGCAGTAATATTAATCCAGAGTAGCATTCAGGATCAAGTCCATTCTCTACTACTTCCTGTGTAATGGCTCAATGAACATTTGTTTTCCTGTCCTCATAATACTGTCATAGCCCGAAGGATCGATGTTCGGGTCTGCAGGCATCCGAATCAGAAAGCCGGTCAACGCATCGCCCTTACAGGATCACATGTAACATCGTTGATCAGTCACCGTTGCTCCCTAACCGCGATCTAACGCAGGAGACCAGGAAAAGTCCCGCGAATGCAGCCTGTTCGCAACACATTCCCGTTATAGGCATCGCGGTTAGTTATGCCTACTGCATTGTAACAGTGCTCGGAAACTTAATTTCCGGGCTAGTAGCGAACCCTTAGTAGGCTCAACTAGCTGAAGACCTCCTGCACGCACCTATCCTATTACGTTATGCTAAAGTCTAGTCCGTGCAACAGGAGTTGGGTTTGTGACTTGCGTGTAGACGCATGGCAACTGTGATAAGAGTGAAAGGGTAAACCACCTCGGCATATTGGTAGATTGACTTTGATATGCAAATTGCTAGTTTCTGGTTTCGGAATGTGCTTTAAAAATGAATGTAGTCGATCGCATCCAAGCTGATGATCATTCATGTGCCATATTCTTTTGTAAGTTTTTAGTCCTAATGTAAATATATATATTTTCTTTTTCGGCCCTTTAACTGTGATTAGTACTTAGTGAGTTACGATTCTGCCGTCTAAAATGTTTATGCTTCGGCTCTACAGTGTAGTACGTGTAGCTCAAAATTATCAGGGAGCTCGAAAGCAACATACATAGTACCTTTAAGGTACTCTAACACCACGCAGAAGCTTTGGCAAGGCGTTGCAGAGAGGTACTAGTATAGCTATGATGGGTCTCAGCTCGGCACGCCATAGCCATCATACCAAATTCAGTCTAGACGTTCCGCATTATCCGTCGTGTTTTCCACCAGACTTCTTTCGGTTAGCATGTCCGCTTGGATGCCCAGTTATCACCCACTCACATCGGCCTTTTGATGTCGGAGTCCGCACGGAGTGAGGGCACACCAGCAGTACCTTTGGCCACTAAACAACCTAATGGAAGCGCTCTCCTTTTCCCCACTTCAGTTCATTCGATATCGGGACACATGTCCGCAGAAGCAAAAAGCGCCAGGATTTATCCACACTAGACATGTTCCGACCACCGACTGGCTAACCTGAAGGACGGCGCTTAGCAAAGCGTGACCATGCCTCAATAGAAGAAGGGCGCTTATCCTTAACACACGGCCCCGTGATAAGGCTAGCGGTTATATTAACCTGAGAACAACCTCGATTTCAGGCAGCAACATCACCCCACAGACTCTCCCCTTCTCATTCCGCGTTCTCCTTGATTGAACATCATGGCTCGAAAATTCCCCGTTGACTCTGCTGGCCCAGATATCGTCCGCGACTACATCATTCAAACCCTCATCAGAAAGCATGAAGCCACGCCAGAATACGCAGAGAAACTGGCTACTTGCTGGCAGTTAGGCCGAGTCCGGGAGCTTCGCTCCGCAACGCTGAAGCACCTGCAAGACGACTTTGGTAATGATGTTGGCTTGTGTATCTATCGCGCCATTCGAGAGGATATGCTTGAAGACTGGCAGGAAACGACGGCAGCAGCAGTGACTATTTGTTCGTTGCGCCTCGCTCATCCATTACTGTGGTCATTGAAATTAACAGTGTTTCGTTCAGGGTCCGTGTCTACCGCGACGATGATTCATCTGGTGGTTGTTGGGCTGTTCATCCTACCTGAATTGGGACTCATGCAACCTTGTGGTATGTTATCTTTCTGATCAAAAATATTCAGATGGCCCACAGAGCTAACTGTCATTCCTGCTCGTAGAACGTATCCGCGTGGCAAAGTCGCCTGCGTCGTGGCTGTTGTTTGGCTTCGCCTATCTCAACTATCACTATCAGAGACAGGATATTGAAGAGCCGGGCCATATATCACTCGCAGGTCCTATAGGGCTCTTGAGTATAAGCGTGGGCTTGTATCTGTTTTCCGTGTAGAGTATATGCCTTGCAGTTATTTAGTTTATAGTGACCGCCTCAAGGATGTTGAGGAGACCAATGGGGATCCTAGGTGACAATATGCGGTGGCGCGCAATGCATTTTCGAAGAGCAATGTTTAGCATCGCTGTCTCTAACATACCCACGCACCAGCATTTAATATAGTGCATTCGAGATACCACAGCCGGAATGATACTGCATACCTTGACATGGTGCCTTGATATGAAGAATTGTTTGTTGATTTCGGTCCTGTCACTTCAAGGCAAAAATACTACGGAAAGGAGAATGACCTACCGTGCTATTCTGAGCTCTCAGTTATCTCTGGCTTTGGGCCCCAAGCACCTCACTCCGGATTGTCACGCCGCTTAATGAAGAAGCAGGTCTTGTTCTGCCGCTCATACGTCTCACCCCAAATATATGAGTCTTTCGCATGGCTTTGACTTATGAAGCCTTATCAGCAACATTGTCAATCTCCAGTTCACAATCCTATTAGCATGACTTGCTGTAGTCGTCATGTAGGTATTCAATTTCTTCTGGGCGTTAAAGTGAAAGTGCCATCAAGGTGGATGACGACCTATTAAACCCCAGGTATATTGCTCCTTATTGGCTGGTAAGTTTGTACTCCAGAATCTGAAAACGGGAAATAGCTATTGAATCATATTTTGAACTACAGAAAAGGATTACGTGCATCTTCTCCCCACGGACCAATACCTGGGCCTTTGAACAATTTCCCTCCCTTCCAGACGTGGGTAACCGCCTTCGGCTCTTGGAAGACTTTGATGTCCTCCAATGGATTCTCCTCCAACGCAATCACATCTGCCTCATACCCCTCGCGAAGCTGACCCGTCAAGGGTGCTTGTGGACCAACCGACAGGGGAGCGTTCGCAGTTGCGGCTTTGATGGCCTCCAACGGCGTCATACCTCCTCTCTCGACGGCAAACTGCAACTCAAGTGCGGTAGGACCACCGGGGGCGGTATCCGTTCCCAACGCAATGGTAACACCCGCCTTAATAGCTCCCTGATAGGCTTTCAAATGCGAATCGGCAAGGGCCTGCAACTTGGCCCACGACTCTTTCACCAATCCCTCTCCATTACTAGCCAGAAAGATTTCAATAACCGAGCGCGTGGCCACATACAAAATTCCCTTCTCTTTCATGAGCTCCCAGACCTCCTCGTCAGCATAAGACACATGCTCCAAACTCTTGCAGCCTGCTTTGATAGCAGCCATAATCCCCGCCTTGCCATGCACATGTGCAGAAACGATCCGGTTCTGTCGAGCGGCCTCTTCCACTATCACCTTCAGTTCTTCTGGAGAGAACTGTGCAAAGTTGGGATTATCGTCTCGCGACATGACACCCCCAGAGGCCATCACTTTGATAACCTTTGCACCGCGACGGATCTGCAACCTCACTGCTCGTCGGACCTCCTCTACGCCATCGGCGATACATAGCGGCCCTGCGCCCCAGTACCCAGGGCGTGGGTTCATTACGCCATAACTCCCCAGTACTTCGCCTGCCGGAAGAGCAAAGATATCGCCGTGTCCAGCTGTCTGACTGAGTGCAGCACCAGACGAGTACACGTTTGGACCAACGATCGTGCCGTCATTGATCGCCTTTGCGACCTCGCACCCGTATCCAGCTAGGTCGCGGTAGGATGTATACCCATTCTGCAATGCTTCCCAGCAACCACGGGCTAGTCGAGCACCTGATGATGCTGGATGAGTGGCCAGACCAGATGTATAATCGTTGTAATAATCGTCATCCCCGCCAAAATGCATGTGGCAATCCCACAAGCCAGGCATGAGCACGGGGACACGATGAGTAGACTGCGTGGACCGGAGGTATTTCTTAGGGATGTCGGCTTCGGATCCAACGAACGCGATGATCTTATCGCTGATGACTAGGGCAGCATTGCGCAGAGGTTCTCCGTCGCCAGGGATTAATAGTCCGGCATATATTATAGTGACCTTGGCCTCGTCTGGTGATGCGATCACGAGAGGTCTTCTTTGAAGATTCATTGAAACAGGATTAGGACGGACGCAGTATGTTGTGACCATTGGCGACATGGGCGATTGCACCATAGGTGTAGCTGAAGCAATTCGGCGGACCATGATGATGAATGTAACAAGGGCCTTCGTCAATAGGAGCAGAAAAACTGGGGAAGCTGCCAAATATCAACCCCAGAGGGGTTGGGACAAATGGCCTGTCAGCAGGTGTTTGTCATATCCCGGAGTCCGTCGGGGCCATCACAATCCTGCCTTTGCTATCGTTATCAGTTGATAGTATGTGAGATTTTAGCCGGTAAGCTAGACCAACTCGGGTGTCGAGGCCTAAGCCACATTATCCCGCCTGAGACGGCGTAAGGTTTAATCCCTATTCTCTTCGCTATGCAGAGCTGAGTGTGATTAGCGCTCGGTTGCCATTAAGCGCCTGTGGTGCTGAGTAGCTGACTCATGATTCTCCCTATGTGGTGACGAGTCGAATCGGCTGATGAGGCTTGCAATGGCCTGAAAACAGTCGTGAACAAGCAGGCGTTCGATCTGCTCAACTGCTAGGCCTTTCTACCGCGTGCTTCATTCGGGGTTTCTTCTATAACAAGCTACCTTGCTTGGGTAATATCCTGTCTGTCGGAGCTAAATGTATCGGATGCTCTGACGCCCACCAACCATCTAGGCACTTCTAGCCATCGCATTATCTGCGCATGATGAAGCGGTGTACGTCACGTAAGCCAACACACATACAGAATCATTATAACAAACACTGACCATGGTACTAGTAGGATCGGTGTCGCTTGTGATGCGGCTATACATACCAATTGTATACAATAGGAATGTCCTTCCTCAATAGTGGAAATAGCTGTTACCGCTCAATTGTTCTCGAGCATCGATGCTGCATCGAACTGTGACAGTGAGCTTTTTCCAGAGGAGCTGGAAAGGTCACTGAATGTGCCTGACCTTCCAGGAATGGCAGGTCTCGGAATGAGATTGAGCTTTTCCTCGCACAAGCATCGAGTAAAATTTCGAATGTTTCCCTTCTGACAATTTTCTCCTATGGCTCACTTGAACAGTGGCGAGGGACTGTCGTCGCTTAGTATGCGATTGAGGTGCATTTTCAGTGATATTACCCACAATTCCGTCGGGTCGGACATCACAAGAAAAATGAAAAGATCATCCGCTGTTTGTTTGGCCCCTGGAAATGATTCCCGCTGTTCCATTGTTTTGGGGGTGTCTCTTCAGCCTGCCTTCCGCCTCCGGCCTCCAACTTTATTTGTCTCAGCCATCATGCGAACCACGCGGATGGGAATGCGGTCATGGAGTCTTAAACGTGTTCACAGCTTCCAACTACCAGGTCAACCTGCATAAAACCTTATAATTTAACTCACAGAATCATCCAAGCTAACTAGCATTGCACGAACAAATCTGTGGCAAGGTTTTGGCGCCACGAACGGATCGATCGATCTCACTCTCCTGATCGACAAGGAACGGTGGATCCGAAGCCGATCATTGCTCTCCTCGTAAGTTTATTGTTCTGAGGGAGCGCACTATGCTAAATAGCAGAAGCAAATCCCACGCAAGGAATTGTCATTTCCCACCGCGTACTTAAGACGGAGCAGGCCCCTCTTCCCGACAGACTCGCGTGTCACACAACCTGAACGGTCCAATCGAAAGATGCGACTCTCTCCAATCTACGTGCTATCATGGGCTCTTCAGGCCTCAGCTACCATTCTGCAGAATGGTCAGGTCCGAGAAGACCCATACCCTGGTCAGGCTAAGGCTATTTCGTTGGATGATGGCTCTTGGCGAACATATCAGCCGGATGCGTCGGAGATCGCGTACAAGGGAAGATGGGATAGTAAATATGTTTCTTGTGAGCCATCCCGTGCTGATTACATCATTTGGGTCTTGTGTGTGGTGCTAACTGTCTGATTCTCAAGGGTGGTCGTATGTCTCAATCGGTTTCCTCTGGATGTGATGACGTCGCACTAACAGGTACAGACTTCCGGGTATCAAACTTGGGTTTACGGGCGAGCAGGTATGATAGCGCTGGTCATATGAGATACTGGGACGCCGTCAACTGACATGGCATAGCTTGCTGTAAGCTTCGGCCCACAGACGAGTGAAGGCGTCCTTTTGGCTTATCGGTAAGGCTTTCAAGCAGGTATACCAGCTCCCCTTTCTGACTTTATAGAATCGATGGTCTGGACTGGCAATTTTCCAATGTGACTGCGAACTCAACATATCAATTTGCTGGGTCGTGGACCCCGGGGTTGGATTTGTCCAAGAACAACACATTTGAAATGAGAGGCAAGTGCAGTTCTTTATCAATTGAAACTCATACTGACAGTTATCTAGTCACAAACTGGGGCTATGGATAAGTTCATCGATCCATCATCGAGGTGTCTACTGACCTTTCGCACAGTTCAATTGGCTGGTGTCTCGGTCGCTTCGGATTCGCAGCTTGTCACGGTCCCTCAATACAACAAGACTGTGGAAATCATCGGTGATTCGTACGTTCCTTTCTCTCCTCACCAGTCCCACAACTAACAACTTTAGCTTCGCATCGGGACAATATGGTACTTACGAAGGACTTTCCTCATGGGCATACAACTACGCCGCCGGGTTAGGCGACGTCGAATACTCGATCACCGTATGTTTCTGTTGTACTTTGCATTCGCCATCTAACCATGACAGGCATACCCCGGTATCTGCTTGACGGATGAACAATGCTACGCGGACAAGGCGCGCGGGATGGTCAGTTTTCCCTAGATCGCGCAGACGCAAGCATCTAACTTGCTCAGACACACCAATGGTTCTACGCCTCCGATGCAGGTGTGCGTGCGAATGCCACCTACGGAAACCAACCCGAGAAGTGGGATTTCAGTGCCCATCGAGCGGCAGATCTCGTCATCATTGACCTGGGTACCAACGACCACCGAGCCGTAAATGACATTCCCGGCTCGACCTTCTATGACAGCTACGTCGAGCTCGTGACCAGCGTGCATGAAACATGGCCAGACGCGCAGATAGTTATCATGGTATGTACCCCCTTCCTCCTCCCCCCCCAAGCCGAGCGAGAGACAATTGCTGAGACCTTATTCAGTCCCTTTGGGGCAACTTCACCCGCTCAGGCGACACCTACGTCCAATCCCCCTTCTACGTCTCTGAGATCCAGCGCGTGGCCGAGCATTTCCAGGACGACGGATTCGTGTATTACTTCGACACCAAGGGCGTCCTCCAGCACAACGACATCGACCCTCAAGAGCACCCGACCGACGTCGGCCACATCAAAGTCGCCAGCCACTTGATGCAATGGACCAAGCTCAAACTCGGATGGGAATTTGGAGCCACAGGACCCGAAGTCCAGCACGACACGCTGTACTGGAACAACGAGGATAGTTATCGGCGATCCTTCACCGGCAGCTACTGAACTACGCGTCTGCATCCATCATATACATAATGATATACAATAGACAGATCAATATTACTAGAATGTGGGATAGCGACTACATGCTGAGACACAGCAAGAAGAATCCTCCTCGCTCTGGGTTTGCAACAACATGAGTGAATCGCATGTCCGCTTGTTTTCGGTATTAAGAGGCATACAGCAGACGACACTCGCTCAAGGATGATTAGGGCCTCAGAGGGACTTGTCGTGGCTGGGGTTTAATACCACTTTTTGCTTGCATGGAGAAATCACTTCGTGCATACATTAAGCAAGAAGATGATAACCCCAGAGTTTGGTAATTGTTAATGTTGTCGTAAATTTGAGGTTGTCGAGAGTTGCGCGCCTGCATACATTATAGCAGACGACGAACGGTGCGACAAGCAGCGACGATACATCAAAGGGAAGAAAGGAAGGGAGGGGGGGGTGAGAGTTTATATCTAACCGCTTGTGGGTAGACTAAACCGATTTCAGTTAGTATAGGTTACAACCGAAGAATGGGCTTGGCGGGAGGCTGGGGGGTGTGATTGGTTGGTTGGTTGAGGTTGCCAGTGGGAGAGATGCTACATGCACTACGGAGTCGTACCTGTATGAGATGGAATCGTCATTGATAGTTGTAAAGTATAGTGCCTATTTACAGTTTAATATCACGGTTAGGTAGAAATATATGCATATATATGATTATAGCAGTCTCGACCCCTCCACGGCCCTCGCATACCGATCACATGTCGCCGAGAAGAACATGTTTCCTGCTACAGCGATGATCATTGCTCGCACGTGTTTCAGTTGCACCTCGTTCACATTCGTACTGCTACTCGTGAGCAGCCGAGTATACTCCTCATCCATCTGTCTCTCTAAATCCCGCAGCATAAATCGGATCATCATCTTCGCTGAGGAGTCAGAAACGCCCATGAGATCCTGCACGACTCGGACTGCATTGAGACCTGCATCTCCGCTGGCTACTTCCTTGGCGTAGGAGTACAAGTCGTTTGAAAGGAGCAAATGCTTCGCGCAGAGGGACTTCAAGTAGCTGACGCTTCGAAGATCTGTCGGCGAGGAAGATGAACAAGGAGTAGTGATAGAGAACTCCACGCAACGGAGAATAAGCGTCGCTCCGAAATCCTCTAATCCGTGGGCGATATACTCATCCAGCGAATTGAAACGTGTTGGACCCTGCTGGTGATTCCGGGACGTAGAGCCCCATGATAGGATATCTTCGACCAGAATAGCCCCATTTATGGGGTCTGCAGCGAGGATCTCCTCTGAGAGGATGTCGAATGCTTTGTGAGGTGTTGGGCTATTCCTTTCGATAGGTATCAAGACATCGTTATCGCTGACGTTCCCCGCATCCACTGCGTCGTCGTGCAAGAAGGTTAGAACGAAGGTTCTGGACAGAACTTTGATTCTGGCTAGATCGCAGAGTGGGATGAGGTTGATTGCATAGGATACCACTGCTTCTGTCACGGCGGTGAGGTATTTGTCTCCTTTCGGGTTGTTATTGGATGGAAAGAGGGTTTTTAAGAGATCTCTTGCCGCGTCCTCTGCTTCGCGCCAGTATTTGGATTGGAGAGCGCATGGGAGTGAGGTTGGCCAGGGAACTTTTAGGTCTTGTGGGTTTAGGGGTATAGAATGTTGGTACTCGGAAGTTTGCGTAAGGTTTGACGAGTGTAGAAATGAGAATGCTTGGAGTGTTGAACCAGACTGGTTTGCTGGTGTGGCTGGGTCAAATGCGTAAGAGATGGGACGCGGATAGTAAATTGGGGTGTAGTCGCCCAGTCGGAGCGTTTGGGTGAGTCTGCGACATTGTGGTGTGTTCAATGAGAGTATCCGTGGGAGGGAGACTGGTCTCAATAGCCGAGGATGGCAGAGGAATGCACGACTCGTGGACGATATGGACATGATTGATGCCTGTTGGTGTTCAGAGATGTTGCGTTGCAAGGGGGATCGGCGGGGGCACGCGTGGAGGCGTGAAACCGCGGGGCGCTCGCTATTCCTCACAACCCGGCAATGAACGGCACGTATCCGTATACATTAGAAAAGACTGTTTCGATTCATTTCAGGTTTCTATTCCTGAAGAGGGTCGACCCGACGTAAGAGTTGACGTGCGCCCGTTCAGATTTTTCCATTTATCAAAGTTTTCACATCGTCACTTACTCGGCGAAAAGAGGCTTTAAATGGGAACTAGAGAGAGAACCAGAGTACGAGATTTTACTATATCTTAACTTATATCATGGACAGTACAGTGATGGGTAAGAAATCGTTTAAAATAGCAAAAGTTGTGGGGTTCAATTGAGTGTCCCTGGATGTGCCGGGGATTGTCTCCACCAACTGCAGATCGCAGCGTATTCGTTTTCAATTTTCCATAAAGGATATCCATGACCAAGGTACCGTCGTCAAGCATCACAGTTGCCTGGAAATTCATTCGTAATTGCGTTCTATCAAATAATATTTAAGATCCTGCATTCGTCCGGATAATCCAGAATGAATCAACAAAGCCCTTACTATCGTGACAATGATGCTCCCAAAGCTCCTGTCACTCATCGCCCTCCCAGCATTGGCTGCGGCCAACTGCAAAACCGCCCCTGGTGATGCAGCTTGGCCTTTAACCGAGGAGTGGTCGGCTCTGAACCAATCTATTGACGGGTCCCTCATTCGAACTGCTCCTGCTGCCTCTTCTTGTTATGCAGGAAATCCACTGAATTCGCCATACAACTGCTCCTCGGTGAAGGATCACTGGTCCTACGCAGCCTACCATGCCGCATGGCCTGAAAGCAACGACTACTCCATCTACAACAACAATTCTTGCGTACCCCCAGGTGTCTCTGGGTACACCAAAGACAAGGGATGCAGTATAGGCGGAATGCCCCAATACATCGTCAATGCCACTACCGAAGAGCAAGTCGCAACGGCCATGTCATGGGCATCGCAGAGGAACATCCGCGTCGTCGTGAAGTCTACAGGCCACGATCTTAACGGTCGGTATGTATCTTACCATTTCTTTATTACCTCAACGATACCAAACCAATCTAACATATCCTCTGCTCAAGATCAACCGGCGCATACTCGCTCTCAATTTGGACGCACAACTTCAAACGCATCCACCACAACCCAACCTGGCATCTCCCCGGCACCAACAAAACCGCAGACGTGCTGATCTGCGGCGGTGGTAACAATTGGGGCACAGTATATACTACAGCTGTAACCCAATTTAACCGAACAGTAGTAGGCGGCGAAGACGCCACAGTAGGCCTAGGAGACCTGATCCAAAACGGCGGCCACGGCCTCCTATCCAGCCACTACGGCCTCGCCTCCGACAACGTCTACCAAGTCACAGTCGTCACACCCGAAGGCCACATCCTCACCGCGAACGACGCCCAAAACCAAGACCTCTTCTGGGCGGTCCGAGGCGCTGGAGGAGGCCAATTCGGTGTGGTGACCGAGTTCATCCTCCAAACGCATCCCATCCCAGACAACGTCGTAACCGGCGGCCTAACCTTCTACGCATCCAGCAAATCCAATGCCTCGGAACTAGCCTCCTGGACAGCCTTCGCCAAAACAGCAGCCCAGGTCCCCGACCTCATGGACTCCGGCATCACAGGAACCATCATGGCCGCGACCGGCGAATCAGCAAGCACATACACAGGCCTCGACGAAGTCCTCCCCGGCCCAGCAGTGATCATCAGCCTAATCGCCTACAACTCAACCGTCCAAGCCATGAACGCCACTCTCCACAACCTATCCACCCAAATCACTACTCACACTACCCAAATAAACACCACACTCACACCACCAACCTCGTACTCTTACTGGTCCTACATCAAACCCAACTTCCTCGCCAGCCAATCCGCCGGCGCATCCAGCCTCTTCACAAGCCGCCTCCTCGGCAATTACGAGCTCTCGTCCCTCCCACAGCCGGACCTCATCCACTACCTGCAGCAAATCTCCGCCTCCCAATCCGGAGATGGCACCCTCCTCATCTTCGGCCTCCAGGGCGGCCGCGGCACCGCTAACGTGCCTGAACAACGCCGCGGAAGCGTGCTTCCATCGTGGCGCAGCGCATACGCACATGTCATGGCGTATGGCGGCTCCGTGAACGCTACAGATGATCCTGCTGCGTCGTTGGCTGATGCGGCGGAGTGGTATGAGAGTGTGCTGGAGCCGGTGTGGAGGGATTGGGCGCCCAATATGGGCGCGTACATGAACGAGGGCAATCCGTTTAGTAGTACCTGGAAGAGGGACTTCTATGGGGATGGGTATGAGAAGTTAGCGGAGGTTAAGAGGAGGTATGATCCGAATGGGAGTCTTTGGGTGTATGCTGGGGTGGGGAGTGATTTGTGGGAGTTTGATCTGAGGAGTGGGCTGCTCTGTAGGGTGTAGATGGGAGATATTTTATGAGGGGGGTGTGGATTTACGTATGGGTCCTTGTTTCCAGAATCTGCCCGATGAGACTCCTTGTAAGATGTTCTATGACACTGGGTGTGTGACGCAGCATCTTGATGCTCATCATTTATATGAAGACCCACTTAAATGTAATTATTGCGAGGTGCTTCTGGTACATAAGATGGCTTTTCAACGCCATGCATCAGACATCCGCCGAGTCGGGAGTCATTGGCGCGAGGTTCACAACGCCCGATGAATCACTTCGCTAAGATATTATGTTCTTTTCATAGTCTATATTTAATATGTATTCTACTTTATTCTGTATTGTGTATTGCAATTGAGGGCTTCATTCATTAATCTCTTCAGTCATTCAGTCACTGGCGTACATCAAATGTCAAATCTCTTTTGATAGACGTCTCTTTTGCTGTTCGAGCAGCATCAGCTGCATTTGAAGATCTTGCAGTGCATGTTCGTCATGTGACAATTTCGGAGCAGTGAGTGACCGGCCAGGCTCATCCTTGATGCTCTCTGTCTTTGGTGAGCCAGCGGCACTCTGTTCATCGCTGACAGTCGAAGAGCGCGGACCCTGACAGTGGCGAGTGACACAATCGTAGAACTCCCGCCACGAGCGAACGGATGTATCGCAAATTAGACAGAAACGAGGATGAGGCTCTTCTTGTCGGGATTGGTATATTTCCTGTTTGCTTGCCCACCTTCCATGTTTCGTGGTATAATGATGCCGAACGTAGTCAAATCTACTGGCAATCGGGTTGCGTGCAATAGCATCAGGGCAATGAGGGTCAGTGCAATAAAAATGATACTGAACGGCGTGAGTATATCTTATATGTTGTCGGAGCTCTCTCTCTGTATACAAGCGATCTTTCTCAGGACACAGCCGGCAATACCACTTAGAGTGGAGGGAAGGCACAGTATGAGGCGAGGCGATTTCCGGCGACAGTGGTCGTCTTTGACTGTCACCATTTGTTGTAAAAATCCCGGTACTCTCCAAGCTAGGCTCCCTAAGTGGTTGCTTCTGCTGGTCTTGACCTCGAACTTCATGGCCATCTGAACATGTGGCGCTTGGGGTGTGGGCATAGGAACCTGAGTTTCGAGGTTCGTTGTTCTCACAATCACCCTGCTTCACAGCAGCTCTACCGGTAGCACTAAGGGCGTGTGGGTGCCTATGAGGAATTTTGCTCAAAAGGAGTTCGACTACTGTCTTGTGACCGTAGTAGGATGCCCAGTCGAGTGGGGTTCGACCTGTTTGATCGATTGAGGTTACTTCAACGCCTTTCTTCAATAGGAGCTTGACCACTCTCTCGTGGCCATTCTCTGCCGCCCACGATAAAGGAGTCCGTCCAGTCTCGTCTTTGGAGTCTGGATCAGCACAGTGTACTAGCAGGATCTGTACCACTGCCTCGCAGCCGTTGTAGGCCGCCCACGAAATAGGGGTTCGACCATCCACATCCTTGGAGTCTGGATCAACACCACCTTCCAGCAACAATTGCACAATTGTTGTATGACCTTTATATGCGGCCCATGATAGAGGAGTTCGATCATCTGCGTCTCTAGAATTTAGATCTGAACCAATCTCCACTAGGAGCTTCACCACTCCCACACAACCATTCGACGCGGCTAATGATAGTGGAGTACGGCCGAAGGTATCTCTCGAGCCTAGGCCAAGACCTTTCTCCACCAGAAGTTTGACCACTCGCTCATGGTCATTGCATGCTGCCCACGCTAGTGGAGTTCGACCATCATTATCTGCTGAATCTGAATTGATACTTCTCCCCAGCAGGTGCTGAACTACTCCCACGTGCCCATTAAAGGCTGCCCATGTCAATGGGCACGACCAAATGAGTCGATAACTTCAGACTGTTTCCCCTGCTGAATCATGTACAGCACCACATTCTCTAGCCCAAAGTATGATGCAAGATGTAGTCCTGTGAACAACTTGGGAACCTGTTGGCTATAATTCCAGTGAGTTGAAAACTCTTTGCGAGCGAAAAGGCCTTGCACACAGGCATTTAGCCTGGGTGTATCTTCAAGCAGGGCCACTATCAAGCTTATTTCCATTTCTTGTGCCCGAACATGATGACCCCAGTTTCTCGCTGCATAGGAGAAAAGGGGGTAAGCGTCTAATCGCGCTTCAAAATCCATGTCTGTGGAACAAGGGCCTGTCTTGAAGGGATCAAAAGAGAGGTATGTTACACAAGCTGTCGCAATGCCGTGATGTGCGTTTGAGAACCACCTGGTCCACGTTCGTTGGAAGAACTCTTGTGCTGTATAATGTACCAAACGAATGACATCACTTTCTTCGTCAACTGTGACCAATCCTGCACAGACAGAGATGATATCATCCAGGAACGGAATGTTGTCTCTGTCGAATTCTGTCTCCGCTTCCACGGCAAGTGCATGTCGAAGCTCTAATGTATTCAGCGGCCTCATTACACAGTTGATCCACGATAGAGCATCGTATGCAAGCTTCCGGGAATCTATGTCCTGCCCTTCAATTCGCTGCATCACATCTTCGTATGCATCATTGTATGCTTCAGACCCCTTTGAAAGGCTTTTCAGAGCTTCTCTTACTCTTTTGGTGGTTTTTTTTGATTTCACTGCGTCGAAGTGAAGCTGTGCTAGCAGAAACCTAGCTAAAATGTTAGATTGTTCAGTCGTACTCAAATAGGGGAAGTTACTGACATTCCATTGACAGCTTTCGTGATTTCAGTTTGAATTTCCTCACAGTGTGAGGCCAACAGCCTCGATTCACATTGCAATATCCTACTCCTTAAATATTTCTGAACATCTTGATCATGTGCGCGGATTTCCAGTGTCATGCATTTCTTGAATTTCTCAGTGATCTGCGGAATGAATCTTGAAGTGGCAAGGATATTTCCACCGCACGTTGCCTGGAAATTCAGAGTCTCCGTGATTAACCTCGTTCGACAGTCATTAGATGTCTGACATTCATCGAGCGCATCGATAATAATAAAGACTCTCGAGTACATAGCACCCACGGATCGGAGTGTCGTTGAAATTTCGTCGAATTCTGGTCGGGTCCGTCTATGTCTATGACGGTCATAGAGGCTGCGCACAATGTCTGGGAGGGAAGGCCGGCATTGGCTTAATTGCTTTAGGAGACTTGTTATTAAGTCTTCCGCGCTTTGCTCGTTTTGCCGGCGGAAGTCACAGTAGACATACGCAATTCCAACGGATTTGTCATTTAGATATCGGGCAGTAATGTCATCAATGACTGCTGCCGTCAGGATTGTTTTTCCTGCGCCGGGAATACCGGGACAGAATAACGTCTGCTTGTTTGAGCTTATCCATGTCTGGTATATTGTAGAGTCTAAGAACCACTGCGCAGTTCCTGACTGTCGTCTCTTCAAGAAGTCGCTGTGTTGAGGACCGTAGTCGATCGGTGTAAGCTATTCAAGGACTTCGAGCTCTTCTTTTCTATCGAATTTCGACTTCATTGTCTCAACGTTGGTCTCTGTTCTCGATACAGACTCCAAGACTATGGGGCCTATTAGAAAACAGCTTTGAACGTGACAAGTGGTCGTGGGATAACTAACCGTCGTCAAGCATGTCTTTCACTGGGCGCTCCCCATCAACATCACTTGACTGGACATACTCAAGAAGCTCCTTTGCATACGCCGCTGCAACAGCTGCAGCGTACTCTTGCCAAGCTTTAGTCTTTTGTGAGTCCGCATAATCGCAAATGCCCCGGATCACAACACATGGAAAGTTGTTCATCAACCCAGCTGCTTCCATTTCAACACACAACACATTCCCGCCGAGGCTCTTGTTTAGACTATCACGGAAATGGGCGTCCTTGATAACCTGGTTACCGGAAGCTATTAAACCGTAGTGCACATGTCCTTCTCCGTGTTGGCTTTCTCTGGCGCAATTGTCGGAATCGAACAAAGGATCCACCAGAGAATCACATCTGGTATACTTTGGCATCAATTTGGGCCATCTCTGCCCCATGTCATCCAAATACTGATATATTTTGGGTCCGCTCATCTCATGCATCGTTTCTAGCTTCGTCAATGCCGTCAGCAGTGCCGTCGGGGGGTTATTCAGTACGCCGGTTCTTCTGAAGCCACCCTCTGCTTCTGCCTTGCCCAGATCCCACTGGACCACCCCTGAACACTGATCAACGGGCGTGCCGACCACGACGTCCCCGAGTCTGACTTTTGGTGGAATGCCGCCGCCGATACCAACCAGAAGGCCAACCTTAATGGATGGAAAGGTGCTTACCATCCGAGTTGCAACCGCCGATGCTGAGTTCGTGCCGTACTGGCCTTTCGGTAAGCAGGCAATGACGATGTTGTGCCTCCCAATGCAGCCCAGGGTGTAAGTATTAGGGTCGCTTGGTGGCTTTGGCAGATGTGGATGAATTTTATCTAGCATTGCTGTCGCAGCCGTCTGCTCCTTTGGCAGCGCACATATCCACCCCACTGTGTAACTGTTGTGCTCTAGTTTTGTTGCACGAGGATTGTCGTCGACACTGGAGGTCAGTGCCTTGTTGGTAGCAAGTTTGTTGTCACCACTAAAGCCATCCTGCCTCGACGACATATTGGGGTCTCTCTGTGAGTTCGCCGAGACAAGGGACCACTCGTGCCTTGAAGCGTGTTCTGACCTGGACCCGGGGAGCTCATGCGGTATTCAGGTTGACATCGCCACGTTTCGATGCACAAAAATAGATAAACAGGATATACCGTATAGTGACGAGTAGCGAATTTTCCATTAGGAAAATGGTATGGACGGCGAGACCTGGAGTAAGATAAGGGGAAAGCGACCGCTTCTTGTTGCGGTGGGGTAGGGTGGCGCAGCTCAGCCGCACACGACTAACAAGGCTCCCACAGGTTTACTTTGGCATCATTGGAAATGAATGCCACTTCTTCAAATTATATCCAGCCGCCGCCAGTGATGCTGCAGGGAGTATATTGGGATATCCATCTCATGCTGACTTGGTGGTACTAAGTGCATGGAAACCTACAAACGGGATGCCTCCTCCAATACCAATTATCAACCCAATCCTTGGCAATTTTCTAGATGGATAAGATGGTTTGCAACTGTGCTCACTGAAACAGCCCCGTTCTGCTCCCCAGACGGGCAAAATTACTCCGCGCTCACAGGCCCATGAAAGCACCATTATGCGTGAGTTTGCCCAGGTATCGCAAGAAGTCTTCTCGAAGTACGAGACTAGAATATAGTGGACATCTTAGCTTTGGCATATTGTCTGCTTTGGTCCTAGTCTAAGTATATACTATCAATAAAAACTTGAATGCCAATAAAGGTTGATGTACAGTTCTACTACTTACCCCGCAAGCAGATGGAACTTTAGGTACAGAATACATAAGATTATGAGAATACGTAAGATTGTGTAGAAGGAAGTCAAGTATACTGAGTGGGGATTATCTAGTTGGTCCCGTCGTCTGCTTTCCCCACATTTTCTCAATAAGGTTTCCTCCACTAGCAGAACTGCGGCTTGAACGGTAGTAGCTGGGTATCCTACGTCTCCTCCTCTCTTTTGTCAGATCCCCCTTTTCCACATACTTTGCATGTGAGCCTTTTCCAAAATTCCAATGACTAACAACGAAACCAGGTTTGGGGTGCTCCAAGGTCAGGAATTCTCGCCTTCCTTAACTGTTTCCGGACGCCCGCCGGGGCGTCGTGCGTGTACTGAATATCAAAGGAAGAAGACCAGGTGCGACACCAAGTATCCAGAGTACTCTTTATGCTCTAAAATTAATGGGACTCGCATCTATAGGACGAGGCATGGGACCGGAAGTGATCCCAACCCGGACCCAAATGAGGGCGCTATTACTGTAGAAGCCACATCAACCCCTTATTTTCAGCTCAGCATATTACACAGTACATGTGGGACATCACACGCCCCAGATACAACTGTATACAGCTCCGATACCTTGTTATCCTATGAATCCGGCTCTGTGGTGGAAGAACTGGCACCTTGCGTTGACTTCTAGTTAAACCAGAATCTGAGGTATAGTATCGCCGTTGTTTGGGCTCCATACCGAGCGTGCTATGAAATCCCATGCTCACGTTCTAAGTTGATGTCCTATGGATATATTACATACACAGGTCCAAGAAACACGTGCTCAGTCTATGTAGGTATATTCTCATCTCCTTCAGAGCTTACTCTTCTGCGTGGTGACAAACTACCTAATACCAGTGATAAATTAATAGTAAAACCCTAGCTAATGCGGATTAAATAGCATGCTAGATAGTTTGATTCATTTTACTAACCAGAGTGGTTATACTTGACCGTTATACCTTCACCTAAATCTTAACCGTAACCTAACAGTCAGGTTAAGATATAGAAATCCTCTTAACCGTACAGTTAAGAGTAGGTTACAGTCAAGAGATTATGTATAATTAAAAGAATAATAACTATAAATTAAGTTGAAATTTTATACAGATCTATTACAGAAATTTTATATTACTACTAATATATCTTTAATTACTATATTATCAGAACAAGATATTGATTAACTTGATTAGTAACTAATAATTTTCTTTATTTTCTAGCCAGCAGTCAGTAGCTAGCAGTCTAGTAGATTCTATACTATTAAATTTATAGAAATAATATAGAAAATATGAATATATCCAACTTAGATTACTAGAGAGAAATATATAGATTATAGGTTATTATTGAAATTATTTTTGTATTATTCTGGTCAGTATTTAGGATAACAAAGTAATTATATAATTCAAGTCTTTATTTATATCTAGATATATATAGTATTACTTGCACTCCCCCAACCCAACTAATCCTCCGGCATCTCCGCCCCCGACATCAACCGCTGCGACTCCGCCGCATCCCGAACATGCAAATCAAAGCTCAGCTCCCCGACCAAGCTCTTCACGTTCCTAGAGCAGGCAAAACCAACCATTAGCGCACATCGCCCACAAATTCATAAGCAATCAGACAGGGGGAATCAACCACATACTCAAGCAAATCATCCAACGTAAAACTCACCACCGACCTAAGAACCTCTAGACAGACAAACGCCGAGAAGGCCGGATCCTCCACATGACGAATACTCAACAACTCCTCATCAATGCGCTGCAGCTCCCTCGCAAGGGGAAATGTGTCCCCCGTCTCAAGATACGGCGGTAGGGGCTGAGAATTCAGCACCGAAGCAGACAAGTGACAGAGCAGGGAGGTGATCTTGTGGGACTTGAAGCCGCTGGATTGAAGGGCTATCGATGCGAGGCGGGAGATCCATTTATTGTTATTATTATTGTTGGTATCATCGGTTATTGCGGACAAAGCGTCCATATTCTGAGTGGTATACGCCATCAAGGCCATGCTAGTGAGCATGCGCTGGATCTGGCCAATAATCTGATCGTATGTTGCACGGGGAAATTTCCCGCCGATAGGCGGCTCAAAGGAACTGAAGTGACTGTGCATGCGGAGGCTGTTTAGGAGGAGCATTTCTTCTTTGAAGACTTTGTGGCGGGAGCGTTGGAGGGTGGCGGATGCGGAGCGGACGTCGTCTTCGGTGGTGCCGAGTTCGCCGGTGAGCCAGAGCTCGATGGTCGTGTGCATGCAGCTGTAGAATTTGGCGAGAACGAAGAGTCCACGTCCGAGGGTTTTGCGGAGGGTTGATTTGGCGGTTATTGGGTAGGGGAAAATTACCCAGAAGAAGGAGATCGCGCAGCCGGCGGCCACGGCGGCGAGTTTGTACGGGCCGAAGAGGTAGATTGGATAGTAGGGTTGGCCGTTCGAGGTTGCGACTTCGATGCCGAGTTTGCGGACCTGGTTTGGTTTGGTTAGGGATGGGTTGTTTTGAAGGGAGTTGGAAATGGAGGGGGGTTGGTTACTTGTAGTTCGTAGCCTACGATGACGTTTAGGGTGACAATGGCGATCACAGAGGCTCCGAAGTATTGTGGGACTTTTACGTAGAAGTAGTACTGTTGGAGGGGGTTAGCGGGTGGTAGGTATATAGAGAGGACGTAGGCTTACCTCGAAGACGTTGGCAAGATAGAGGAATACTATGACACCTGGGGTCTTCTGATCCACAATATACCAGACAATCAGACTCAAGACTAACGAGACGGCCGTTGCTGCGATGCGCGCAATGAAGCCGAACATTGTCTGTCCGCTGGTCGGGTTCATCCCAATCACGATGACAATCATGGCCCAGATGCATCTCTGGTGAACGAAGAAGTCCTGCGTTTTGCGCAGGTATGCCAGGATACCAACAGAAAATGCAGCTGCGGCAACACGGAAGCCAAAAATACTTTGTTCGGAACTGATAAAGTGTGACAAGTAGCGAAGCGCCAGACTGCCTTTCTCGAACCAGTTGGCCGGGGGCAGATGCTCAGGATCCGGAAAGTTGTTCGCTTCAGTCTGCCCAAAGGCAGAAGACGGATTGACATGAGATGATTGTCTGCGCTCCGGAGCAGACTTGGTGTCGTGTTCGGTTTCAAGCGATAGCCATCTACGGATGGTGCTGAGTCTGGGGAGAATCAATCGGCCCCGCTTCATAGTGCCATCCTGGATTCGGTCATCCGCAAAACGGATCAAGTCGAGGGTCGCTGTCAGTAGGTTATCCTGCAGATGTCCCATGAAGAGGATGAGAAAGAACTCTTGCCTGACATCAGGGTCAGTCGCAATGGCTGCCAGGTCCTCCTGGGAGGTGGCATTATCCGGCTTCTCTGAGACGGTGAATGCCTCAAGGGATGCGAGATTTCTTGTTAGATCCCTGCGGCGCGAGAAGTAGTTTCTCATTTCTTGTTCAAATCGCTGTGCAAATTCTGGCTCTAGAGGTGTAAGGAGTTCTCCTGTCCCTTCTTCATCTGTTTTCCCTGAGTATTGTTTCTCGATTTTCTTGCGCTTAGAAAGCCCAAGTGCCAGTAAGACATATTGTAATCCAACTGTCACCAATCTGGAAGAGTCCACTAGGCGGTCTTGAAGCGTCTGGGCTACCTTCTGCATTTCTGTCTGCTTCAGAGAATCCTCTTCGGCATCGACCGACCGCAGACTGCTGTTGCGTGTTCCTTCGTTCCTGATAATCATGTCCAGCACCTCAGGCAGCATAGCCATTCCTGAAAGGGGCAACAAAATACTCCGTAGCAGCCCGCCAATCCTGCTCAGGTCGCCTGCTGATAGTTTGCCCCATGCGATCTCGTCTTTCGAGTAGAGAAGGTCCGATTGTAGCTTCCCGTGCAACCCGTTCAACTTGGTAATTGATGCTGTCAAGCGCTTCTGCTTCGCTTCCAGATCCGAGATAGGGCTGTTTTGCATGTCTCGCATACTCCGCGCCGTGCGCGTCCTCTTCAAAAGCCCTTGATTCCCGGTCCATACCTCTGATGTTCCCTTAACAAAATCGATCTGGGACTGTAGCACGTTATCAATTTGCGCGACGTAACCCCTGATATCATCGAAGACATGTCCTCGGCTGGTAATGGGTAGTATAAGTAGAGAGACACCAGTGGCAATCGCAAATCCCAGCATAAACCCTTTTAGCAGTCTAGAAACAAACGAAAGACCCTCGGATAGTGTGGTGAACATGCCACCGCGAGTAATTGTGACAGAGGAAAAGATTGAAAAGGCTACCATAGGATCCTGCAGCTCCTGCGGGCGCCAAGCACGGACAGTATTTGCAGCCCTGTATAGGTTTAGCAAAATTAGAAATGCCATCCAATTAGGGTTGGACATACCAAATCATGAATATTAGCCATATGGCGGATACGGCACAGGCATCGCTGCTGAAGCCATTCCGGACGGCCTCGCTAGCATCCGGAGAGGTGTTATGTTGTCTCGCCCGTACGGCACAAAAGATCGCTAAACAGCAGAGGGAAGCAGATACGCATGTTGACAAGAGATCGAAGAACATGATCCGCATAAACTTGGCTCGAGGCGTAAGTGCCTGAGACAGGACCGAAATAAGTGCTGATAGATATCCGATCGTGAGGGTGATGTCCGATATAGCACTACTCTGGTAACTGTTGGATATCAGCTACTTCATATCGAAAGAATGATATGCCATATGGCCTACATCGCAATCACAATTGTCGGTGGCAAAGCGCCCTTCAGCATAATAAGGAATGACCGAGTGTCCAAGTCGAGGCGCTGTCTCCATGTCAAGGGATTCAATATGCTGTTGAAAACAACTTTAGTCTCATTCCAACTACACAAATACTGCGACAGTTGCCTACCTCAGCAACTTGACCATTCTACCCCCGCCAGCGCTCCTTGAGGAAGCCATTGTGCATTGACTGCTGTGTCCGTACAGCTGAGCGTTACGGGAAGCAGGATGCTGCGTATGCTCGCATACGGGCTGAATAGAGAGAGGTTGTAGATTATGATGAAGAATTTTCTCCTCTTCTAGTCTCCTAAGCTCGCCGAAAGATCATCGATCGAGCCGGGCTGAGTGACGGCCGCATTCGGGTCGGGTTGCCGTGCCTGGATCTCGTGACGCGTGCCGAACCAAATGCCGATAGAAGAAGGTTTCTTCTGCACGGGGCGTCCGCAGCATTATCGGCTGGGGCAATCGGCCATCAGATAGTTTTCCACTGATGTCTAGAGTTGATATGACTAGTAGACTACTAGTAGGCGTGACTGCTTTGTGGGGTTCATAAGCTGGTCAATGTGGTTGCTTGGCAGTATCGGAAGATGCCAAAATACGTAGTAGTTGAATGTTGAGATCTAGTGTTTAGACACGCAGTAATCTTGCGGATGACATAAATATAATTTGCAAGCTTATCAGAATCTAGGTCCGGGCAGTAATATAAGGTCTCTAGCATCGGTTACTGGTCTTGGCCGTGAATCCCCGACGAGCCACTGGCAGTATAAAGTAGAAGCCAGAAAGGGATCCCACGATAATGTCAGCGGCTGAAACCTTTGCCGTGAAATCCCTCCGCATCTAAGCACGTGACCCAAACACACTGTGACTGTCGCCGCAGTCTTTCATGGACGATGAATGATGATCTCGCCATGAGAGGGCTCCTATTCTACGATAAAGCCAATTCTCGATGCATAGAGCAGGTGTTCGAGTGGTTGGCTGACACTTCTCCAGCGCGACATGATGACGAGTAGACGGACACATCATGCCTCTAAAGGTACCAGCATACGCTAGGACATCACCCCGCATATGTGCTCTGGTAGTGGTTACTATTCTTTGTGCTCCTACCCACTGGCCAAGACGGTCAGATGCAATGACATCCGGACATGCATCTTCCTAATCAGATGCTGTTGCGGGGTTACGAGGCGCGCTGGGCCGTCATGATCTCATCGTTTCCATATATACTTTGTTGAGGAACAATGAAGACCAAATATGCCTGGTTCCAGTTACATGTGCCAAGCCGGAAACGCAATTAGCGACAGTGATCTGAAACTACACTGATAGGATCGAATCTGTCCGAAAGGCACCGTCAACATGAACTCAATGCGTCGATGGCAGTTCCATCGCAACGGTCACGGCACAGCCATAAGTTTTGGCTCAGCCACACTGCTGCGGAGACGGATGGGGATGACGAGTCCATGGTCTAGATCGTGAGTCAGCGGATTGTAGGGAACAGCGCTGAGTGGCCAAGGTGGACGTGTGAGAGAGATACTGAAAGTACAGTGGAATACTGAACGAGGAGAAGACAGGTCAACATTCCGGAGAGATTCTGACGCTGACGAAGGCTCATTGACCTTTTGCAGGGAAAAGCTCATGTGACGCGTTACCCAAAGCTACTACGAACAAACCACAGAGACTCCCTGTAAAGTACGGGTATGGGATACCGGAATCCGGAGAAATGCTACCGAAACGAGGCTGACTCCTGACGTAGTGCCGACCAATCAAAAACGAGCCACTAGTGGACTTCGGGGCAGGCGCAGGAATTCAGCAGTTCTGATTGGAGAGTCTACCGGGGAGATTTGGGGAAGATTTCAATTTGTTGAGAAAGACAGGTGAACTTGGCAATCACTTGCAAGCCAGCCCGTTCTGGCCTCAATTCTCGGTCGGGATTTTTTTGGAATTCACAACTTTCAGTCATGATTGTGTAGGTTTGTGTTCTGTTCTATCCGTTGCGTAACGGGGGTCTCTTCTCCCCCTTACCTCTGCAAGCCACGGCACCTGAAATAGAGTCACAGAACCGAATAATCTTGTCAGTGCCGTTGACTCCTTTCACCCTAGTTTCGCTGGCTCCACTGTTGATGTCGTAGGTGTGCATCTCATGGACGGATTCTGGAAAAGGTGAGATGGGTTGAGATTTGCCCCTATGGATCCGCGGCCCAGAGGTGGAGAACTCCATCCATTAGGGCGGCCCAAAAAGACTAGTAGCTATCTAATTGATCATGCATTCACTTTTCTGCTTTTTTTTTTGCGGACTGACAAACGGAGAAGTACCCGCCGTGTGATCGCTGACATCTCCGAGTCTGAAATTGAATTGAAAAATAGCCGATGACACCATGGAGAATTCGGTTCTCCGAGCTGAGCCCGGTCGGAGATACCAACAGGGAGGAGATGACCTCAGCGGTACCTTGGAAGTAGCTAACTAATCATAGTAGGTAGATAGAAGTTGATGTGATAGGATGTTAGAGCAACTGTTGGCCATGATTGATAAGGTGCAAAGTGGAGGCGTGTCGAGGTCGACGGCAATTCACTGCGATTCACTGCTGCGAAACGGGGCGGACCATGGCTCCAGTTCAGAATAAGGTCAGGATCAGGATGATCATCCTGGTGTTCTTGGCAAGCATCATTGGTTCTGCTTCCATGCCACAGGGCGCCCCCGTCCCAGAAAGGTTGACTTCTCCCATTCCTTTATAATAGTCCGGTCGCGCAGGTTACTTCCTGGACCCTCTTCCTATCTATCTTATTCTCCTTCCTGAAGCTTGGCTTGCTTGCTTCCTGTGTTTGACACAGCTTCCTCTTACCACTTTATCGCACACGTCTTATCGAGGGCCCCTCTTGCCTTCTCTATCTGATCATTTCCGTTCCTGGTCCTGAAATACATGCGTGAGTGCCTCTCCCGACTCCCTCCCTATCGCCATCCCTTCCCTGGCCCATTAGAGGTCCTCCTCAAACGATTCTTCTTGACGTCTCATCGATGATCCCATCTATCTTGAGGCCCCTCATTAACATCTTATCTCCTTGCTATGCAGACCGGATTCACTCGTGGGCGAAAGCTCACGCGTCTACCCCGAATACTCAGTCCCAGGGTCAAAATCAGTCCAACACCCAGTCCTCTGAGGACGCTTCAGCTCAAGATGCTCAAGTGAAAGAAGGTATACGTGACCCGGCCAGCCCGGAGTCGGAAAAAGATGCCAATCAAACCCCTGAGCGCGGACTGTTCGTTCGGATGAAGGATGGAATTGTTCGCTTCACCGGCCACACCAAACGCGCCCTGTGCCACAGCTGGGTCAATGTGCTGCTTGTGTTCGTCCCTGTCGGCATTGCGGTCGAGGCCGCTGGACTCAATCCAGGCCTGATCTTTGCCATGAATGCGATAGCTATCATCCCCTTAGCCGGTCTGCTCAGCCACGCCACCGAGTGTGTCGCCAGTCGATTGGGTGACACCGTGGGTGCGCTCATCAACGTCACCTTCGGAAATGCAGTAGAGTTGATCATCTTGTATGTTTTCTGAATCCGTTCTTCTACCTCTGATTGTGTTGCTAACGTTTCGGTAGCATGTAAGTCGTTGTTCATAGGAACATGTGCATCATCAGATACTAAACACAGCGGATTCGTTCAGTATTGCTCTAGTCAAGGTGAGTAAACAGATTCTCCGACAGACTTGAGGACCGCCCTAATATTGTTTAGAATGAGATTCGGATCGTTCAAGCATCCCTGCTGGGCTCCATCTTAGCAAACCTACTGCTGATCCTGGGTATGGCCTTTCTGTTGGGAGGCCTGCGCTTTCAGGAACAGGTTAGCCAGCCAGCGATCTAGATCTGTACTTGTTCGATGAACTAATTTGTGCCAGATCTATAATAGCACTGTCACGCAGATGAGTGCATGTCTTCTCAGTTTGAGTGTCATGAGTTTGCTCTTGCCGGTATGTCTGCGTATCCCTTCAGTTTACCCTATACATGCTGACGTATCCAGACGGCGTTCCACGCTTCTTGGTCGGATTCGGGAGATGCAGATAAGTACACACTTAAAGTTAGCCGTGGAACAAGTGTTGTAAGTAGTAGCTACTGCCAATCAGGTCATGCCTTTCTAACTCTTCGATCAGGTCTTGCTCCTGGTGTACGTCTTGTACATCATCTTCCAGCTCAAATCCCACGCCTATCTTTACGCCAGTATCCCACAACAAATCATTGATGAAGAATCTCACCCGGGTGTTCTGGCTGAATTCATGAATAGTTCGTCAGACTCGAGCAGCTCATCGGATGAGTCTGTCGATACGACAACCTCCTGGTCTACCGCCAAGCGTATAAAGAGGGCCATGAAACATAGGCGGCATCGCAAATCGAGTACCAGCTCTCACGGTACGGTCTCTCCACAGTCATTTCGTAAAAAGTCCTCGGCCGATATGCCTCCTGCAGCCGTTATAGATGAGCATGCCGGTTCTGCGGGTGACCTGAGTGTTACTCAAGCCGACGGGTCCGGCTCCTTCGTCATTGATTTTGGAGATGACAGCCGATACGATGCCGATCATGAACCCCAGACGCGGGATTTCGGACAAGAACAGGACAAAGCCTCCAAGGAGGATCGAAAGACGAAGAGGCGTGAGCGGCGAAAGCAACGACGCGCCGAAAAGGACAAGGCCGTCGCATCCGTGACTGGCACTACTGTAACCGGCCGCCCGTCCATGAAGACACACAAGACGGAGCCTGCCTTGGATCATCCTCAACCTACGCTGGATGTTGGAGAAGCGACTGAACCTGCCAAAAGGCGATCGCCCTTCCGTCCAACTATTCCATCTCTGTTGAGCAACACTGTTTTTTCGAGCAACCTGGCCGCGCCCAACTCAACGGTGCCTGCCAGTCCCTCGAATCCTTATGGTCTTCGACGAACGCATTCTCTGCCGTCTTTCACCAACCGCCCTCCACCTCCAGGAAATGCCGTTCAGTTTGCCCGGGGTGCTTCTCGCATGCCGACGGCCGTGACCAACAACCCAACTGAAGCGGCCCCCGAGCAGCCAGAACCTGAAATGTCTCGCACCGCAGCGGTGGTGATGCTTCTGGTGTCGACCGGCCTTGTAGCAGTGTGTGCGGAGTTTCTCGTCGACGCTATCCCCACCATGATCGAGAGCTCGTCCGTCAGTGAAGCATTCATCGGTCTTATTATCCTCCCGATTGTTGGCAACGCCGCCGAGCACGTGACCGCAGTCAGCGTGGCCACCAAGAACAAGATGGACCTGGCCATCGGTGTCTCGGTAGGAAGTAGTATTCAAATTGGTATGTTTTTATTCTTCTGTTGTTTGGGAGTGGAGGCTCATTCGTCACAGCTATCTTTGTTACGCCTTTGGTGGTCATCCTGGGTTGGTGCATGGACAAGGACATGTCCCTGTACTTCACGCTATTTGAGACCATCTGTCTATTTGTCACGGCATTTGTTGTCAACTTCCTGGTTTTGGATGGCCGAAGCAACTACCTGGAAGGCTCCTTGCTCATTGCAGCCTATGTAATCATAGGGTAAGTTCGTTTTCTGTCCAGGTCGCGTTTGTTCGGCAGCTAACGAGCTTCAAGTGTTGCTGCATTTTATTATCCTGGCAGTGGACAGTCCAGTGATCTTGGCACTGCTGGAGGATAAGTGGTTGGCAGGGGTTCATTGAGACCAATGTCACGGCGCCGGGTATATTAACACCCGACTGCACAGTGGTGGTGGAGTCGAGGAGGGGATAATGAGCTACGGGGTGTGGGTTCGGGGACCTGGAAGAAGACGGATGATTGATGTTGCTGGTGGGAAAGGACGATGGTTACATTAAACGAGATTGCCAATAGTGCTACCTGGCTTAGTGTACACAATTTCAGAATGCGAACTACCACTTCTCGGACATAATGTTTTCATGAATTGCGGGATTTTGTGCGGCGACAGTAGAACCCTATGATACCCTGTAAATCCCGCTCCGATGCACGATATCTAACACATCGCCTGCCAAGCCAAATCGATTCCCTGGCGCAGGATTTAGCTGTAGGCAACGAGGCACTGAGTCTCTCTTCTCACGCAGTCCATACAGCAAGTACACTCTTGGCGCAGCGTTGTCAAGACAGGTCCGACTGCGATGACTGCATCAGGAATGCCCAGCGACAGATGTGGCTGAGCCTGTCATTATTACCGCGTACGGAGTACGAAGTACTACTACGACAGTGGACTGTACAGCCACTCGGTAAGACACACGTGGCTGCTTCAGTCAGGGGCTATCGGAGGGGCGGGTCTTGGCGTAATCAATTGACGTTCCAGATACAGCGGCTAGCTTGCTGTTTCGCCGTTGTTGCATTTCGCTTAGGGGATGGCCTCGCTTGGAGGCAATTTTCCCTTCTTTTGCAGGATGTTGTCATCTACCATTGGGAAGCGTGTTTAGTGTGGCTATGCTCATCCAGAGCGTTGACCTAGTTGAATCTCCCGCCTTCTGGAACCCTACCCAACGGGGGAGGTTCTTAACCGGCTTGGACGATGATGATACGGGACTGATACGCAGTGGGGCTAGTGCTGTGGCTGATAGGAGAGTATGTAATCCGATTGGCTGGGAGGACCAGTTCCACAGCACCAGCCCTGTGTGGCGCCAAGCAACCGAAAAGGGGAGAGTCGGAGGGACAAGTCAGACGGAGATTATTCTTAGCATTGATTTGGTTGGTTTCATGCGTGAGTGACTGCATGGCTAAGAGGGAACTATTAGCTAAACTGCTAGGCATCAATGCCCCTCCATCTGACGCATCTTGCTGTCTCTCTGCAGCTAGTTAGTCACTGCCATTGTACATTCCTCACCATGCCTTCTCCAGGGTAAACCCGTCCAGCCACTGTGTTCAAGTCCATCTATTGTTTGTGAATAGAAATGCGTTTCAATCTAGACCTCCGGTTGATCCCGGGATCCACCACCCTTCAGGGGCCCATGATGCCGTCCATTGTTTACGTCTCTGCCTAATCCGTTCTGCATCTCCAGACTGCCAGATCTACAGCCTCCCAGTCATCACTCATCCACCAGACTATTGACGCTTCCCCATCCCGACTAATAACCCAGTGGGGAACCGTCTCCTTACTCTTAGCGCCTGTTTGGGTCCCGATGGGCTGAGTGCGAATCCCTGGGAGCCGTTAATCCCGGCCTAACTGGACTGACTTACGCGCCAGTGACAGGGTGAAGTCGAAGAGGGGCCACCCCCATTGATGCATCCGTGTCCAGAGTCCCAACTTCATCCCCCCCTCCACCTGACAGGGTCTCCGGGAGCCGCTTTAGATATTTAAGGGTCTTTCATCCTTCTCTTCTTCTCTTCTTCTTCTCTCTTTATCTTTCTATCTCCCTCCCTCAACTTTCTCCTCATCCTTCCACAACCACTATGTCTTACTACCCCCCACCACAGGAACCCTACTACGGCGGACGCCCTCCGTACGAGCGTCCGCCATACGACCGTCCTCCCTACGAGGGTGGTCCTCCCCCGGAGCGTCCCCCTTATGACCGTCCTCCCTACGAGGGTTCTTACGAGCGTCCTCCCTATGATCGCCCCCCTCCAGAGAGATACAACTCCGGCCCTCCTCCACCGGAGCGCCCTCCCTACGACCGTCCCCCATACGGTGATCGGTCTCCCTACGAAGGCGGCGAGCGCGGCTTCGACTCTCCTGCACCTCGTCCTCCCTACACCAGCCCTCCTCCTTCCGCTCGTCCTCCCCCCGTCCCTCCCCCTCCTCTCCCCATGGACTGGGCCCAGGAGTGGGAGCCCAGCGTCCGCCGCGCCTACTACGTCCACATTCCCTCCGGCCGCACAGAATGGGAGCTTCCCGCTGACATGTCCCGTGACATGCCTCCCCCTGGCCCTCCCCCGGCCGGTGGACCGGGCTACTACGGAAGCCCCCCTCCGCCGCAGGAGGGCGGGTACTACCCCGACCCCCAGGCCCAGCAGATCTCCGAGGAGGAGCAGAAGAAGAAGGACCGTAAGAACATGCTTCTCGGTGGCGCAGCTGGTGTGGCTATCGGTGCTCTCGGTGCTGCATTCGTCTCACACGAGATTCGTACGTTTCCCCCCTCTCCCCTTCCCTTCCAAGGCCACATTCATGGTGACGGTATAAACTGCATACTAACAAGAACAATAGACGAGCACGAAGAAAAGGAAGAAGAGGAGGAGCGTGAAGAACAGCAGTCGTACGACTATGACCGGCCGCCTGTCGTGTACGAGCGCGAAACCACTATCATCGAGCGTGGAGAGGAGCCTGCCTATGAGAATTACGACGAGGATGGATGGTAGATGCGGTATACCTATTCCTACTTGTTAATAACCAAATTCTATTCGCATAAGCTTTCGGGATTGTTTAGCTGTATTTATTATACTTTTTAACTGGATACCTACCTTCTATCGAGGAATAGATTTGATACTCGGAATGTCTATTGGAGATGTCTTGTCTTAATATGATTCTCAGGTGTATGTCGCCTTGGCGATAAGGCACTCACTCCACTGGTTCAATACCATGCTTCTTTCCTATCAATAATAAGTAATACTCTTTCTGACATCGATACCACAACGCATTAATGACATAAAGCCAGTATTATACCCCTTGGTATTGGGAAGGGTCTGTCTAGTAGTAAATTAAGACACAAAAACAAATATCTTCATTGGTACTATATCAAAGAACAGTGCGATAACCACCCAGTGAGAGCTGCTCACCTTATTCTCCACGAGGGTGAGCAGTTGTACTTAGTAGTACCAGTACTTACTAGTATGATTTATTATTACCTTGAACCTGAAGAATACGGGAAAGAATTAGGTGGTAATGAAGTTTCTGTGTGAAAGTTATAGGACTTCTTCATAGTGTTATTCTGCATTGTAAGCGAGATTTCTGCGATATAATAAGGTTTCCATCGTAGGGTCATCCTACCGGTCGTACCATCTACTGGCGACCATGGCATCAAGATGGATAGTAAAGATACTAAAAGCTTTTCAGTGTTGGTGTGATTGTTCGATAGATATAGATGCTTCAATTCACACTCTCATATATACACAGCATTTCATCCGCTCACAGCGATACTATAACTACTACAGGAGCATAGTAGAACATACTATAAAATGCCTCAAAGTACTGGGAAGCACTTATCAACACTACTTCCAACAAACAATCTCCCCATGCAACAAGCCAAACCACCCCTGTTCACACTCCATAAACTCCTCCCACCCCTTAACAATTCCATCCAACTGCTCCCTACTCGCAAACCCACCCTCAACCGCCTGCGCCGCAAACCCCGAATTGGCCGCCCTTCCTGCCATCGACCCACCCCAATACCTCCGTTCCTCAGGACTACTAAAGCACCACGACCCCGCCGTCTTCTTGATCCTTTCCTGCGGAAACCCCGCCTCTTCCGCCCACACATGGATCCTCGACCCCGGGTGTGGGTTCCCACCCTTCTCCCGAGCCATTTTAGTAGCAATGTCCAGCCAGAGCTCGATCCCCTTGTTCTCGGGATACCATGTCATGGCGCTGGATTCGCGGGCGGCAACGATCCCGCCGTCAGGTTTAGCGACGCGGCGCATTTCGCGCAGGGCGAGGACGGGATCCGCGATGTGTTGGAGGACTTGGTGCACGTGGACTAGGTCAAAGGTGTTGTCGGGGAAGGGGAGGGAGTGGATGTCGGCTACTTGGAAGGTGATGTTGGTGATGCCTTGGGATGAGGCTAGAGTGCGCGCTTGGTCTAATGGGTCCGAGACGTATTCTACCCCTGTTACGTGGCCTTCCGGGACGTGTCGCGCGAAGTCGACGGTGATGCTGCCGGGGCCGCAGCCGATGTCGAGGATGGTCATGTTGGGTTTGAGGTAGGGGAGCACGTAGGGGACCGAATTGGAGATGGTGCGCCACCCGTGGGTTTGGAGGACTGCCTGGGCATGGTCGGTTGTGTAGGTTGACATTGTTGGTAGTAATTTGGTTGTTGGGTTTATCTTGAGGCGTTGAAGAATGTGTAGCTGTTTCTCGTGTCAATTGTGAGTTAAAGATGAGGTCAGTTGCTGGTGCCATGGGGGAATTTATATGGTGAGTCCTACCATGGATTGCACCTCGGATCTCTCTGTCACCCCACTATCAAAACCCCACCACATCGGAATTCCGATCCTCTTTCAACTTCCCCAAAACTCTACTGACTATGAGATCCTCCCAGTCCAAGCGGAGGCAGCAGCCTCCTCCACGCAAGAAGGCCTGCCAAAGCTGCACCAAATCAAAAGTCCGATGTGACTTGGACAGGCCAGCTTGCTCTCGTTGCCGGTCGCTTGGTCGGACCTGCGAATACCTGACGCATCCTCCGGTTACCAGTCCTCCGAGCGAGCCCAACTACACATCACCCACCGACACTACCGACAGAGAGCCAGTGTTGCCGATATACAGCACGCCACAGATAGCTCCGATCTCAGAGTTGCCGATACCCCTGCCATACACTTTCAGCAGTCCGGCTTGGACCCCTCCGCATCCGCCCCGCGGGCTAGTAGCCAACAGTGTGCGTGGTGAGAGTAATGAACTCGACTTCACGGGGATTGAGCTAGTTCCGAGTGTGAATGCAGAAAGTATCAGGGATCGATGGCTGCGACCGTACATTTTGCCTCCACTGGGTCGTGATGAGGTCCCGAAGGCCTATCATCCGTTCACTTTGCAGTACATCTCGAGGATTTTGAGTACATATCCCCGGTTTATGCTGAAGGATGGCGATGTGCCACCGATAATTCATCGAACGCAGATTGTTGGGCGCAGAATGCCCCGTGCTTTGGCGAATTGTTACAGTCTGGTGCGGATGTGGGAGCAAGCTGCGGAGGGAAGTGAAACCTTGGTGGTAGAAACTGTAGAGAAAGAGATGGATCGACTAGCCAGCGAGGTATGACTGACCATTGTATATTATTGCTGCAAACGAGGCAGCAGCTGACATGGAACAGGAACCGCCTAGTCTAGGCGACTTCGATCTTCTTGCTATTTTCCAGGCATACCTGATCTACTCTGTAATGTTATACTTCTCGCCTATAGCGGGAGCCAATGCCGTCAACGACAAAATCATGATAACTCTCATGGAATTGGCGTTCCGTACTGCTCGAAATGGGCTCTTCTGCACCGCCGAGATGTCTCATACCAGACCCAGCTGGGAGTCGTGGATCGTGGCGGCCGCCAAGCGGCGATCGCTCTTTACGATGTACCTGTTCTGCAGCGTTTACAATGCCGATCGACTTTTACCAAATTTTATTGCAGACGAGATGACTGGTGTTTTCGCCCCTGAAGCCAAAGCATTGTGGGAAGCCACTTCTCGTGAGACATGGGCGAAAGAGTACGATCGGCATCTTCTTGATTGGGAAGACGGGATGCTTGAGATCTCGGAGTTGTGGAGATCTGCGGAGACAGGAACACCGCGACGGAGAGAACGGATCGAGCGGTGGCTAAGGACAGTGGACGAATTTGGGATGACAATGTTTGGGGTTACTGCTCATGTGCATGGATGCTGATTTACTTGGACAATTCCATTTGTACGCCACCTTGGGGTTCTGAATCGAAATTCTGAGCACAGGGCGGGAATTACACCAGAATGGCTCGTCTAAGTTACAGTGGAATTTTATTTGGTGCACGTTAGCAGGCTTTCTTACGTGGGAGAGGCTGTTTGGTCTGGTTAGCTAGAAAAAATCTTATTATTAGTAGAGATTTGGGAGATTGGAGAGGATCGGAATACCGACATAGTGGGGTGAAGAGATCCGAGGTATAATCGAAGTACACCGCCTTCACACGTCATGTTCAATTCGTTCTAAATTTCTGGGAGAATAGGATCAAAGGGGTTCTAGAGGCAAAGCCAACAGCATCGAAGTGAGTTGAATTGTTGTTCTCGCTAAGTATTTAGTCATATAGTAGCAAACGTAAGATACGATCAAGCGCAGGCGCTGCGTGCGGCAGAAGACCTCGGCAATGACAGCTTCAAGTTTATATTTGAGCACATATAGTAGATTAATGAGCATTAAGAGAAGAACAGGGAATTACAGAAGGCAAGGCTTGAGGCACAAGGTGAGCTAACCAGACAAGTCCAGATCATGAGAGGCAGTATGCTAAGAGTGATATGGTTGAAAATTGTGCGAGTACTACGGTATAGAGATGGCGATCCATTCTTGCTTTCTCACTATCGTTGACTGTTACTAGTAGTACCGGATTGCACCCCTGTCTGGACGGACTGACTAGTACTACTTGTGGCAAACCTTACAGACTATACTATGTTATTCTTGCCAATAGCATCCTTAGGTTGACCGATCGTCAGCAGTGCTGACATTTGCTTAATTTATCTTGAACAATTGAAACATTGCATGACCTTATAGCTGTTGACCATTTTCTGCTCTAATTGGCTTTTGAAGTACTAATGTCAGCATTGCATCTGGAAATTGAGTCTAATAGTAGCAGTTCAAGTGATAAATTAAATGTAATTACATGCTGTAGCCATGTAAAGTCAATTTGAAAAAGCTTTCTGTAGTATCTTCATATTATAAAAAGTAGGTAGAATCACTCATGGTGTATATCATGCTACGTAATAATACATGATATATAAGTAACATTCTCAAAAGCCCGGTGGTATCATGTCGTAAACTCCGTATTCCATATATTATATTGTACTAGTAGATCGTTAGTACCAATAGCCCCATAACTGTTGGAATATACATACCAAAGCGTCTGCTTCCAAATACGCAGAATCTAATGATCATGCGACGACGGCTTCTGGAGACGAGGATAGTAGAACAGGAAGAATACCACGACAGCTAGCAAGACCACGAGCGTCGGAAGAAACATAAACAGAAAGAGAAACAGACTCAGGCCTAGAGCGGCGCTATGTCCAGGAAAGAAGCGGCGAGCCATGAGATCAACAGTCGAAGCAAGCATCGATTCCATGGGAAGGAAAAGGGTTATGATCCACGCTAGTGGTCGAAGATCCGTCTAGTGAGGACTAGCGAACAAAGAAACAGGACGATCAGGGTCTTTAAATGTGATATTTATATCGCCGGTTTAAATGAAGTGGCAGACAAATCTTGCCGTGCTAGATAGAGGCTGGTTCCTCGGTCGGAGCTCACGGGATGATGAGTGAAGCTGCAGTGAAGCTGCCTGGAGTGGAGCGCGCGAGCAGTGGGCAGCGCCGTTATCTCTGACTTTATTATTGCGGGGACCTAGGCAGACCACGCGAGTCGGTTTTGCGGCGGTAGTCTAGATGATTTGACTCGTTACTGCCGGACAGAGACTGGGGGTCTGGGAGGTCGACAGGGGAGATTCGAGCCATTTGAAGTCCTGCCAATAGCTCGGTGCCTGGTCCATCGAGGTTGCTTTTGGCGTCTGGAAAAGGCAAATTTGAGGTACCAGCCCGGTAAGTTACATGGGTAGCTGCTGGTTGGTAACGCTGTTCATTACCAGCCAAAACTGGATGCCTGCAGGGATTTGCTTCATTATTGGGCGCAGTGGAGAGCCATCATTGGTGGATGTCTTAGCGCCCCGCTGAGGACCCACTACGATCATTCCGCTTTCAGCCGAGTCGCTGCTAAAAATGAATGGGCATTCGAGGGCCAATCATTACCGGGGTGACGCAAGAAGCAAGGATTGTCTGGGTCAGGCAGCAGTATTTCATGTACGGCGCGCAGGTTGCTTTGAATACTTACAACCGCATGCTTATGAGCTTGGGAGGAGACTAGATTACATCTGGTAAGTAATATGCGAGGGAATGATCTCGCCACGATTGATTTAAAGTATTTCAATAAGAATTGCAGTTTAATTAAAGCTCCTCTATCTCCCCCTGTTTCGGGTGCCGGGGAGTTGGTTAGATTCCCGCACTAAACCACGGATATAACTTCAGTATTACTGGTATCAACATGTTGATGATTTCAAAGACAACCGGACGGTGTAACAGCTGGATTGCCGATACGGCTAGAGCCACCGCAGCGAACCAATGGTCGTGTCGCCCTGTAGGGCTGAGGCGGACTTGGCACGGCCCTCGGGTAAATCAAAGGCAAGCTGGCCAGTCGAAGGGATGGACCATCGTGAATTTCGTTGTATCATGAGTACGCTGAACACTGATATCATCCCGCCTGGATGGTCACATAACTACTAGTAATTAATATCCATTATTAATCAGAATGCCACTGTGGAAATCTCACGCTACGCCGTAAAAGAGAATAGTTCTTCCCATCGCAATCAATCAGGCGAGCGCATCATCCGTTTATCCCTTGCAATCCTTCTCTTCTCCTTCCTTTTTCCCTTCCCCTTCCCTTCAGTTCCCCATCGGCTTTTCCCCCCTCCCTTCCCCATCCCACCGAGCTCGGATGCATCCGTGAGTCCCCGCGGAGATGAGGCTATCTCGTTCGTTATCAATCGCTCAAGTCTGATCTGGTATTCTTTGCTTTTTCTTTTCCCTTTTCACCCCCTTCGACGAACCTTCCTGTCCTTCCTTTCGTCAGTTGATCCAGGATGGGTCTCTTTGCTGGACACGGAGCCCTCGACCAGGCCGAACTGGATAATTTCGGCGTCGATTGGGTCATCCACTACTCGTTCGAGGATGTCGGTAAGTAATCATCCTTCCCGATTCCATCCGGCTGAACCCGATCTCACACCATCCTCTTCCCTCCAGAGCTCTCCCAGGCGATTCAAGAGTTTCGTACTTTAATCCACGACCTTCAAGAAGCGCATCTCCAGGTTCAAGTCCGTCATGGCTATGGCGCCTCCCTACTCGTCTGCATTCGTGTTCCACCTGATCTGTTAGGCAACCTGGTACACAAATCTCGGTACGGCTGATTGGTAACAACAAATGGCGCATGGTCGGGAAAGCTAACGGCGTGTAGTGTCAAGGACTGGCTCCATGGAATCATCCACGAATTCCCTGAGGGCGGAGACGAGGGCGAAACTGACGCCGACACTCCTGCGGAGGCCCTCAGATCTGTTTACCATGCGGTGACATGGCAAAAGCATCTTGGAGGCGCTGGAATTACCCCCAAGGTGGGCCAATGGAAGAATATTACGGCGGCTATTCCTCTGCATGACCGCTCCGCCAACGCGGAGCTGCTCCGAAAATGGAGTCGGACTATTTTCTTGACGGCCGAGGATCTTGACGCCATTCGCGCATTGTATGGCGAGAAGGTGCGTGTATCTCGGAGCTTGTTCTGATTTTTCCGAGCATTGTTTGATTTTAACATTCCCAGGTTGCTTTCTACTTTGCCTTCATCCATTGCTATTCCTGTTTCTTGATCTTTCCGGCCGTCTGGGGCGTCTTCTCATGGTTTTACCTTGGCCCCTATTCGATTACGTGTGCGGTGGTGACTTGCATATGGGGGATCGTGTTTATCGAGTACTGGAAAACCCGTGAGCTCGACCTGAGCTTGCGCTGGAACGTCAAGGACGTAGGATTCCTAAAGGTGAACCGACCAGAATGGGTTTGGGACCGAGAATTCCAAAACCCGCACACCGGCGAGACCATCCGCGTGTTTTCGGCTCATAGGCAGTTTGCTCGCCAACTCCTGATGATTCCCTTTGCGACCGTTGCGAGCTTGGCATTGGGGAGCCTGATCATCCTATCATTTGCTCTGGAAATCTTGGTCTCGGAAGTATACAATGGCCCAATGAAGGCTTACCTGGAGTTTCTGCCGACCGTTCTGTTTTCGCTCTCCTTGCCCTCCATCACCAATATCCTGACGGAGTTTGCGAAGCGCTTGACCGACTACGAGAACTACCGCACGCAGGATCAATACGACCTGGCACAGACGGCCAAGACATTTGTGATGCACTTTATTACGGCCTTTTTGCCCACGCTACTGACCGCATTTGTGTACGTCCCGTTTGGAAGCAGGATTGCGCCCTATCTTGACACTCTGCGCTCTTACGGGCTCCTTTCTGCTAATCTTGCCCGCGAAATCCACATCGACACTTCCCGACTGCAACAGGAAGTGATCTATCTATCTGCGACCGCTCAGATCCTGAACTTCGGCGAGGAAATTGTGCTTCCCTATGTCAAGCAAACCTTGATGCACAAGTGGCGCGACTGGCGCGAAGGTCGGGACTCTTCGCGTCCTCGCGGCTACTCTCAGAGAACGGACCAACTCCTAGTGGACGCTCCGGAAGAAGCTGGTTTCCTTTCTCGTGTCCGTGACGAAATCGACGCGGACGAATACGACGTTCATGAAGATATTCTCGAGATGTGCGTGCAGTTCGGCTCTCTCGCTCTCTTTGGGGTTGCATGGCCTTTGGTGTCACTGGGCTTCCTGGCCAACAACTGGCTGGAACTACGGGGCGACTTCTTCAAATTGAGCTTGGAGTGCCAAAGACCTGCCCCCATCCGCGCCGACTCGATCGGACCGTCTCTCTTGGGTCTAGAAGTTCTCAGCTGGCTCGGTACCTTGTCCACAGCTGCCATCGTGTACCTCTACCGCGCTGGACTCCAGGAAGTTAATATGTCGTCCCTCCTTCTCACCCTTCTCCTTGCCGAATGGGCCTATGTTGGCGTTCGCTTCATCGTGCGAAGCGGACTCGAAAGAATCAGCTTCATCTCCCTCCGTCGCGAGGAGTCGAAGCGATACGCCATGCGCAAACGCTTTTTGGAAGCCACGTCGGGCCGGGTGTCCCCTCGGGCTAAACCGCGGGTTCGGTTCCAGGACCGGGTCAGCGTTTTCTCCTCGTCCACTGATGTCCCTGGTACTAAGGAAGACTTCCTGCATCCAGGGCATCACCATGAAATGGGCCGCGGAGGACGGTTCTGGTCGTGGGCTCCCAATGAGACAGCGGACGCAGGCGTTCGGCTGATCAAGGCCCTGAACACTAACATGGATGGTTCGAAGACCGGGCCTGAAAAGGGCGCCAAGGGCGCTTGATCTGCTCAACACACCAGTCACTCATTACTATAGATTTGTCAATCATTCATTTGATGTTTTCTGATTCAGAACTGTCGCAGGTAGATGGTTAGATGAGCCTGCGGGACGGAAAATGTGGTTTATTCGTGATGGACCACTAGCTGTCTTAGAAAATTGTTTCCTTTTCTGTTTTTATTCTCATATTTGTTTCCTTGGTTTCTTCACTTTTGGTTCTGTATGTATACATTAGACTATTAATAATTTGATGATGATTCGGAAATCCTCTACATGTACATTGGCGTAGGCACATTTTAATTCATGCTATACAGGAATTATCCGTGTCATGATTAAATCTTATTAGTACATCAGAAACGAACTAGCTCACCACCTTACTGGTAACATATAGTTTTCTCAGTCTCACAACTGAACACATTCTGTTCGGTCCTATTTAACATGTTTCCTTTCACAGACTATTGTCCACGGACGCACAACTCAATAAGTCACCGCGCAGCATGACGCAACTCCCTAGCAATCATATCAACAACACCATCAAACATCGTTGAATCTGCAAGGCCTTTTTGCCATGTAATAGTTACAACTAAACAGCCATCTCCGCCTGTGATCGAAGACACGGCCAGCGGTGCACTCACACCATCAAATGCCTGAGCGAACATCATCCGTCTAATCTGCGGCCGCGAACCTCTTTCCTGGCCGGCTTTCAAAACCCCCAAATTCGAAGCTTTAAAGCTCCCATCTCGGTCCTTCCCTATCTTACCCCGTATAAAGCCATGACTATCCACGTATCTGAGCAATCCCACACTCGCATCGTTGCCCTTGCGACTGAGCACCTCTTTGATTGTTGCGCAGGATTGCCGTGCAACTTCCCACAGAAAGCTGCCAGGAGGATGCTGGTCCATCTCCTCCCGGAAGAAAGTCTCCTTGAAGTTCATGACCCAAACACCCATTGATTGATCTGTAACACCCCCTTCTTCCTTCAGCCACTGGCGAGTCGACATCGCGCCAAAACCTTGCAATCTGGTGTACTCTTCTGGCAGATGCGCAAATAGGCTGTGTGCAACGGCTGTGTGTAGAGCCGAGGTAATAGTCGCATGATTTTGACGACATTTCTTTCTCAGTGTTGTGGATATTGTTTCTGGGATAACAATTTGGCGTATTTCAATGTCAACTGGTGAGTATGACTTCGGCCCTGTCCAAAGACCCGGATCACGATAGGGCCATAGTTTGGTCTGGAGCGCATTTTTCAGGAGGAAAGTAAAACTTATAGAGCACGGATGGAGCGCTTCCAGGCTAGGCAGCAGAGGGACCTTAGGTGATGGAATCACTTGTCTTGTGATTCCTCCCTGGGCCAAGTAAGCGGCAGCATCATGTAAAGCCTCTCTAAATGTCTCGTGGAAAGCTTTCCCTGATATCCCGTCTCCGATTGCATGGTGGAATATATATACCGCCGTGAAGCGCTGCTCAGTCGGCTCTGTTAACATGATCAGTCTCCAAAATGGCAGAGGCGCTGTGAACTCGAATTTCTGCTGAACTTGCAGCAGATTACATAGTTCAATGTCTGGTTGATATTCAGTAGGATAATCGTGGCCACGCCTTTGAAATGATACGGATTGGGTCAGGTCGATTTCCGGGAGCCGGAAAAACCAGGTATCATGGCTGTCTTTTACCGGGATTGCTGATAGAATAGGGTTCTGGGTTATCACTGTCTCACATGCTCCATATGCATACTCCTTTAGGGGCCGGGTGAAAGTATTTGGCAGGACATAGATTGCCGATACTGCCACGTTGGAGTGCCCAGCCAGACCGCGTGCGAGGAAGTAATTCTCTAGGCGTCCTGTTGGACGTTTGTCAATTCATGTATCTTTTTCTACATCAATGAATACTTTTGCACTGACCGGCTGGTCGTAGTCTTTCAAACTTGTCCATCCTTGAAATGTTATAAGGACGTTGTACGACCACACTTTCAGCGAGATGAAGATAGCATCTCTTTTGTTTTCTTCTTGGAATGAAATATACTACTGTTAGGTCGATGAAAAACAAGCCTTCTTCTGACCGAGCATCTGTTCATATTGAACAAGATAGTTCAGTACATCGCCCATTGGTATTTTTATATGGACAACTTACTAATTCAGACAACCTGAATTGGGACTGCAAATCACCCAAAGACAGCGAAGAGCCCTTCACAACACTATAGAGCAATGAACGTGATGAGTGAAAAGGTGAAAAGAATAGTTAGTGGAGACTCTCAATTCCGCCGATATCTCAAATCATGTTAGATACTATTATACCTTTTGCGTCAAGCCTTGAGCGGAGAATTGCCCGGTTTCTGAAGGCTTCTTGTCCATCTAATTTGTAAAGGTCTGTCGATGCCTTCAGGTTTTCCAAGGTTGATCATTAATATTGCTGTATCAGCACGGAGTATTGGGTTGCTGCTACATTGGAGAATCTGCGTTAGGTCAAGTGATATATTAACGTGTCGAGATTCTATAATCGTACTTGGGGTGGACGGACGTACGGCAGCGTCCCCCAAAATAATAAGAAACAGTTTATCCATGTACGTCTCATTACTATAGATAGTTCTGCCAGTGCAAACCCACATTTACTGTGATGTGGATCAGAACATAAGATGTGTCTATTCTTTCGTCGGAACTTGTGTGGCGCATGAGGGTAGCATCGGTTGTCGTGAATTGTGACAGCCGCGGTGCTTATAAAATTTATTGTGTAAATCATTGCTTTAGTCACTGCAGTCGTTCCACTTTATCATACAACCGTCAATGTAAGCACTTGTTCATTATATTTAGCACACCAAAACTTCATCATGCAGCTACTATGTAACCAGACTTAAAGACTAGAACTGATGCGGTGTCTCATCCACCCGGTAAACCAACTTCTGTCCTCGTACTTTATTCTCGCGCAACAGATCCAGCCCAGACAATACTCCCTTGAGCCCATATGGCTGCTTAGACACTGGATGGGTCTTTATCTTACCCTGATCCAACAAGTCCTGAAAGACAGACTGCCATAATAGATGATGCTTCATATCGATGGGCTTGGCGGGAACCTTCTGGGGCCCCATGGTGTACGGCTCTCCCACGACGGTATACGCCATTGAGACCGTCGACCGGACATCTCGCCGAGGGCACCGAAGTTCCTGCAACGTGTGGTACCGGGCCCCAGATCTGCTGGTTAGAGCTTCCGCACAGAACTGGGCCGAGGTCGCCATTGCAACGGTGTCAAAGCACAGCTTCAAGTTATCCCTAGTATACTTCCGAATCGCTGCCGCCGCATTGGGCTTGGTATAGTCAAACACGGCGTCCGCCCCGAGTCCTTTGACCAGCTCGAAATTGCTGGCTGAGCACGTCGTGATTACTTCCATCCCAGACAGTTTAGCGCATTGAATGGCCAGTGTGCCAGTTGCGGTAGATCCGCCATGGATCAAGACAGTCTTTGGTGTCGTAGGACTTCGTGGCTTTCCGGGCATTGGGAGTCCAAGATTTTGATACAGACTCTGGCCCACGGTTGTGTATCCGACTCCAACTGTGCACGCATCCTCCCAGCTCATCCCGTCCGGGATCTTGAGTTGCCCATTTCCCTTGACCATAATGTATTGGGCAAACGCGCCATCTTCGGGCTCAACAGCGTTGCATCCGTGTGTGAGTCCCAAAACTCGATCTCCCTTCTGGTATTTGGTCACATTGGGACCAATCTCCTCGACAATCCCGGCAAAGTCGCAACCCACGATACATCCATTGCTTGGGACGAAGTCAATATGCCTCCAGTCGGTTGGGTTAAGGGCCACTGTGCCATGCTTTTAGTGAGTGCTTCTTGCTAAATGGAATGAAAGCGGAATGGTAATTGAGCAACAAAACAATGGCCCAATATGCCTGCCTACCTGTTACAGTTCTGACCAAGATGTAATCGTCGCGTAGCCTAGGGATTGATCGATTGGTCACCAAAGCAGCCTTGCGAGGTCCTTGTGTGACAACAGCCAATTGGCCCTGTGATATTCCAACCATGATGCCTCTGTTGGGTTGACGAGAAGAAGGAAGAGGGGGAGAGAAATACTTGTGCACAGGACGATAAGAAGCGGAGAGAGTTAATAAGCCTCTAGAAACAAATAACCCGCTTCCTAGATTATAATGCCCTCGGTATGAATGTAAATCTTTTGGAAGACGTACAAAGTACTGATCGGGGTAAGCCAGCTCCCCGTTCTAACTACAGAATGGACTGTGGCAGTTAAGCGGGCTGCCGACATGCCAGCTGAAGGAAGAATTAGCGGTGGCGTCCTAATAGTTGATTATCTTATTGTTGAATCTGCGGTGTGTGACTTAGCAGCTTGCCATCTTATGACTCTGGACAAGGTTGTTCCGGGTCAGGTTGTTGGGGGAGGAGTGTGTACTCACTAGTGATTTCCTGCTTCTTTGACTTGCCGGAAGACACTATATGTTGCACATGCAACTCTGTACATATGCAGCACAGTATAATTCGTTAAGTCGAACTTGACACAGTAAAACTATATTTGTGTATGTCATGCAATCCGTTCCTGATTTTTTGCACTCTTGGCCTATCTAATGAATCACACCATTGCATGCAATAGATCAATAGTTGCCGATCTTATTGGTTAGAAGCTTGGATTCAATATCGACAGACACATTCAATTCAGTCCTATAATTGACTTCATCGTCTCCTACAAAAGTCAAAGATGGAACGCCTCTTAGTAGTAGCAGTTAGTTAGTAGACAGTACTGGTAGTTGGTCTCGATTCGGACTGTTCAGGATCATGTTCGCATTCATGTAGTACTATATATCCGAGTTACTAAATAACACGAGTGTGGGTGGAGTCACTTTCGGGGTAAACTTACTGAACATAGTAAGAGAAACATCAGAACAGGGCCGTGGATTTCTCAGATCAAGTTATTGTTTTCTTCCACATAAATACGGGGTATATTGCATATGAAGCATCTGTCAAACCTGTCATATCGGTATCCCCTTGGTAATTACCTTATGCGGAACATCTGTCTCAATTGGGTTTAGGTCCAGCTGGGGGCCACAGAGGTATCAGTCATGTGATGGGGATCCATGCAGCTCCATCTCTTCTCTATCCACTCACACACTCCCTCTCGCTTTCTTGTGTCATAAGCCATTCAGCTTGGTTAAGTGAAAATGATATCAGGCATATGTTGCAACGATTGTTCCATTATTTACACTTGTTTAGCTTGAAGCCTATATCCTGCCAGCATTCCACGGTCTTGACCGAGACGACCTGGGCTCCTTCGAAAATCGGATTCATAGCCATGAGAAGGAGTAGGGACTGCAGCCGTTTTGCGCAATTTTTACTCCGTACATGTCCTGTAACCAATTCCACTAGCCGGAACAGAATTCATGGACCCTGTTTGTTCTATTTGAACCATACTTAGAGGCGCATATTGTGGTAGACTATGAGCAAAGTACCCGCAGTGCATATCAGACTTTCCACATCGCTCCGCTGGGCTGATCGGTGACCCGCTCACTACAAGTACAAATGAATATATCAGTAAGAGCTATCTTACTGTATCTGATGAATTTATCGCTCTACAACTCCACCATCCATCACCACCAGCCAATGGAGCGTCCGGACCTCCAGATTGTTTACCTCCTGGGCCATCTACCTTTCGGGGCTAGTACCAAGGGTGCGACATCGCAAACCACTGGCCACCCTTAAGGTGAACTGATGCAGGTTACCCTAACCATCGAAGAGAGTGTGGAACGCTTGTGTCCTTGACAATCATGACTAGTATTCTCGCAACCATTGATCACTAGCTGAATTGCTTACAGTCTTGAATTATATTCACCCTTTCGCTTGAGGTAGGCTCTAGGGATTTGTCTTTGAAAGCATCACAACTAAAAGTCATCTCTAAGCTCCAGATTCAGTGATCTCGATTGTCTGGTTGCTACTGGCACACCGCTCCTAAATTAGAAGGTGCAGTAATAGTGGGCGGTGGCTGAGACACCATGGAAGGTTCAATCTACTCGTGCTGCATCGGAGATCTCTCTCCCACCCAAAGGGAAATGTATACGTACACGCGCATATGAAAAGACTAGAAAGTACTCCGTATAACGGATTGAAAACATCACATGAGGAAGAAAGAAGCAAAAAAAAAAAAAAAAAAAAAAAAAAAAAAAAAAAAAAAAAAAAAAAA